GAAGATCCAGTAGAACAGAATGACCATGATCTCGCCCCCTCGGGCCAACTTGTCTAACGAGTCACCCAGATGGCCGATGATCGCGTCAAACATGGCTTTTTCATGGCCGGGGTCCTGAGCGGCCAGGCTCGCATTCAACCGTGAAAGCGACATGACGGCGAGTCGTGAGGTGTCGGGCATTTTGGGCTGGGAGTTGTCAAATGCCAGCAGCGAACGCAACTCCCCCTGGCTGACCCGGTCGACCAGCGCTGGCAGCACGTCAGCCGACTCTTGCGCGCAGCGAAACACCCGGCAGAGCTCATCCAATACGGGCATATCCTTGGCCGGTCCCGTAACGCGAGCGCATGCGAAGGAGTAGACGATCATGACAGTGGATAGTGCAAACGTCGCATTGCAGTCCGCCAGGTTGGGGCTGCTGGCGGCCTTGGACGTGACGCCGACGGCAGCCTGGCTATGGTGAGCATGCGCCATTCGCAGATAGAGGTCTTTCGTGCTTCCGCTACTGGTGAAGGATAGATGGAGCGCGGACACAGCCAGGATGCCGTGCATCAGGGCTGGATAGCGCATCGCCTCGCGTGGAATGACGGCGTGCCAGATCCATTCCACGACGCTATTGCGGGAGATGGTGCGATAGGTCGCCGTGCACCATTGCACCATGAGCTCCAATTCGCGGGTATAAAGATCCTCAGGAGGCGAACGGGGACCGAAGGACGCCATGGAGTCACCGTACTCAGCGGATATCGGCGAGTCTGGGATTGACGGCGACGATCTGGGCGAAGGAGTGGGGGACTGCCAGGCTGCGGACGACAGGTACTGACATAAAATGTTGTGGCGGGTGCAGCCAGAGCATTTGGGTTGCTCCCTGGTGCACTGGAAAGATATCGTTAGCAAAAAATAAAAATAAAAATAAAAGTAAAGGATGCAAGCGAGAGACACGTGTAGATGAGGGGGTATGTCTGCACGATCCCCTCTCTGTAATAATAAAGCAAAGCAAATCACATCGAACGAAATCACGATGAACCCCATCGGTGCTGCGTACTACCGGAGTAGTTTCGTGCAGGCCGGCTAGGGTATGTCGCAGCAAGGCACTGAGGGCCCCCAAGGCCGGGGTTTCCCAGCAGGTGGGACGAGGGAAGGGTGAAAACTGAAATGGTGAAACGTCCACGTCGAGCCTCATACATACCTTCATTCGTCGGTTCCTGCACTCCAGGCACCCGCTTCGGGACGGAGCCTTGTAAATTGGTCTCAGCGGCATTTGGGGTGTTCTCGTCGCACGGTGACGGAGGGGTTCGTTCTGATAATTGACCACCAGGCCCAACGTGAGGTTGGGAGGAGGACTATATAACTACCAGGGAGACGGAGAGCAGAGGAAGGCAGTCCCCCGGGGTTTCGTCCTGTCAGCTAAAGTATCTCTCGAGATTCACGATGGCGGGATTTGATCCATGGGTCCCTTATTTATTGATTGGATTCCAGCCATCATCGCTGGCGATGATTCGACCAAACACATCCCCTTGTGGGCAAGTCCGTCAGCCTCCATCTAACCGACAGACCCAGGTCAGTGCTTTTTTTTTTCTTTTAGTTTTTGCCCTCGGTGGTGGGTCTGAATCCCATCTGTTCTTCAACGTCATGACCAAACCAGTAACTGCAGACGGGCCTCGGACTGTCGGACATGAACGTATCGTGCTGACTGGCGGGCGCAGTCCAACAGCACCAGCATGCATTGGGGAAATGCAGCGTCGACCGGGGGGTTTCACCTTTCGCTTTTCTCAGCTACGAAAATCGAAGATCGAACCACACCAACTCTCTTCTCGGAAGGTCTGTGGGCGATTTTACCTCTTTTGCCCGTCGCTGATCGCTGGACGAACCACTTCTCTCGCATGTAGATAGTGAATAGTGAATAGTCTCTAGTCTCTACTCCGTTGGTGGTATCTCTGCGGGTCATTCGCTCGGGATAGTCCACGTTTTTTTTTTTTTTTGTTTTTTTTTTTGTGGTCCCATCACCTTTCCTTTTCTTGCTTGTTCTTGAATTGTTCTTCGTCTGCCCAGTGCCATCAGACCAGGTGTAGGCCCATTAATTATTGTTGCGAGCCGGCGAATGACGTTCTCCACCCAGCGCTTAAACGAAGATTGGCATGGGGGCGAATTGTCGTCTTCCGTCCACCCCTGAGTGGTGCATCGTGGCGGGGGAGAGTTGATTTGAAGGAGGTTCACCGTGTTTCGACCATCATACAGAGTCTTCTGTAGAGCGTCTCCATCGATGCGACAGTGGACAGTCCGTCCTTGTGGCCGTCCTTACGGTGAAAGGCAAAACAAACGGGTGCAAACAGAGCAGCCGGCCTCGGCACTAAGCCCAAGATGGTAAAGCGCCCAGGCTACGACGAACCCTGCTTTTGCCGTTTTGGGAAAGATCAGGTCTTGTCTCGAGACAGCCGGACAAAGCCTGAAGTCCTCCAGATTAAAGATGAAATCTAAACCCAACTAGCCTGCTAGCGCACTGCGCCGCCTGCGCAAATACCGAATCCGGTTTACGCAGAGTCGCTGCTCAAGGGCGAGTCCGATGCCAAACAGTCAGCAAATCCTCCGTAGATGAGAGTCCATGGACATCCTGAAACTATAGTGGTAACTAGTAATTATACTCATGGATTACTCCGTAATCTGTATATGTACAGTACATACACAGGCAATTAAGGGAGCAGAAGACTCCTACTATGAAACCTGGCAGATGTGGAGCCATTCCCGGAAAGGTAGGTTGGTAAGGTAGTCGGACTTTGGGGGCCACGCAGTTTGATTACTTGACTCGCCTCGTCTTAGGTGGGTTTCCTACGGTGTACCCGAGTAAGTACAGTATCGGATGCCACAACTCCTTCCCTTGCCGTGTCTCCTCTCCCGCTGCGATGTTTAGTTAACAAATGAAATAAACCAACCAACTAGGTAGGTAACTTAAAATCCACCTGATTACATAAAGATGATTTAATTCGGTCGATCTAGCGGAGACGGCGACATCCAGAAAGCCGAGGATCTTATCTTCGGAAGTACTGTAGTTATACTGTACCCCGTAGACCCTGGACAGGCATGGGTAAATGACGCCTGTCGGTGATGAGTCTCTTTGTTTGTCAATCTAATTGCGACGTCACATATGTACATACTGTATCCTGAGATGTTTTGTCGCCGTGTCACAACTCACAACTCACAACTCATTGCTCCCAGTTTACCCAAAAGGGCAAATGCAATGCTCGTCCGAGCCACCGCCAGACTCAATCGTAAACTGTCCGTCTAGACGCCACTCTTTTACTGGAAACAGCATATACGCAATCGAAGGAATTAGTTCGTGTCCGATGGATCGATCTCGACGGGACCGGGCCGAATTAGGGATTTGGACCCGAGCATGGGTTCGTCGCCATGCTCCTCGGTTGACTTTTTTTTCTAGTGTAGTCTTTTTTTCCTTTGAATCTAGCGTTCTGACACTGATGTCTGTGCCCTTTTCCTCCCCGAAAGGATTCATGGTGGGCTTGCTGGTGCGGCTTTTATTATGGTTGTTCTTCCTGGACCGTCTTAGCTTTTATCCTAAGTAGGGCTGCGACTAGGAGGAGTTGAAAGATTCTATTACGTAGACTGAGCTATCAATAGCTATAGTAAAGCGAGTTCAAGGAATGAAAATATCCGTGCGGCATCACAGCCTGTAATCTTCTTGAACTCGTGCGATACAATGCTTTGAGTTTCTCCTTTTCTATCATCCAGCTGCCTTACACGGACTGGGACACAGCTTCTTCTCATTCTATTTTCCCTCTCTCTCCAATCTCCTCTCTCATTATGTCAGTTTATCTGTATTCCATTCACTCTCCTGCATTTGAGATGAAGAACTATCGCTGGCAATGCTTCCGCTCAAGGAGTTGTTCTACTAATGCAGAACCCCTAAATGTGTTTTCCTCCCTAGTTTGACTTACAAAAGCTCGCAGAGGAAACGACGACCATCCTCCTTGAGAGCCCTCAGTTCGAACCCAACTAATTAGGGCTTGTGGTTGAGATTGTCTGATATCGAGACAACGGGCGTGACAGACTTGTCCTCGAGTGACCGCCACACCAAGATAAGCACAATCGGGCGGATGATTCCTTTCATCACCATCGGCAGGATTTGAAATGTTTCAACAAGAGGCCCTGATACAATTCCTTAACGGATAGTTAATGGCAGGACTTGGGCCCCCGCCTCGTTACCCCGGTCGTCAGGCATTTGCTATCTACCTTACTGCCTTACCGCCCGGTGTTGGATCGTTCTTGAGGTGTCGAGCCAGGATTGTGACCAGCCAGCCACAAGGTAAGGGCGATCGATCTGAAATTAACCGAATTTCACCCGGATTATTATCGAGTTCTGACCGGCTAAGAATAGATCAGATCTGAACACTCGGAGTTCGGAGTACTTGAACAAGGATTGAGGCCCGAAAGGCCAAGACACAAGCGATGCAACCTTGAATAACAAATCCCTACGGAGTACACCGTACAGCCTCCCGCTCACAGGGGCGATGAACGGACCAAGACTCGGGGAGATTCTAGGCCGAGCGACCGGACGGATAGTATTCTCGAGCGGGGAGTATACGAAAAATCTCCGGCGGTCATTATATCGATCATATCAGAAAGAGAACTCTAAACATCATATATTAAGCCATTGGCCCCAATGGAAGTGATATGAAGAAAATTGCCCTGCGCAGTCAGGTTACTGTATGCAACGAGCCCCTCATTTTTACATTGGGTTGGCTATCTATCTCATCTAAAGCATCGAAGAACCCATTGGATCACGTCCACGGAATTGACATTGCCGTTGCTGGATGTTCCCTTAGAACAGCTAACTATAATCCAGAAGCAACACCGAGTAGCGAGACAATTAAAACAGTCATTAAAGATAAGATCAGGAAACAAACCGCGCATGTTTGGGTAAACCAAAATAATCTCACGCTCTACGGGGATGTAGAAATATCATACAGTGATTCCAGATACATCGGGTGCTTTCAGCCGAGACTTTCCCCCTTCTTTCTCCGTAGCCACACTTTCAAGTCGAATTCGCCATCGGTCAAGTCGTGAAAATTCCCCACGAATTGAAAGGTATGGCCATGCTCTTGGGCCGGCTCCTTTCCATCCGTATACAGAATGCGACAAGGGATGGCACGATAGCTCCTGGTTTCGTAGGTTGCCAGCTTCTGGCCATCTTCCTCCGTCTGGACACGATACACCATGCCCTCGACCGTCGCGTGCGTGGTAGAATCCAGCAGGGCCGGGTACTGACCCCATAATTTACATTCGTAGCCTACAATCTTCGCCGGCCGGAGGTTGGGCTCTGCATCATGACCCAGAATTTCGGCTAGCATCGAGGGGACCGTTAAGGTGCCGTAGCAAAAGTACGGACCTGTCGGCGCGATGGTTAGATCATGCGAGGGGTCTGGCACGTGGTAAAGCTTTGACGGATAGGTCTTGAGTTTCGTGACCACGGGAGAAACTTTTGATAGAGGATTGTGGGGAGGTGGCGGTGGTGGAGGTGCTGACATGCTTCAAACGATGCGCTACCTGGGGTATCATTCGCTTATGGCCTATGAACTGTAGGCTCGGAAAGAAAGAGATAGAGCCGGGCACGATGGATAAAACGGTCGCAGCGACTTCACACGTCGAGCGGGCGAAATAGAGGCGTGCGGAGGATTGGCGATGACACCGGACACGAAAAAATAAGCTTCAAACGGCACGAGACGAAGACATTGCAATCCGTGTTCTGTAGGTCAGGAACCCAGGCACGATATATCCACGGATCCGGCAGATATGGGGCCGACGACGGACCAAGGGGCTTTCGGAATCGGGTCGCCCATGTATTCGGAAACTGAGAAACTGAGAAACTGAGAAAAAAGAGAAAAAGGAGGAGAAGGAAGAAGTAATTAAGGAGAGGAGTAAGAGTATGGGTGACTGCCAAGAAGTGCCGATCGTCGGTCGAGCGACGTATCACATACTGATTTAATTTGCATCAACCAGGTTGATGGCATGGTCATGAATCTGGATGAACTATACAGGTAGTTAGTCAGTACTGTGTATAGAGTCGTAGTCCGTAGGGACTATATCCATTTAGTTAATTAACTAAAGCCAGTAGGATTATAAATAGAAGGGACATGAATCGAAAAGAAGAGAGGGCCGCAAACGGACAGACGGACAGAAGGGCAGAGGCCGGGAACGGAGGCCGTATCGATGATGTCTAACTACTACTAACCAATACTAACTCGGAGGGACTAGCGAACCCGACGGAGTGGTTCGCCGTCCTCAGCCAGTTCCTGCGCCGGGCGGATCCTCTCCTGATCCGTGAGGCTGCACATCGCCCTTACGTGGTCACTTTATTCTTCCCTCGATATCAATCAATTGGAATTAATTCAATGGTCAGGTCAGGGTAAAGTGTAGATACCGTCCGGTGGAGTAGTGCAGTTGATCAAATTCCTCTCCATGATGTAAGATATAGGGAAGAAGGAAGAGTCATCGGAAAGAGGGGGAAAAAAAAGAAGTAGAAAACCCCGGAGTGCAAAAAGAATGAGCTCATGATTTGTCTTCGGTCTGGAACTCTGTCGCTCTGCCCGCCCGTGACCAGCGCCCCCCTCCTCCTCTGCTCTTCTCCCTCCACCTCCTCTTATCCCCGAGGGAAAAAAAAAGAACGAACTCTCGCTTGTTCACTTCCCCCCTCCACCTCCCATCTCTTCTTCAACCTTGGGGCAAACACTCAACTCTCCATCTTCTCCACCTGTTCTTACTCTTTCCCCCTATTTCATATCCTTGGTGCGACTGGAAAATTAATTCAAGGAAACAACTTCGATCGAATTTTAAAGCGTGGCTGTTCTAAGCGAACCTTTGGTCCTGGAGGCGACCCGTGGAAGACCTAGCGAATCTCCCGCCGTTTGACAGCTTCTCGTTACGGCTCGCCCAGAGGCGATCGTCATTTCTTCCACTGCTACTACTTCCGTTGCTGTCGCACATCTCGCTGCTGCTCTTTCGGTATGTTTGGAGTCGTGATCTCCCCTCGCATCGTGACGGTTCTGTGAATTGCATCAGGCCCGATTCAGCTGTCGGCAGTTTCGCCGGCGACTCGTGCTCCCCTCTTTCGCCACCTTTTCGTCCCTCCCAGCTCTCTGGCTGATAAGAGATTGCACATCGCAGCAGGCTCCCTCCTCTCTCCTTTCGCATCACTCGGCTCGCTCGTACCGTCGCATTTACTTTGCGCTTTCGAGGCGTTTGGACTGCTCCGACGAATCCTGCCCAGGTCGCGCGGGACAGAACACTTTCGTCGTTCCGGTCGCGACACAGGCCAATTCATTTTCTGCGCTTTGCGTCTCCGATTTTGATTCGCACTTCTCGCGAAAATTCTTGCACAATCCAGCGCCATGTATGCGCTCGAAGAACGAGCGCACCCACCGCCGCCGCCGCCCCTCTCCATGGATCGAATCCCTCCTCCGGCGTCGGCATACCCGACTCCAGGCTCTGCCGGACCGATCCAAACGTCAAGTCATCTGGTGCCGTTCTCGGGCATCGACGAGAACAATCGCACCTGGTCCCTTCAGGTGGTACAGCAGCCCGTCCGCGCCCGCATGTGTGGCTTTGGCGACAAGGTCGGTTCTCTCATATACCTGACCCTGGGCGAGCTGTCTCACTGACGTGAACTTTTCCAATTCAGGACCGGAGACCTATCACACCCCCGCCTTGTATCCGTCTCATCGTACGAGATGCGCAAACCGAAAAGGAGATCGATATCAAGTATGTGCCTCTTGGCGTGCTGGAAGAGCACTCGAGCTAATCTAACCCGGCAGCGAACTTGACACTTCATTCTACGTCCTCATGGTAGACCTTTGGAATGCGGACGGGACTAGCGAGGTGAATCTGGTGAAGCATTCGGCCACCTCTCCGTCAATATCCACGGCTATGTCTTCCTCCTACCCGCCACCGCCTCAGAACCCTTACCCGCAATACCCACCAAACGCCTACGGCCAGGTTCCAGGATACCCTGCCATGAGCAACTACTACGGAGGGAACCCCCAAATGCCGTATGCGAACTATGGCGGCAACCCGCAAACTCCTTACTACCAACCACCATACTATTCGGCAGGTGGTCACATGCCGCCATCGAACATGTCTCCCGCACAACCCGTCAGCGCTGGACCGGGAGGCATGTTCACGCGAAACCTCATCGGAAGCCTAAGTGCCAGTGCCTTCCGGTTGACCGATCCCGACAACAAGATTGGAGTGTGGTTCATTCTGCAGGATCTGAGTGTGAGGACCGAGGGAGTTTTCCGGTGAGTGACTTCTTTTGGGCTGTGGTTGGTTTCGCAACCTGGTACTGACTCGCGTTGCAGCCTAAAAATGAGCTTCGTCAACGTCGGCACGGACTCCGCCAACGGAGTGACAGTGATCAATCATGGATCTCCCAAGATCCTGGCCTCCGTTTTCTCCGAGCCCTTCCAGGTTTTCTCCGCCAAGAAATTCCCAGGTGTCATTGAGAGCACAACGCTGAGTAAATGTTTTGCCCTCCAAGGCATCAAAATTCCCATTCGCAAGGACGGAGTCAAGGGCTCGCGGGGGCGTAACAACGATGATGACGACGGGGACGATTATGATTAAACTCCAACTGGTGATTTCCGGCTTGGAAGGTGTTTTGCTTTTGCTTTTGCTTTCTGCTTCTTTTCTATTTTCTTCTGACGCATTGAGGTGTGGGAAATCGGCTTTGGTCTGGTGTTTTATGGATGGGTAATTCTTCCTTCTTCCAGATGGCTGGGCTGTATTGTTATAATTGGGTTCCGGTGTCTAGGGTGTTTTTTTTGGTTGCTTCCGTGTTTTTTTTTGTGTTGTTACCCTTTGCTATCTTTCCCTTTTTTTTGACCTGTTATTCATAATTCTCATGTACTTCATTTGGGGGGTTCCAACACATGACCGAAGGCTGGCTATCGGGTCATGTGCCGAGAAGGCTGGTTAGAGAATCGAAAGAAAAACATCCAAGCCACCTTCTATCCTATCTATCTCCGCATCTTGCATCCGTGGAATGACGAACCGGTTTCCATTCCACGGTGGTTCCCCAACCTAGGATTTGATATCCACCGATGACTTACCTTATTTTGACTTTAGAATATCCCACCCCGTCGGCACCAACCTTGGATCTTCTGGTGTTTTTCTTGTAAGCCGCTCCGAGAGCTGCGTCTGGCCACGGAACATCTCTGGAGAATCGAACCATGGATGACTAGGATAGCAATTTGGCATCAAGTCAGTGCCTCCAAGGTCTACAACGAGTGGGTCATCAGCCGAGACCGAGGCAGTAAGAAAGATGAGGATGGTTTGCCTCTGCCACGCCTTGTGATGCTATCCTCCTCCTTCTCTCCAGTTCTCACTGGAGGATGCTTTTAGTTGCCTATCAAATGTCTCGGAAAGTGAGACACTCGGCTGCCGATCAATTTACTGTCTCGATTTTCCCCTCCAGCCATGCCCCTTTCTCCACAAATACAGCGTCATAATTCTCCGCACGAGAACGTCCTTCTCGCTCTTATCGATTCCTCGCTTCGCTACATACAATGCGGTTTCGGTTTAGTGGTGGACTATACCATGCACTAATCTCCTGATTCTGCTCCCGATAGGCCGTGACCCAGACGCTGCTGACAATTTTGTCTTCGGAGTATGTATGGAGTACAACCGTTCTATAATTATTTACGAGGTGGTGCTAGCCACCGAATGTAACCCGTTCATCCGTCTTATTCAAGGGTACGTCTGGGCTGCAAGAATATAAATTCTGGACAGCGCTGCCTCTCTTCCAATCTTACTCTGTCAAGCAACTCACTTCTCTCCACCTCTGATTTCCTTGAACAAAATGAAATCCTCTCTCGTCTCTTTCGGACTCCCTCTGCTGGCGGCGGCTGCCCCAACTCAAGGTGCCAACCCTGCCTTTGGCGTCATGTCCAGCCGTTCGGCTTCTCCTGTTCATCTCCTCCCTATGAACGCTGCGGGACAACACTTCTACCTAGGAGGACAGCCTTCGACATACTGTCCCTTACCCAACGGCAAGGGATGCCCCCCGGGTACCTCGACCGTTTTTGCTCCTGGTGGCGGCAGTCTTGTACGTGCATCTTACCAGCCACTTCTTCGCTCGTAAACTCCATCGCTAACAAGTCTTTCTATATTAGAATGTCATGGTGCCCGGCGGCCAGCAAGTCTACGTCAATCCCGACGGTGCCCTGAGCTTCACTCAGGCTCACTCTGCCTATATCCCTCCCGGCTCGGCTCAAGGTCCGTTCAAGTACGAGCCCGGGTCGAACTTCGGTCACTACACTTTCAACGGCTGGGGTGCCTCCGGCTTTATGGCTTGCCCTACCGAGGACGAGAGATGGCAAGTCTTTGCCGCCATTCAGAACGCCACGGTCCCCAGTGGGGACGTGGCCGATTGCTTGGGATTCTCTGCTATGGCTGTTACCGGTAATCAAACGGCTGCCGCATGGCAGTACACCTAGGCCATGCATGGATTGGAGTTGTTTGTTGAGAGTGCGCAATATGATTAAATTGGATGCATCCGTACATCATATCTGAATAACCTGATTGAATATCGGGCAACAAGTACCTCGATCCTGGTATCTTCAATCGAAGGTACCTGAACGCTAGTTTCGAAATCTTTCTGAACAAAACTTCGCAGAGTCAATATCGCATGGGTATCGCAATTTTTGCTTTCTCTATTGCTTCGTATCTACATTAATTTCTCCATATCCGTACGGCCTTGTCCTTTCCACCGCTGCCGACCTTTTGTCCATCCGGACTCCAGTCCACCGCATACACCTCGTCCTTGTGCCCCGGAAGATCCATGGCGAGCTTTCCGGTGCGCAAATTCCAGATTTTGAGCGTAGTATCTTTAGAGGAGGACACCAGGAGCCTCGAATCGGCCGAAAAGCAACATTGGTAGACAGCACCGACATGTCCTCGGAAAGTGGTAATGAATCTGTCGTTCCAACATTAGTCATGGGTCTAGGGGGGGAACCACGTGGGAATCCACTTACTTTCCATCGCGAGCGTTCCACAATTTGACGTGATTGTCGAACCCTGCCGACGCGATATATGCCATGTCCGGGGAGAAGGTGACATGGTTGACCTCCTTCTGATGGCCTAGCAGTCGCGCCACCGGTTTGTTCGAGCTCTCCGGCTCCCACAGGTACATGGTGAAGTCATCACTGGCCGAAACCAGCTTTTCCACGATCTTGTTGTTGATCGTGGCCGCCTGTTCAAACCGCTTCTTGGCGGTGGCCACCTTGTCGGACTCCGCGGCGGGCACTTGACCCGTGTGGTCATGGTAAGCAGTTCGCAGCACAAAATCGGTCGACAGAGCCAGATGGTTGACGCGGTGGGCATGCGCAGATAGCGTTTGGATGAGGGTGCCGTTCTGAGCATTCCACACCTTGATGGTTCTGTCATGCGAAGCGGTGTAAATCTTTCCCATTCCGCCCCATCGCACGCAGGTAACGGAGCCCTTGTGGCCAGTGAGAACCGTGTCAATGCGCTTGGAGACCGCATCCCAAATGCGAACGGTGGAGTCCTTGGACGCCGACGCCAGGCGCGGCCGGCCCGACTCCTGCATATGGTACGGTTCCCATGCCAGACTGGTGATCCATTTCGCGTGTCCTTTCAACGGTCCACCCAATGCCTGTCCCTTTTTGGCGTCCCAAAGTCGCACGCTGTTGTCCATACTGCCCGTCGCGATGATGGCGCCGTTGGGCGAGTAAGCCACCGCCAGTACCCAGCTGGTGTGTCCCTTCAGCGTATGCAGGGGAGTTCCGGTGTCGCAGTCCCAAACGCGCGCGGTGGCGTCACCGCTGCCTGTAACCATTGTCGACGAAGAAGCCGGGGAGAAGGATGTTGCGAGGATAGCTTCGCCATGGCCGGCGATCGAGGCCGAGCAGCGCGAGACGGCCTTGACCCGGAAAACGGCTTGTGGGGTGTAGTATAGGTGGACAGTATCTTCGGTGGTTTTGACGCCGGGCTGTAAGAGGGAGTGGTATAGATCTGCTAGGATATCGATCGTCTGGTTGTCTTTGCCTTCGGATTGATGGCTAAACCGGTACGGTACTCGTTCATCATCCTCCTGTCGGAGACAAAACTGTCAATAAGGAGTAATCAGGAACCCATTTAGAAATCACTGCATACCTACATTGCCTTGTAGTGTGTTAAGGAGCGTCTCGAGATTTTTAACGTTGGCATCGGCCACAGGCACTGACACCGCGGGGCCCGTTGCCGACCCAGTTGCTTGATCGAAGAACTGTACGCGAATGCTTCCCAGATTGTCCGGGATGCTCTGAATTTCTTGCTGCAGCCGGGCCTTCTCGGCGATTTCCGTCTTCTGACGCTTGGTCGGGGGAGGTAGGAGAGTCGTCATTTTTGGCAATGGAATCGAAATTGCTGAGGAAACCATCACTTTTTCCCTTCCAAAAAAAATTAAAAGTTATCGCGGAGGTGGATCGGCGCTAAACCACATTCGGCCGAACACTCCGGTCTCTCTCCGCCGTCATACTTCGGCCCTTCTCCCCTTCCTTCCTTTGACCCCATCACATTGATTCCCTATCCTCTAGCCTTTCTGTTTCACGATGTCTAGGCCGAGAACGTCCCCCGGACTCACCAGCGATTCGTTCATTCCTCTCTCCAGACAAAACAGTGGACTCCACAGGACCACCACTGCTAGACCCACAACCACGGCGACAAGTGTTGCAACCCAGGACATCATCTGTGCAGTCAGCGAATCTCGCGGCATTTCGTCAACAGTTGGTCTTGCCTTTGTCAATCTGTCGACTGCAGAGACAGTCCTCTGCCAGATATGCGACAGCCAGACCTATGTCAGGACGGTGACAAAGATCGGAGTGTTTGAGCCCACAGAGATCCTTTTTATGAATACTGCCAAAGAATCCAAACTGTTTTACATCATTGAGGAGAACATCCCCAATACTACCTTCACTTTTCTAGACCGCAAGTCCTGGTCAGATAAAACTGGCCTTGAATACGCCGACCGGCTGGCTTTTCCTATAGACATTGAATCCATCAAGATCACCTTCGGAGGCAACTACTTTGCCGCTTGTTGCTTTGCTGCGGTCGGTGTCTGGGCTTCTTCAGAAGCCAAATCAGCTGACACAATTTAGGTCATTCAGTATGTTGAACTCGAGTTGAATAGAACATTCATGGCACACTCTCTTCGAATCCGATTCGAGCCCTCCCAAGGGTCGATGTCAATTGATCTACCCACCATTTTCTCCCTGGAGCTGATCCAAAACCTTCATGTGAGAAAGTCGAAGGAGAGCTTATATGGTCTCCTCAATGAAACCCTCACTCCTATGGGCGCAAGAGTCCTGCGAGCCAACGTCCTGCAGCCTTCGACGGAGGAGTCGAAGTTATTGGCAAGATATGATGCCGTGGAAGATTTGTCCACAAAGGAAGAGATGTTCGCGTCCATTAGACAAGGTTTGTGGGGAATTCTGCTTTACCTGGCACTGGCCTATTAATATGCGCATGTAGCCCTGAAGGGATTTGTCGATGCGGACAAAGTCCTCACGTCGGTAAGTCATTTGATAGTTCTAACAGATGTGAGCAGCTGCTGCTAACAGTCAAGCTCATTCTTGTTCCTACCAAACAAACGTTTCAATACCTCCAGCAGTGCGTGAATAATGTCATCATGTTAAAGACATACGTTTCTTCAATCAAGCCCGTGTATAAGGCACTTGGCCCGGCGCAAAGCAGTCTACTACTGACAATCAGAGAGGCATTACTCCAGCATACCAATATTCAAAAGACGGATAAACTGATTCGTCGTAGCTGTGTGCCCCAGTGGAATATCGGGATATTGAACAAATGATTGAAGACACAATCAATGATCATATAACGTACCAAACCAAGCCATTGGATCTGAGGAATCAGCGCATCTATTGTATCAAGGTGGGATAGCGCTCCAATCCTGGTTTGCTGGCTTGATCTCTGTCTCTCTGCAAGAGGCCTAAATGTCTCTGTGTCAGGCCGGTGTGAACACTCTGCTCGACGTTGCGAGACAAACATACAAGGAGGCGAGCATAGATGCTGCAGAGCTCGTAGCACAACTCTCAGGTATGACAGCTCCAGTCTGCGGGTCCATTCGAGCCTAACCTCTCGCAGAGACTCATTCCGTTGACCTTGATCTAAAGTTTGACAAAACTCGTCAGTACTATATGAGCTTCCAGGCAACAGAACTGGATTCACTGCCAGAAATATTCATCAATGTGTACCGCAAAAAAAACCGCATTGAGTGTCAGACTCTTGGACTAGTCAAGCTTAACCAAAAGATTCTAGATGCGCACAATGAGGTGGTCAACATGAGCGACGAGACTATCCAGGACCTAATCAAAGATGTCTGCGCCGGAATCTCCAAACTATTTCGTGCAAGCGAGGCAATTGCCATGCTCGACATGCTAGCCGCATTTGCGCATCTCGCTTCGTGTAATGACTACATCCGCCCAGAATTAACCGACACTCTGGCCATCAAAGATGGGCGTCACCCGATTCGCGAAAAGATCCACGCAAAGAAATTCATCCCCAATGATGCCTACGTAACACAGCAATCTCGTTTCCAGATCATTACAGGGTGCAACATGAGCGGAAAGTCCACTTACATTCGTACCTTAGCCTTGATGACTGTCATGTCGCAAGTTGGGTGCTTCATTCCAGCGGAGTACGCTTCATTTCGCATTGTGCACGAGCTCTTCGCCCGTGTTTCCACATCCGATGATCTAGAAGCAAATGTGTCAACCTTTGCAGCGGAGATGCGTGAGATGTCATTTATCCTTCGAAATATCTCCCCTCGAAGCATGGTCATCGTCGACGAGCTCGGCCGTGGCACCAATACCACCGACGGCCTGTGCATTGCCATTGCTATTGCCGAAGCCTTAATACAAAGCAACGCCCTTGTGTGGTTTGCGACCCATTTCCAAGACCTGGCTACTATCCTAGCCGAACGCAGCGGTGTCATCAGTCTCCATCTCGCAGCAGAGATATCACCCGATGCGTCGAAAATGAGGATGCTTTACAAGATCGCTGAGGGACCCAACATGAGCCAGTTCTACGGCCTGGCCCTCGCCAAACTGGTCGATCTTTCGCCTATCGTGCTTCAGACTGCCCAGAGGGTATCTGAACAGCTGAACGAGATCTCCGACCGTCGGCAAGGAAGATCGAGGGCATTGGCCGTGGCTCGAAAACGCAATTTGCTACTGTCCCTCCGTGAACAACTTCTTCAAGCCCGGAATGGAAATCTAAAAGGCGACGTGCTGAGGAAATGGCTTAGAAAATTACAGGATGAGTTTGCGCTACGTATGGCTGCTGTCGATGAAGAGCATGATCTTCTAGTTACAGAAAGCAGTAGCTTTGATGTAGAAGAGGACGGCGACGATAGTAGTCCACCTGACTACTGTGACGAGGAAGAACTCGAAACAGCACCCTTTAACTCAAGCCAGTCGTTCATGTTGGGAAGCCCGTTCGAATACTCCGACGATGGCCTCCCGTCCGACTCGGTCCAGGTATTTAACGATGAATCGACGGACGAAATGCTGACCTTCGGGACTTCGTCATCGGACGGACAAATGTTCGGTGTTGGGGTTTCGTCCGACGTCTTTTCGTAGTTGACAACAACGGGTCGAGCTCGTGATATCTGAATGACTGTTCCAATGGTTTCCTCAATACTATGTATGGCCTCATTAATAGTTGTAGTTGAATACTTGGCTCTACTCGAGGTAGCATCTCGCGAATTCAATACGTTCTTAACAATACCATTTTACTGTCAAACAATTTCCTCTTCTTCAACAATCAATAAGTGTATCTATTCTAAGCGCTCAAGTACGAAAAACCAAAACAAACACAAAAATGCAACTTTTTGTTTCAACAAGACAGAGAGAATTAGATACACCATCAACCGAAATGGAACAGCGTCTGTTTGCCCTTCTTCCCCTTCCCTTTCTTGCCCCCGCCAGCAGAGGACTCCCCGATATCAAACTCGGCGCCGTCGGTACCAGAATCGCCGCCCGAGGCCGAGGCCCAGGCATTCGCCGAGGCAGGGTTGCGGCTATCCCAGCGCACCGTTCCGCGCGTGAGACCGGCCATGAGCACGTTGGGTTTCGCGGCGGCCGGGAGAGCCGGGAAGGCTTCGGCGCTCTTGGGGTTGGCCGGACGCGCAGATGCCGACGACGGGGCCGGTCGAGACGAGCCGCGGCTGGAGGACGGCGTCGGGGCGGCCGAGATGCCCCAGGGGGTAGTGGCGGAGGACGAAGGGGCGGTACGAGGCGCCGAGCGAGCGGTGGAGGAGGACAGAGGGGGGAAAGGGTTGGCGGAGGAGGCGGAGGAGGGCAAGGCACCGCTGCGGCCAACGGCCGAACGAGAGGACTGGGCAGTTGACGATTTCAGGCGAAGCACGCGCTTGCCGCCGACGCCGCTGCCGTTGACGGTGCCGGGCGACATGCCCGGAAGGACGCCGCCAGGTCCCGGGAGGGCTGGGTAATCTTCGTTGATGGCGCGCCAGTCATTCCACGCCTTGAGAAGAGAATTCCGTTTGCCGCTGTCTTCGTAGATTTCGGCGAGTTCCTTGATCAGTTTTCCGAGTTCGCTAGGGGAAGTATCGAAGAGCGAGAAGAAGGCATCGATGAGTTCGGTGGGAGAGATGGTAGAGGCACGGTAGCTGGAGACTCGGGCGCGGAATTCCTTGAGTCTGGTCTGGTCATTCCCCAGGAGATTCGAGGCTCGCTCGATGACGGCGGTGTGGCGCATGCGCCGGGCCTGCTCCTGCGGGCTGGCAGATGCCGAGTCGCTCGTCAGACTGAGGTGCTCCATCTCCGCCACGGGGGTAGACGCAGCCGGAGGCGTTGAGACAGGAGTGACACGCGCCGAGCGAGCCGGCGCGTGCACAGTCTGAGTATCATTGCGCGAGAGCTGACCCCCGAAGCTGCGGGTGGATACGGACTGCGCACTCTGAATAGCCATCTGTCGTTGGTAGGCCACCTCGTCTCTTCGCAGTGGCTGCGCCGTAGACACGGGCAGCGCCTCGGAATTCGGGTCGCGTCCTCGACCAGCGCCACGGCGTTGTCGTTGGGGCTGGTAGGGCGATCTGTAGTCAAATGCCGAAAGGTCCACGATCCGTGCATCGCGCCTGGCATCCTTGGAGAGTCCGTTTGGATGACACTCTAGCTGGTGGGCTTTTAGATCCATTTGGGACTCGAACACGACGAACTTTTTCTCCAAACACTCTTTATCTAAGCAGAGGAAATGGTCCTTCTGGAAATGATCCTCAAGCGCATTGTAGTCGATGTAATACTGTTGCTGGCGAGTACTAGACTGTCGGTCGCAGATGTGGCATCGTTCGTGGCGATCACGGCAATGAGTATAGAGTTCGTCACCTCCGTAGAACCGCTGGCGACAGAACCCACACTCGGGGTGTCCCCTGAAGCCACTCTGGTCCACGGCGCCCGGCACATCGTCTCCATGCTTTTCATGCTTGCGCAGCTCGGCCATCGTGAAAAGCTCATGTTCGTGAGTGAACACCTTCTTGTTGCGAGTGCAAAGGTCACTAAATCACACGCCGACGATGAGTATTCTGCCAAATCCATCAATGGGTCGAGGTACGGCTTTACATACCACATCACTTTACTGTGCTTGCTTTTGACGTGACGATGCAGGTCGGGCCAGCCTAAGCATGCCACATCGCAGCCGGTATCGGGGCAGTTGTATCGCAACAACAGGACGGTATCCTCGAAGATCTCATCATTCTCATATTCAATGCCCAAATTATCATCTTTCCGGGAGAAATCTTTGTCGGTAAAGTCCTCGAAACGCTTCGCAGGATCATCGGTAAAGATCACGTAATTGGATTCCGTCTGTTGCAAGCCAACGTAAGCCTCTGGGCTCGAAACTCCCTTGATAATGCTATGGGGAAATGGGGTTTATATCGTACCCGACAATGTGCGCAGGCCTTGTTCTTGTAGAGCGCTCGCAGTCTCAGGGCGCAGATGTGGCAGGTCCGGTGATTGCACGGCGACACCGAGGTGTGCTCAACAGCCGACGCACAGATGAAGCAGACCTCGCCATCATCCGCATCATCGGCCGCAGCCTCGACCGCTTGCTTGCCCTTTGTTGTGCTACTTGCGACGGGCGCAGGCGACTCGCCTTCTTGCGGGGCGTCAGCTTTGCCGGCGTCACGGTTTTGCTTGTCGCGGCCACCTCCCCCTCGGCGGGGTCCTTGGCCCCTGGATCGACCTCCTCGACCGGAGCCATCGGTGGAGTTTTGCGAGTTATCGGAGTTTCCGGTTTGTCGAGATCCTCCTCTACCCCGGCGACGACCGCCACGGTTAGGACCTTGGGGCCCGGAGGTTTGCGAATGCTGGGCGTCAGACATTTTGGGCGGGGGCGACTTTGTGGTGGAGACGGAGGATGGATCGGAGCAATTGGCAAGGAATTGCAGGAATAGGAGACGGGGGAAAGAACGGACGCCAGAACAGAGGCCTTTGAGAGAAGGGAAGAAGAGCCGGACGCTCTCTGTGATCTTTGCGACCAAGATGAGACTGTAATTAAATGGGCGGAGGAATTGGCAGCGGAGGGGAAATCGGGCAAAAAGTTGGGTTTAGCCTGTGCTTAGTGAGCAGGTCGCATTCACCCGAATTATCCACAACTGACGGAGTATACCTACACTATTCTTCCTGTAAGGCCAACGTTGACTCACGATGACGGCGTTTGACTACCTAGTCATCCCCGTGAATTATGCACATTCGTTATCCTACGGTTGAACGATAACGTACAATAATAGAACAATAGGGTAAAATAAAAAATAACAGGAACCAACAACCCTGAGTCATATACCATGAAGATAGTACCTACTATGCAATGCCAAAGAGCCAGTCCCCCTGGACGGAATTTTCTAGACAACGTTCATCGCCCCGGTCTGGAAGGCAACACCAACTCCCGCTGGAGATCAGAAGATATGGATAAACAAAGGAAAAGCAGATCACAAGGAAAGAATGGTAAGTGAAGCACGAAATATAGCAGGGATGACAAATCAAAAAATAATAGGTGCAAGGTGCGATCATGTTCAAAAAAAAAAAAAAAAATCAAATCAAATCAAAAACGCGCCGGGTTATCGAATGCGGGGCTGGAAGAAGATATCAAAAAGTCGTAAATTGTAAGGACATACCCCATATTCTAGGGCACGAATTGTCTGTTCACCGAGGATGGGTATCGTAGCAGCCCTCGCTAGTATGGTGATTGGCGCTATTCGTCCTGGTTGTACAGATTTTGGCTGAGGATTTTGGTCATCGTGAACATGTGTATGCGGTCTTGTTTGAAGACCGCGCGCATGGGGTCGTCGCATCGGATTTGCCGCCGATCGCTCGGGTCCTGGAGATCATGCTCGTGGATGTACTGCCACAGTTTCTTCACGGTTTGTGGGCGAGAAAGCTGGGACTGTGTCAGAAGATGGGGGTAGCCAGTCTGTCAGGTGAGGGAATCATACTGTTTCTTCACCACCTAATAGAGCGGAAAGTGCGGGGGATAGCGTTAGAGGTTTCTGTATATAGGTCAACGTCATGACACCTTGTTTTTAGTCAATGGGAAGAGAGAACAGCCTTACATGAAATCCGCCAGATCGATTAACTTTTTTGCCGGCGTCCGATCCCGACTCAAGATCCGAATCGTCCTCCGCTTTGACCTTTTTGGATGTTTTAGCCTTGGTCTTCTTTTTCGCCGGCGCGGCTCTGCGCGTGTTAGAGCCACGGGTAGGGCGTGCACGCATGTTTTCCTCGGCCTGGAGCTTGGCGGCAAAAAGAGCATCCGCGTCAACGTCGTTGTCCTGCTTCTTCTTCTTGGCCGGCGGCGACTTGCTGGATTGATCGGAACGCTCCTCGCTATCCGCATGGCGTTTCTGCGACAACGAAGATTGCGCGGGAGACGAAGGTTCGACAGGTGTCACGGAGTCGTGGTCCTTGTCGTGGCCATTGGTCGCCGGGGCGCTGGGATCGGGCGAAGCTCCTATACCACCCTGCTCGGCGAAGAGGTCGAACCTCTCCATGATCAGCTGCTTGATCGCAGCCTAGAGCAGCGAAAGAAAAATCCATGTTAGCCTTGTATGTCATGACCGTCGGCAACGTGGGGGACCGGGAACACGAGATTTGCGACAGGACGGGCGGCGGCGAGCAGACCTTCTGCGGAGTAAGATCATAGCCGACCACTTCCTGCAGTCCTTTGCGGATGCGCTTTTCGGAGATGGTGTTGAGATCACTTTTCCCCAGTATGGAGTCAATGATCGGTACATACTGGTCGCGGGCATCTGGGGAGACTGGCGCGAGCGCAATGATGTCAGTAGAGAGCGACGTCGGCGGGCTGGACGCAGCCCGGCCACTTTTAGGCCCGGCCGGAACTTACGCGACATCTTGCAAGCTGTTCCAGTCTTCTTGTCGATTTTGCAGGGGCAGGACCAGGGGGGAAACAATTGTGACGGTGTCAATTGCAAAGACGACGGGTCGCAGAGGTCTTGGAGAGCGAGAGTCCGGTCACGGCGGCGGTGGATGGTTAAAGAAAGATCGTCCAGATCTGTCTAGGCGTAGCGCTGGCGCTTAGGACCGGCGGGGCATAAGAGGAACGATGAGGGGAGAAGAGGGCAGAGGAGAGAGAAAGAAACAAAGGAGAAGAGTAAGACAGCCGGCCCACAACGACCAGCAACAGTCACCCGCAGAGTATCAAAGCTGGCCGGAGAGATGTGTGGGGATTGCGATTGTTATGATCTCCAAGACTCTCTCAAGTTGAAGGAGAGCGACAGAGGGACGGAGGGAGAGAGAGAGAGCGAGCGCGGATGCTTAGTCACCGGTCACCGGACGAGAGGTCTGCCTGAGGTTGCCTGAGGCTGCCTCAGGCTGCAGTGTCCAGTAATGCGCTGAGTCAGTTCTGAGTCAGTGACATCGCACACAGAAGCGGTTGTGCTGTGGATTTGTTCTTTTTGCCCTAAAAACAAGCCAAACCGGGGGCGACCAGCAGAAAATCAGTCCGCATCTTCCCTTCTCGTGAATCCCCATCTTGCGATTCACTGCCCTCCACTCGTTTCCTCTCCCCTCCACCCCCCCCCTCTCCCTCCCCTCTCCTCCCTCCCGATACATCGCCTCCGTGCCCCCTGTGCATCATGGCGCCCAGTTTCGACACTTTGAGTGAACAGGACCTCCACGAAGAGGAGGAGGAGGAGATTGACTTCTCCGGTGAGTGCGAAAGAATTCTCTCCGTCGCTGCCCCGCCCACCTTGTCGCTGACCTCGACCGCCTCCGACGCCTAGATCTCAAGGAACAATATGAAGTGAAGATCGAGGAGGGTCTGGATACGTTCGTCGTGATCGATGGACTCCCGGTTGTGCCGGAGGATAGCCGACAGAAGCTCATTAAATTCTTGTTGAGGAAACTCAACACGGTCGGCCACACGTCCGAGGATGCAGTCTTCATGCCTTTGAGCGACAAGAAGATGTCCGAAGGGTACGTAATCGGCATTTCCGCCGCGAGAGGACTGGGATTATTAATATTTTGCGACCAGCTTCGCCTTCGTTGAGTACGAGACCCCCGAACAAGCCATCGCCGCCGTTAAGCAACTACACGGAACGCCCCTCGATAAGAAGCACACCCTCGCTGTGAACAAGTTGATGGATATCGAGCGCTTTGGCCGGGAAGGACGCGTCGAGGAAGAATACAAGCCTCCCACCATCGAGCCGTTCAAGGAGAAGGAGCATCTGCGGTCGTGGCTCGGCGACCCCAACGCCCGTGACCAGTTCGCCCTCTACCGTAACGACAAGGTCGGCGTCTTCTGGAACAACAAGAGCAACCAGCCCGAGAATGTCGTCGATCGTGCCCACTGGACGCAACTTTTCGTCCAGTGGTCTCCCAAGGGTACCTACCTGGCATCCGTTCACCCTCAGGGTGTGCAGCTGTGGGGTGGTCCCGCTTTTTCGAAACAGAAGCAGTTCCCTCATCCGTTCGTGCAGCTGGTGGAATTCTCGCCGGGCGAGAGCTATCTGACCACCTGGTCCGCCCGCCCGATTCAGGTGGAGGAAGGTGGCTCGGGAGTCCTGAGCTACGAGGAGGACGGCAAGAACATCATCGTCTGGGACATCGTATCAGGAAAGCCCCTGCGGTCGTTCGTTTCCCACGACCTTGCCGCGGGTCCTGCCGGCGACGGCGAGCCCAAGAAGAAGGTGCAGTGGCCCGCTTTCAAGTGGTCTGCTGATGAGAAGTACGTCGCGCGTATGCTCCAGGGCCAGTCGATCTCAATCTACGAGCTGCCGCGGATGAACCTGCTGGGTAAGACCTCGGTCCGGATTGACGGAGTTTCGGATTTCGAATGGTCGCCCGCTACGGTCACCCGGGAAGGTGTCAAGCAATACGAGCAGTTGCTCTGCTTCTGGACGCCCGAAATCGGTAGCAGCCCTGCTCGCGTTGCCATGATGAGTGTGCCGTCTAAGGAAATCGTCCGAACCCGTAACCTGTTCAATGTGTCGGACGTCAAGCTGCACTGGCAGTCCCAGGGTACTTATGTCTGTGTCAAGGTCGACCGTCACTCCAAATCTAAGAAGTCTCTGGCTACCAACCTCGAAATTTTCCGCGTGCGCGAGAAGGGTGTTCCGGTCGAGGTTGTGGACAGTCTGAAGGACACCGTGATAAACTTTGCTTGGGAGCCCAACGGTGGCCGCTTCGTCCTTATCACCAACGGTGAGGCGCCCAGTGGCTCCGGCGCTCTTCCCAAAACGTCCGTCTCTTTCTTTGCTCCCGAACGCAAGGGTGTCTCTGCCGGCAACTTCAAGCTGGTGCGGACCATCGAGAAGAAGACCAGCAACGCCATTTACTGGTCTCCCAAGGGCCGTTTCGTCGTCGTCGCCACCGTCCACTCGCAGACCAACTTTGACCTCGATTTCTGGGACATGGACTTTGAGGGCGAGAAGTCCGAGGCCGAGAAGGATCTGGCCGCCAACCTCCAGTTGATGAAGACCGTTGAGCACTACGGTGTCACAGATATTGACTGGGATCCTACGGGTCGTTATGTCGTTAGCAGTGCTAGTGTCTGGACTCATTCCGTAAGTTATTTCTGCCCCGGCCCTCGCAGCCTAACAAATTTGGTTTCTTTTCGCTGATCCAAAACTTCCAGATGGAAAACGGCTGGAACATCCACAGCTTCTCTGGTCAGACCCTTTCCGAGAACCCCACCGACAAGTTCAAGCAGTTCCTCTGGCGCCCTCGCCCCAAGACCCTCCTCAGCAAGGAGGAGCAGAAGCAAGTGCGCAAGAACCTCCGCGAATACTCGAAGGAGTTCGACGAGGAGGACAAGTACGCTGTCGACATTGCCAACACCGCCGTCGTCGAGACGCGCAAGCGTGTCCTCAACGAGTGGGTTGCCTGGATTCGCCGGGAGAAGGAGCTTCTGTCCGAGGACAAGGACGTCTACGGCGTGCCCGAGGAGGCCGACGACCCCAAGTTGGCCAAGGACGCTCCCCCTGCTACGGAAGACCAGGGCGAGGCCGTTGTCGAGGAGATCGTGGAGGAGATCATCGAGGAGAACGAGGAAGTCATTGGTTGATTGGGTTTTCCTTTCCGTATTTAATGCTACTCTTTATTTTCTATTTCCTCGTTTCTTCATCTTGTCTGTCGATATCCTCGTTCTTCTTTTTTTCCGGGGCAGTCTCTATTTCTCTTTCCCCTGATCTTTTGTCCCCCTTGTTCCCATTTGTCTTGAGCTCGGTCTCTTTGGCTTGGTTTCTGCGCCTAGAGCGTCTGGAACTTGACCACCTTTGCTTCCCCCAAAAAAAGTGAATAGATCTGTATTGCATACTACCCTGTCGGGAATTTTATGTGCGTGATGTTGGTGGCATGAGAGATGACAGACAATGACAAGCCGGCATATGTGCAACGGCAGATGAAGTACCGTGTCAGTTACGCATGTGAATTTTAGCTTCAATTTTTCTTTTTCAAGTCAATGGTTCTCGGTCGGTGACAAACCAGTAGAGTACATCAATTCTGGCACGTCCCCTATGTCCATCGAGATCAATACACTCGTTTTACTGCCCCGATGCGGGTTTTCGAACCATCAAACGGATGGGAACCAGATCAATATCATACCCACTATCGCCAGGCGCCCAGTCCAGCTGTGGCCCTCCAATACCCAGGCCCTTCCTGCGCCGCTAGTCGCAGCCGTACTCGTAGCCGGATCATCAGTCGAGGTCGTCGTCGACGGCCCCGAATACGTACCCGACGGCTGCACATTGACTATGAACAGACCATTCCCCCCACCCATCGCCTCCGTCCCGTCCATCACATTCCCTGGTGGCAGGTACTCGCACACGACGTACCATCCCTGCGCGTATCGATACCGCCCAGAGGCATCTTTTGCGTTGTCATCGTCCCCCGTATATCCGCAATCGACCGCCGCGCAGCCCACCTGCTTCGTGGCCTTCCAGACCAGCTGGGTAAAATGGCCCGTCTCCTCCGTGAATCCGGTCGGTTTCTGGAAATCATAATGGCGGACTTCGTCGCCCCAGGCGGCGATGGCTGCCGAGGCGTTGGGATACCCGAAGGCGAGGTTCTCGCCGTACGGTCCGTGCTGTGTGCACACCACATTAGACATCGTCTTGTCAGTTCTTGAGGCTGCCAGGTGACAAGAAGGAGAGGAAGACTGGTTAGATGGATGGATAAGGGACAGCCAACTCACCGAATGTTTCCATTTACATTTCTGGGCCCAGGCGTGGGCGTAGTCCGTTAGCGTTTCGTTCCAGAGGAGATCCGTTGCGTTGTGGACGCGGCGGTAGGCGTTGCTGGCGGAGAGGACGTCATCTTTAAAGACATCGGCGGACGTATAAGACGGGGGCTGTGGGACGGTTGGAGTAGCGGTTGCACCGACGGTGACTATGACGACGGTTGTTTGGACGATCTGCTCGGCTGGTGCGAGAGTAAAGAGCAGGTATAGGACGAGGAGGATGAGAGGGATTGGGGATTTGAGTGAGGGAGAAGTCATGCTGGGTAGATTCATGGTCATCGATGGGCATTGTCTGTGTTCGGGATGTTTGACGGTATCTGTTTAATGTGAAATGTGACGATCATATGCGAGGAGAAAGAGCATGGTCGAAAGAACCCAGGACCCGGACCAGAAACAAAGGTTAAATATAGATCTGCAGCTGCAGCTGCAGCTGCAACAAAACAAAGCGACAAAGGGCTTTGATTGTGGCTCATTAGGCGCTGGCCCGAAAGATGGAGGATAATGGCATGAATGAAGAAAGGAAAGAATGAATGGATGATAGGATGATAGGGCACAAATGGTCGACGACATCGTTCCAGCAGCCGCCAATTGACGTAATCGATCCGTTTGTATGGTTCGATCTATCGTCAAGTCTCGATCTGAAGAACACTCCTTATTCCACCTCAAATTCCACCGCGATGGGCTGCAGGTCGATTGGGCCACCACTTGGCTCTCCCAAGGCCTCCGGTTGATCCGACGGGGCCATAACCTCGTCTTTGGTTCCCCATCCCCACCAGGTCATAGCCTCTCCTTCGCGCACCGCATAAGTATATCGATGCCCTGATTGAAGGACCGAGGTCTCGTCATGGTCTGGAAGGACCCTATTGGCAACTTTAAACGAATCAACAAAAACGACGGGTGTCTCGGGCAGCAAGGTGCAAAAGAAGCGATCATCATGGCCACCCCGTTCACGGCTGAACCCTCGTCGTTTGGGGCCTTTGGTCAAATTGACGCGCACGGGAGCATCGGCAGTTATATCAAAACACTCAAAATTATCACGCCTTTGAGCAAGCGCCAAGTTGAAAATAGTGGGCCAGGTGAATATGGTGATCGGTGCGGTCGCGTGGGAGACGGCGCGGACGGAGATGGAAGGAGACTGCGTTCGCTTATTGCGGTGGGGAGGAAAGCGAGGAGGATCGACTTCAAGGCTGATGGAGATCGAGGATGCTGGGGACATGTTGATGGTCATGATGTGCTCAGGAATTCAATGACCTTTGGAAGTTGGAATTAGAAAGGGAGCAATCTTTATCTGATGTACGATGGGCCGGGCTTTGTGGCAGCTGACGCTCAAGGCAAGTGATATTCAACAAGTTCCTGACCAAGTGGAAATGAGTGAACTTGTTCGAGCTGCTCATCGCCTCGTCTTTGGCCCCAAAGATTTAACCGATTTAACCTCACTATGTTGGTTGTCCTTGTCCTTCGACGCACTGCCACCTCCACAAGTCGGAATCAATATGGACTACAAGAAGCCGGATCTGCTGCCATTGAGGGAACGGGTGACGACTATTATTGTCGCGTTCTGTTGCTTCTCTACTGCGTATAAGCAATGCAATCGGGAGGCAGTGTTTCATCCAAGCGTCCATGGTCTTCAAACCTAATTCTAGGATCCATCTACCTATGAAGACCCATTCATCATCATCAGTGGTATTCTTCTTCTATATACAAGTATACCTCTCTATATGGGGTATTGCTGTTGAGTGTAGTTGCAAGTCTGCTCTCGTTACATAACATTGCACCCGATGCCATACATAGCACGCTCCACGTCTCGTTTCACTTGGTACCAGTCCGCTCGGCGCTCGGCGAATTCGTACACTTCCTCGACCCGCCAGATTCCATTGAAGCGACCTGAGTCGGCAATGATGGTGGCCAGCTCCTTGGCATCCGAGGGGTCGATCAGGTAGATTTGAGACAGCTCTCGAAAGGCCTTGAAATAGAGTAGAAGTTCACTATTCTTGAGCGTCTGAACGAACTTGAAGTAGTGGTTCATATCGCTGGAATCGGTCAGCAGCGTCCTCAATCCACTGTGCGTCGTGGGTACTTACCTGATCAGTTTCAAGGACCCCTCCACGCTGATCCTTTGGCGCTTCAAGTGTTTGCAGAGAGCGGTAAACAGTCGCAGTCCGACTTCTTGGTTGAAGACGTCCAGCGTGCTTTTGTCGGTACTCCCCACGAGCATTCGTGTATGCGACGATACCACGTCGACTACCGCCGCCGCCGCTTCCGTGACACTCACGTCCATAGTCTTGCGATGAGGGTCTGTAGACACACTGGGGTTGAAGTCCGTAGCTAGCTGCCTAGTGGCAAGAATGTAGTCGACTTCTTCCATGAGAACGTCAATTCCTTTATTCAAACCGGCCGCGACGCGCTCGTCAAGGATCTGCTCGAATTTCTTCTTCTCCTTCACCGCAGGATCCAGGAAATCATTGCGATCAGTCAGCTTAGAGCCGATCAGTTCCTGTTCGTAAAAGACATCGATCATTTGAAGAATGAGATCGCCAACGTTCACCAGCTCTAAGAAGGTCACCAAAGGCTCCACTCCTGACTGATCACGATCTCCCTGCTCGCGAGGGCGATAGTTTGAAAGATGATCCACGGCCTTATTGAATCCGAGAATGAGGTGCTGATGGCCCAATATTCGGACCAGAACAACGAAAATGGCCTCGCACTGCTGTTTCACAGCGGCTCCCGTCTCGCCTCCCAGAGTGACAAACTGGGCAGCTCGTTCCAAGCCCGATTTAGCTGTATGAACGAGGCTGAGTGCAACTTCGATGCTGAAAAGAGAGCTAATTCCCTCTAGTTTTGACTTCATGATTGCTGCCTTTGCTGCAAGCTCGGTGGTCGGAGCCTCTGCGGCAGGGGGGGTCGAAGGCGAAGCGATGGTTGAGAATCGGTTCGCACTCTTAAGCGCCGAAGGTGACTCCCCGGCGGCTGAACCCTCGTCTGACTTTGTGTCATTTGCTTTGGTGCTTGAGAAGCTGGGGAGGATGTTTACAGGCGCCATGATCACTTTCTTAAAGGAAGTTAGGAAGTCTCGTTTATCCGCCTGCCGGTTGATATTCGACATGAGAAATGATTCGGTCGAGGCTGCTTGTTCCGAGAGTTGTCTATCCCAGTCCTTCACTGCGGTCTCAGATATTTTTCGGAAATGATCCAGCTCTTCCGCGAGATAAAGACCCATGTGTGGCTCATACACCTTGCCAATTATATGGTCGAGAAAGTCATCGAAATTGTCCCTTGAATTCTGGATGGGCAATAAATTATCTGAGAAATTCATACATTGAGCAAAGGTCCCGGATATGGCCACGAGGTAGGACTCGATGTCGTTTCGATGTAATTCGTCAAATATTGCGGTCAAGAAGGGATACAACACACCTTGCCCGACTTTCTCAATGAAAGGCGAGGCTACCGCTATAGTCGGGGGGAAAGCACGATTGATAATCGAGACTTCTTCGTTGTAGGCAACGCTGAGGCGAGTGAAAAATGCCTGGGTTTGCTCTAGCTTCACTTGCGGCGTCGACAGGTCGATACAGTCTGCCACCTTGCCAAAGTCTGACCGTCGTGTGATGAGATGATTGTGATGAATGAACAGCTCAACGGCAGAAGCCCCGCCATTCAGTATATAGAGAACGTGAGCATATTGTCGCATTCGCCCATCAATATCTCCGGTTTCATATCCTTGCCTGAACTCCTTTGTAGCCGCGGTTTCAAACATGGCCGTGGCAGAATGCAGCTGCTCGAGCCTGGCCCGCCAGCCTTCGGTTGAATCGCATTTAGCGAAGGACTGCAGTTGAGATAATACCCGCGCCTGATGCAATGGATTGGTATACCTTTTGAAGACCAGATTATCAAACGAGGCGCCCTCAGTAACGATGTCATTGTAGAAGGGCGCGAGCGCAGCATGTACTTTGCCATATTCCTGACGCGCTTCACCGCGTACTGATTTGACCAGTTTCAATGCTCCCAGGACAGGATCGTTATCCGATGCGTCGGGGATATCGGGGGCGACGGAGCTACTCAGGTTGATCTGGTCGAAGCCATCGGAGAGCGAGTTCACATTGATAGAAGGTTTCGGCTCGGTTCCTCCGACAGAGTCCAGAATCTGCCCGGTTTGCTCGGCCTCCTCTTGGTGCTTCACACTGTCCAGGTCGGCAATCGTCCCGAAGGTTTCCTCCACATGTTTTCTCGCTTCCAATTCGTCCCAGCAGCCCATAAGTTTCATCTTTTGTACCCATCTCGTATCGTCGTATGCCATTTCTCGTAGAAGCTTCGACGACCGTGCTGCTCGGATGAGATCGACTGGGGAGAGGTAATCAAGGATCGAAGACATGATCTCTAATGCCGGTCAGAAATTCCAGTTTCATCGCATTACCTACCCCAAGCTTACCTGCTGGAAGGGCAGCCCGGGAGAATTCCTCCATGGATGCCATTTTGAGTGAAGCCAGTACATCTCTGCGCGGTTTCCCGCCAGTCCCCGGTCCATTCCTCACTTTCGACATGGTGTCGTTGCGGTTTCTGCATCGGGAGACAAGCTTCTAAGTCGGGATCGGATGCAATGGGTTGGGTGATCTCCCAGCGGTCAACTACCTATCGGCGGGGCGGGTGCACCAATTGAAGTACTCCGTAGGGCACAGCCAGCCTGATCGGGGGAGTATCTGGCAATGACTTCGTTCAAATTATTCGTATCCGCGTCGTTCGAATGGAGGTACAGAGGCTTGAAGAGTCGATCGTGGGTGACAGCACCACCGATGCGAAAAGACCGTGAGATAAGCTGAAGGGGAGAAGATCCCCGGAAAATCGAGCATCGACGATCGGCGGGCAGAATTCCCATTTCCGACCGGGCGAATCAGAGGGGCTGCAGCGTTGGCACGAAAACCCTCCGAGGACAAGGATTTGGCTGAAGGCGGATTGACAAAGGAGCCAATCTCCAAATGTCAAGCTTTGACCCTGGCGAGAGACCCTTGCACAATGTCTAGATGTGAGGTACAATCAATGCAGCTCGCTGATCATGATTAAATACACCGTAGGACGGGCTGACGTCAAGTTGTCCGTCAATAACTATCGGCGGAGATATATATTAATGAAAAGATTCGGGAGAAGTGCAAAGAGACTCGATCCACAACACTGTCGACACCTCAGGTACACACAGTATCCGTCCATGTCACGAGGGAGCCAGGACTGTCCGTCTCTCCCTCCAGACACGGCTGTCTGCTGAGACCACTACGTGTAGATTCTAGCACCTAGATCTTCGTGCGCCTCAAAGAATCCTGCCCCCCTCCCCACCACCTCAGCGTGGTGCAAGACAGAAACGATGAACTGCATGAGCTGCATGGAAAGTGTCCACAAGCCCGTTCTTCATGTTGAAGCACGCATCAAGACCAATGGAGATGGCTTCATCATCCGCACAGACCTGGTAAGCCATTCTCTTTGTCTGACTACGACGATCCCAAGACTCAAGTCAAAAAGGTCAGGGACGAGGTCACGCAATGGCTTACCGAAAGCTTCGTGGTTCTTTCGCTGGGGCAAGAGATCACCTTATTTGGTATCGTAGCTGGTCGCGACAGAAGGTGACAAGACTGCTGACGGCAAAAATAGAGAACTTCCAAGGACCACACATGCAGTTCATAGACTCTGTTCTTGTGACAGATTGCACGGGAGGAAATGCAGAATCTGGCGCATACTGGCTTCAGCACGTTGACTTGGATGTCCAGGCGTATCAACTACATATGCCCTTCGAGCAGGAAAATTTCCAAACTACGGACGATTTGTTCAATACTAGTGAGGATGTATCAAAGGCAAAGGTGGTGACACTGCCATGCAAGGAACTTGATGGGCTTTGGGAGTCGTACGGGCTTCCGTGGTTTCTCTTCTTCTTCTTTCTTCTTTCTCATGCACGCGCCGAGGGTAGGCTTCTTCGTACTGACCTAAACTGTGAACAGGCTTCAATTCGACGAGCCAATCCAGACTACAATCCTCCGCGCAGTAACCAGGATGGGTGAATGAGTCAGCCTCAATCTAGGAAGCGTCGCCCAGTCTAACCTCCATTAGTGTCATTTTCATCGCGAAATCTTGACCAATGGACTATTAGCTGGAACAAATTAATTCTTCTATGGGGTCCCCCGGGAACCGGGAAGACAAGTTTCTGGTGTGTTCGACAACACTGACCGGCGCAAAGTAAAAGTTGACTGTTTGTTAGTCGGGGCCTGTCTCAGAAGCTGGCAATCCGGCTCGGAAAGTACTACCCCCGGAGCAAGTTGATCGAGCTAAATGCGCACTCCCTCGGTAGTAAGTTTTTTGGGGAAAGCGGGAAGATTGTGAGCAAGGCATTCGAAGAGATCGAGCTCCTGTTGGAAACAGAAGACGATACTTTTGTATATGTCTTTGTGGACGAAGTTGAGACGCTGGCTGCTCGGAGAGAGCGGGCGCTGGCGGGCAACGAGCCCTTTGACGCGGTTCGCGCCGTCAATGCTTTGCTTACGAGTCTGGATAGACTCAAGAAGTATGGGAATGTGATTGTGATCTGTACGAGCAATTTGGTTACTGCTCTGGTAAGCGTTCCGGAGAGATGGCCTCTGTGAGCAGACTTGACCCTTTCCTCTTGAGCAGGACCAAGCGTTTCTGGACCGGGTTGATATCAAACAGTACATCCCACACCTGTCCAGCCGAATCATTTATGGCATCTACAAAGAATGTCTGCAGGAGCTCTGTCGTAGGGGGATCATCGAGGGCATGTCGTTTGACGTAACCCAACAGAACCCCGAGGACTCTTTCACGACCCTGCAGTATGTGGAGCTTCCCACGGAGCATCTCGCCCTGCCGGCCTTTGACGAAATGCTCCTCCATTATCAAGGCTTCGTGAATGCCGTTCCGAAGCAATTGGCGGACGCCGCGTCCGAGAGTGTGGTTCGTGGTCGGCGATGGGCAGACATCCGCGCTGGTAGACGAACAGCTGCTAACCCCTTCCATAGGGTCTCAGCGGGCGGACCATTCGACGTCTTCCCGTCTTGTCTTTGGTATTGTATAGTCCCAGCAGTGCTGGCTGTGGTGTTCGAACGGCCATTCAGGCGCTGCGGATGGGCATTGCGTCGGAGAGGCAGGCCAAGGCGGAAGCGCAGTGAGCGACCGAGAGACGGGAGGCGCACACCGGCAGCGAACGGGAAGGGAGCGACCGGAATCGGAGGGAGGACACCACGACGGTAGACGGTAGTGATGAGGGGGGACGGAATCGGTGTTGGAGATGAGAAGGGTGTCTGGTCCATCTGTAGGGAGTAGAAGAGAGTATTACTTAGGTGATAGTTACTCTCTCAAGGAATCGTCAGCAACCGGAAAGTCAATCGAAAATTGTTGTTCCGAAAACTCGCGGGTTTTTCACCCAAGGCAGTTAGAACGAGCCCGGCAGCCAATCAGGACGAGGGTTTAGGCAATTCCCAACCCAAGAGAAACTTGACCGTTCGACTCGATCCTCGACTTCATCTCTGAAAGCATCTCTCGTCTCTTACTCCGTTCTCCTCCACCCCCCTCCCCCCTCCCCCCCCCTCTCCGCTTTTTATAGGCTATTGTGCCTGCTTGGTTTTTCCATTGATCGGAGGGCCATTTCATATTGTCAGTATGCTGGCACGTACTGTTTCGCGCAGCGTGCCCTTCCGGGCCGTCGCCCGTCAGACCTTGAGCAAGACCTCCACCGTACGCTGGTCCCGACATTCCGCTCCCCCCCCTCCCCAATTGGCCTCCATCGATAACATCAATCGGTTTCCAATGGCCTGTGGATGTGATTGAACAGGCTCCATACTGACATTGCATCCTAGCGTGCGTCTTCCTCGTCCGCCGGTGCCGAATCCGCCAGCTCCCCCTTCCAGCTCACTCTCACTGCCTCCGTCGCAACCGCCGCCGCTATCGGGTCGGCCGCCTGGTACTACCATCTATATGGACAGGAAGCTTTCGCCTCGACGCCTGCCGAAGAGGGGTGAGTCAATTGTGGCGGAGATTCTCGGAGATGGTCCCTGAAGGAAAATCTCCATTGCTCCGACCAACCAGGCCATATCAAATCGAATTCGTGAAACTGACCTCTGGATCTCAAGATTGCACCCGACTGCCTACCCTTGGGAGCATGCCAAGTGGACCAAGACCTTCGATCACGCCGCGTGAGTCTTACCTCGAATTCAGCTGATTATGTGGCCGTGGCACCCCTACTGACGAGTTACGCCTCTCAGCCTCCGCCGTGGTTTCCAGGTTTACCGTGAAGTCTGCGCCAGTTGTCACTCCCTGACCCGTGTTCCCTGGCGTTCTTTCGTCGGTGTTATGCACACCGTCGACGAGATGAAGGCTTTCGCCGAAGAGAACGAGTACGACACCGAGCCCAACGACCAGGGCGAGATCGAGAAGCGCCCCGGAAAGCTTTCGGACTACATCCCCGCTCCCTACAAGAACGAGGAGGCCGCCCGTGCTGCCAACGCCGGTTCTCTGCCCCCTGATCTCAGCTTGATCGTCAAGGGCCGTCACGGTGGCTGCGACTACATCTTCAGTCTTCTGACCGGTTACCCCGATGAGCCCCCTGCTGGTGCCACCGTCCAGGAGGGCATGAACTTCAACCCCTACTTCCCCGGAACTGGTATGTCTTGACTTTACTGTTTTTCTTTCCTCCTCTCTTCTGTTTTCACTTCTCGCACTTTGTTTGACCCGATCTAATTGGAATGTGACGTGCAGCTATTGCCATGGGCCGTGTTCTCTTCGACGGTGTCGTTGAGTACGAGGACGGCACCCCCGCCACCACCTCCCAGATGGCCAAGGACGTCGTTGAGTTCCTCAACTGGTCCGCCGAGCCCGAGATGGACGACCGTAAGAAGATGGGTGTCAAGGCCCTCACTCTCCTGACCGGTCTGTTCGCCGTCAGCGTCTGGGTCAAGCGTTACAAGTGGTCCCCCATCAAGACACGAAAGATTGTGTACAACCCCCCTGTTTCCCGGCGCTAAATTGCCGCGGTGGACTATATGAATTGCAAAATGGGAAGGGGCTCGAAGGCGGCCCTTGAATAATGCGCGTCCCCAATCCCAGGCTGGGGGTTCGATCGCCGTCCTTTTCGTCAGCTATCCGCCCCCCACTTTTCTTTTACGTTCCATGGTCTACTTGTTTTGTTAGATGTTATTCAGGACACCTGTATCTGTACCTTAGATATTTATTCTCCTTTAAAACCTTGTTTGAAGATCCAATGTCACTTATCTCCTTTGTTGCCATGTCTGCTTTCCCGGCGGTAAAATCCTGGCTCCCGTGATACGATGCTGCATTGGGATGGTTCTGCCGATCTACAAAAGCCAAATTCTGTTGCTATAGAGCATGCAGTGGGGATGTTGGATGTGGTGGTATGTATTTGGCGGGCCTATGTACTAAAGATGCGAGTTGTTTTGGTATCAAGCGCAAGCTATTTCTTATCTTTCTCTTTCCCTCTCTATCCAACGAGGAATAGATAATCCGTGACATCTCGTCACGAACCTACCTGTCTAGTGTCCGTTCCCCGTCCCCGAATATCCTCGCAAAGGCTATATCATAGGAACTCCACATCGTGAAGAAAGTGAGATCGGCCAGCTTGATCACCCAGGGCGGGCCGCGACCATCATGACCCGCCATCGTCCTTGTCAAGGTGAGTGTTAGAATCAAGAACGGACCCCACACCACCAGAAACACGGCCTTGCCGATCTGCTGGCGAACAGTCGTCGCTCGGTACGGTTGGATCTGAGACAGGTATGTTTGGTAGGAGACGGGGAGGTTGTGCTCGGCGGCACCGGTGATGATGAGGTTGAGATACCGTGGGGACGGTTGCGCGTAGCCTAGAGGATGGGGACGGACGAGAGGGCTCGATCGCGAGAGGAACGGTCTCCATAGACGGGACAGCATGCGCCGAGCATGGTGGTCGCCCTGGTCGACGGGCGCAAGAAGCGTGTGGGCCTTGAACGGCGTGGTAGAGGGAGGGTCGGGGACCGGGTCGGTCGGTTTGTAAGGGTCGGGGAAAGGGTAACAGTCCACGACGATGTCTTTGTATCCGCCGCCGCCGCCCTCCGTGGCTATGATGCGGGCGTAGTCGGACACGGTGACCTCGTAGACGACGCCGACGAGGGGTCTGTCGGACGGCGACTCCCGATGCGACGAGAGAGGCGTCTTCTCCGAGATCGAGACTCCCGTCGCATTATCGTCGATGTCATCTTCCTCGTTGTTGTTCCATTCCTCGGACGAAGTATGGCGGTATCGCGTGGCCGCAAAGCAAGGCTCGACGTAGGGCAGGCCGGGAAGGTCGAAGGTTAATTTTAAGTCCGGCACGACGACATTGATCTGCGAAAGCGGTCTGATGCCTCGTTTACCCAGAAAAGTCTCCGCAGCCAAGTTGGACCCGTAGGCCAGGTATAGGACGCTCTTTTCAGGGGAAACGGTCTCGAGGGGTTTGGTGGATGAGAGGGGAACTTGGTCGGCGAGCGCTTCGTCCAGGTCCAGCGACTTCTCAGCGATCGACTCTCGTCGCCTGGCACACGTTGTCTTAGGGAGGTGGCTTTGCGTCTCTCGAGAGGAAGCGTCAGCAGAGGGGGAAGAGGGAAGCAGTTCCCACAGTCGCTCGAGAGTCTCCAGAACGACGTTGCGAGAGGCGCGAGGGCCTTCTTCGACGCCGTGGCTGTCCGGATAGGGTGACGTCGGCATGTTCTGAAACAGCTAAAATGTCAACTAAGATGACGCGATATCTACCAACTATGAGAACAGCAGGTAGTCAGCCCTTTATCATTCATTATTGTCCTCGTACGAGATAGGCCCGGAGGCCCAAGCTAGTGCCCGTGTGACATCGGCGTTCGCAGATTCCTGGTCCGGGGCGAGCGAAGTCCGTCCGGCGTGGCGGTTCGGAGCGGAGCGGATTCGCATCCGGCATTGCTTACAATATCAAGAAGCTTTTGGAAGAGAAACGAAGGACAAGCACGGCGTCATCCATCTAGATCATAGCTACTGTTCACCCCGACGCTCAATACAGCCATTGCTTGGTCTTACTATCCAAACACCCACCTTCTGCCTCTTTCCACTCCGTTCTGATCAGGTCTGCCTTCTCTCTAGTCCGAGGTCTAATCGTTGCAGGATACTCCTCCGGCAAACACACAAACCCCTGAGTCAACCGGTCCGCGTCCGGTAGAATGGGACGTCCCATGGCATCCAGGGCCGGCGAAATATCAAATGCCCACAGAATCCCTGCCATGCCGAGGAACAAGCTGCGCTCAGCGACATGCATGCCCGGACAGATGCGACGCCCGGCCCCGAAGGTGAACATGTCGCGCTTTGTAACGTCCGGGTTAGTGGCGGCATCGTGGAGACTTTGCTCGTCGCCTTGATAGCGGTCGGGGTTGAAGATACGTGGATTGGGATGGCGTTTCGGATCCATGTGAATGGCCCACACGTTGTGCAGGACCCCCGCCCCCTTAGGGATCAGGTATCCCATGTATTCGTCATCCTGCGTGACGGCATGGGGCACGGCACCCAGAATGGCGGTTGGCATCCACCGTAATGTTTCCTTCATGCAGGCCCGGATGTATGGCAGCTGCGAGAGATCATCCATCACCGGCAGGCGATTCGGTCCGACGACCTGGTCAATCTCTGCCTGCGCCCTGCGTTGCACCTCCGGAAACAAGAGCATGGCCTGAACAAAGGCGTACAGGGTGTTGGAGGTCGTATCGGAGCCCGCTTCGAGAAGCGTCCCCGAGATATACGCGGCCTGGTCATCGCTGTACATCTCTCGCCTCTGGGATTCGAACATCCCAACGCAAAAGCATGGCTTGATGCAGTCGGACTGTATTTCCTCTTTGGCCCGCAACCAATAACTCAGGTAGAGTGGCTTTTCGCGCTGATGGAGTGCTTTGGCCTGTTTTTGGGTAGGGATTAGGAAATCCGGCAATCTTCCCAACCACGGGAAGAAGTCGATGATTGCCGCAGTCCCTGTCTGCGTGAGGGCCGCAAATTCGGCAACGCTCTCAAACAGCTGCTTTATTTTGGGATCCTCGTAGGTGGGCGTTCGCCAGCCATAGACCATCGTTGTAGTCAACGCGTTTGAGTAGCGGCGAATATGCTTGAGGAACCCGCCGGGTCGCGTTAGGAATTCATAGAGCATTTGCTTGTTCTCCAACACCTGGTAAGGTATATAGTTCTTGGAATTGACGATATTCAGCAGCCCGTGGGCCAGCTTTCGGGTCTGTCAGAGATGCAGGTCAGTTACCACTGAACGGGGATCTTAGGTCCCTAGAGGGTGAACGTACCATCCGCCAGGTTGGCCCATATCGCTGTTGATATTTTTTCATTCATTAATTGTTGTCGGTACTGGATAACATATGATGACCCACCATCATCAACACACGGAGACCACCGCTGCACAATGTTTGACCAATATACATCTCTTGTCGATCTGAATAGATCCTGCTTCGACGGTCGAGGAGTTCTTTGACCACTTCGTCACTCGAAATGACGATTAAGCATTTTGTCCCCAACATCAGACTGTATATCGGACCATATTCGCGAGCCCATCTCTCGAAGTGGAGATGTGCATCACGACTGGGCATCTGTATTGTCACTCCTTTAGAATTGACGTAAAGCAGAATTGGCCTGAGAAGCTATACCTGATGGATGTTGCCAATGATGGGTAAGGTGGGAGGACCGGGCGGGAAGTTCTTGGGACGATGGCCGATAGAAAGAAGTTTCACGATGACTATTGCCGCGATTGTGGCACCTAGGGCCGAGATGAAAGATACCATATTGAGGTGATTTAAAATGGCAACATTCGATGAAAGGCGAAGTGAAGGAAAAGAAAGCGCGGAAGAAGGGGGGTGGGCCATGGACTGGTGGATTGCTGCTTGATGCATTCCCAAGCACGGGGTGACTACCAAGTCTTTCTTGACTCCCTCATTATTTGCCATGGCTATCAAATTGCCTCGGGTTATACGTGTCTGTCAGAAGGTCCCCACCGACTGTTTCTGCAAACAGTGCTCATCAATGCGGTTTTGGGGTCTAGAGGAGCGGAGTATGCAGGGAGGGAGAAATACCGACGAACAAGATTTCGCCAACACATCAAGAGCGCCATGCAGGTCTGCAGAGGGAAAACATTCAACGGTCGAACATATGCACCACAGCAAATCACTTTTCACAATGCCGTTTGCCAACGTTCACTATCTTTGAATACCTTCGAGTCAAAGATCGGCCTGGGGCATCTGCTCAAAAATTCGTTAGCCGACCCTTCATGTGGTGTGTGTTTGTGTGTGTGTGTGTGACGTTTCCAAATGGTGATGATAAAATTTAGAAAATAGAGGTCATGGTAATTGGCACTCCTGGTGATTTAGTTGATCAAGGCTCGATCTAAACCAACCCCAGTGGTACTCTATCCCGAGCTGCTGATGTGTAATACGACCGTTTCACTCCATGCTGAGCATCGAGTGCATCACTTGAGGGTCATTATCGGTCATTCTCCCTGCCATGTTAACTGTTGAGTGGAACAAACATCGCCTCAATGCTAGAAATTCGCCCCAGATCCTGGCTTTGGACCCTTTCCGTATACTCAGATGGGTAACTCGCAGGAATGGCATCTGTCCTGTCCCGAAGACTATTCTCAGTCTGTTGCCCGCATGGCTCCTTTTGCCCAAATTTTAATATCGTCGCATGCTGTGTAAGCCAAGGGGTGTGTGGTGATGTCTTGAATACGATCTCTCACTGCGCTGACAGTGCTTGAGATCTCTATCCCAACGGAGGCTACTTTTGTTACGATGGGAGGGAAGCTTCGCGAAACGGGAAGACGACGAAGTATCATCTACTGGCTCTTGCATCCCCGGATACAAGCTGCAGTATCGTCGCTTGTGCTACAGATAAGTGAGCATCCTCCTTTATAAGTAGATAGCGGTTTAGAGAGACTACTCACTGCACGTCTATTCCTTTGACAGGTACGACTTTTAAGCACCTCGGCACCGAAATCTACCAGATCTACCACGTCTGCTCCATCGCCCACAAACACCGAGATCGGTTCATCGAGTGTTTCCCATGCGAATACAGGCGCCATTGCGGGTGACGTCGATGGCGGCGCGAACGACCAAAGACCGACCAGACACCGACCGATAATCTTCGTTCTGAAGCTTTCGAAGAGCGCGGGATTCTCGCTGGCCCAGCTGAAAACCAACCAAGTGACAGAACTGTCGTCCGATAGCGGAGCTTCCTACGAGTTACCAACAGTAGCTTTGGATGATGATTTTGCGATCGATATGGTTATGTTCTTTTCCGAGCTGTTGGCCGGTCTCTTCTACCTCACGATACCCTTAAGACTTTTTAGTATATCGTTTCTGCCCTACCTAGTTCTTTCAGAGTTGGTTGAACGAATCAACAATGTTCTGGCCTTCAAGCTTTAGACACAAAGCTGAAGATTACTTTGCTCCATATTGGACGGTTTTGGTACTTGCTCCCGAGAGCACTCGGCTGTGCATCGTATACAGACCAGTTGTATGTGAAGAGAAAGGCATTGTACGGCCATTAAGGCCGTTGACCGTCGATCAATGAGCGGACATGATCGGGAGCTCTCGCGGTAAGTAAATCCTCGCCGAGGTTAAATATTGGGGCAGTGCGAATGAAGTGCTAACGAGATGACGTATCATATCCAAGATAAGTGCCTGCGAAATTGCCGAGAGAAGTGGGGGTGAGGAAGTGAGATAGTTCAATAAGAGGAGTAGCCCTGGAGATATTCCTACCGGATTCACGAGAAAACCAAAGGATGCTAACTGTCCTGCGTTGTTTTCTGCTACTCTACGGCATCGATCGTTGCTACCATGGACACAAGTCATATTCCCAAATGTAGAGGGCTGGTCTCCTACGGTCCGTACAAATCTGGCGGGTGGAGATTGCAGAACCTCACAACTCGGCCTTTGAGGGGAAAGGAAGTGCTTGTTGAGATTGTGGCTTCGGGAATTTGTCAAACCGATCTACACTTTGCGGGCGCAGACAATGGCCCTGGGGTCCATTATCCTCGCGTTATGGGGCATGAAGGTGCGTCATTTTTGCTCGAATGAGAGTATAACACCTTTCAAAATATTCAAGTGCGACAGTCGATCAAAGCCGCAGTAGGAGAATATGAGCTGACAGTGGGCATGCAAGGTGCTGGGTACGTTCGAGATTTTGGGCAGGGGGTCCAGGTGGCCAAGGTGAACGATCCAGTCATACTATCATTTTCTGCTTGCAAAAGCTGTGAGCCATGCGGGCGAGGAAATCCCGCACATTGCGTGAGGTTCAACGCCATCAATTTTGTGGCCGAGCCCGACAACCTCGTCTTCAAGGAAGCATCCTCGACGCGGAGGCATCCCGACATCTATGGTCAGTTCTTCGGCCAATCGAGCTTCTCCAGCTGGTCCATTGTGCGAGAAGACTCGGTAATAAACGTGTCCGGCATGGTCGAGACGAAAGAGGAGCTGCAGTTACTTTCGCCGCTGGGCTGTGGAATCCAGACCGGCAGCGGCGCAATCATCCATGCAGCCAAAGCGGGCGTCAATGATCGCGTCGCCATCATTGGCCTGGGAGGAGTTGGTCTGAGTGCCGTCATGGGAGCCAGGCTTGTAGGTTGTGCTCAAATCATTGGCATCGATCAACATCAGTCTCGCCTGGAGCTTGCAAGGGAGCTCGGAGCAACGCATGTCATATCAACTGAGGGCATGTCCGACCTGCAGGCGACAACAGAGGCCGTCCTCAAAATGACAGATCACCTGGGAGCGAACATCACTCTGGATACGACCGGGGTCCCGGCGTTAATCGCGGAGGGAGTGAAAATGACGGCCTTCAAAGGAAAATGTCTACAGGTTGGGACTGCCCCTGACACGGCCACGGTGACCATTCCCATCCACGAGTTTATGGTGGCGGGGAAACAATTCATCGGAGTGGTGGAGGGCGACGTGCAGCCACAGGAGTACATTCCCCGATTAATTAATTGGGTCAAGGATGGCCGCCTTCCTTTGCAGAAGATCGTGAAGTTCTACCAAGCTGCTGACTTCGACCGGGCCATCCGAGATATGCAGTCAGGCTTTACTATTAAGCCCATTATTCTGTGGTGATGAAGTCTTAGTCTATCAATCTGCCTGTTTCTTAGTAGAAAGACAAGAAAAGAGTACTCCGTAAACGATAAAGACAAAAAACCGAGGACGAAGACGACTTCACCTGCGAGATGCAAACCCCTCCTCCTTTTTGCCCCTCGGCGGACACTTCATCCACACCCACAGCTTTAGTTTCACTGCACCTCGTGGAATCAGCCCTATCATAGGGCACCGCCCATTTGATTCCACAATCAAAGGTGGCTTGCAGCAGGTTTCTTCTGCTCGTGTCCTCCGCACTTATCACGGAGCATTATTACTACTATTCGGAGAGATCACATACACTGCATGATGCTCTTGCACTGCCCCTCCCCCGCTCTCCCTCCAGCTGTCCCTCAAAGGCGATCTGTAGAAAGTTCATACCAGAGATTGTTTGATCAAAACTGACCCTATAATCTGTGTGAAAATCCTGCATTTTGTCTGCTGGTCGGAATGCGCGGATGTACACCTAATGCGTCCAGCGAAAACAGACCAGCTACTATACCTGTCACGTAGCCAGCGGTCTTCACTGGAACCTTGATACGGGTTGCTTCTACCATGACAGAATAGCATGCATCGTACGACATGCTAAGCCATTTGCCAAACCCACGAATTCCAATTGAGTTAGAGAGTCGCCAAAAACAGGCAGAGACGAGAAAGAGTAGATACCTCCTTGGGTATCTCCATCATCAGGCATCCCAACATGCAGAAAACATGTCCATCTACCGGTTTCTCAGAACCATCATTCTGGCCTGAAATTCATGTGGTGGATGATGATGTGCACACCTATCGTGCTTGACGTGGTTCCAACAAAATCCCTCCAAAGCGGACGGAGGAAATGAGGGGTTGGGATGGTTGAGCTTGTGGTTGAGACAAAGTGTCAGCTATATATCGGCCAGCTTCGGATGGTCTTTGTCATTTCTGGACTCTCTCATCATCTGCCAAAGCCCTCCATCCGTTTACCTTTTCATTCCCTCGAAACCCTGAATCGAGTATTCAACCAGAAGTCAAACCCACCGACCATTCAAAACCATACCCTTCATAAAAACAAGCAAAATGTCTGCCAACCCCAACATGGTGAACGCCAAGCAGCCCGTGATGGTCACGATCCCTGCGGATGCGAAAATCGGTATCACTGGCAGGACGAACGCGGACTACCATCAAAAGGTCACCGTCAAGGATGTGACCGGAACGACTCAATATGTCTTCCAAGGAAGCGGCGAGGGGAAGGCGTTGACCCTGCACGGAGGGAGCGACAACTCGCGAGTGAGCCTCGAACCTATCACCGGTGGCCGAATGCGCACGTTGGCCATCAACTTCGAACACTCCAGCGAGGGCCCATCCGGTACCTTTACCGACTCACTGGCCCTGAACCCGACAATCCAAACCATCCACGATGCGAGCAACAACGTCAAGAACATGTACTGGGAGATCGCCAGTGAGGACAACGTCGACATGGACTACAACGATGCCATCATTCGCATCGAAGCCGACTTCTAAGCACTTCGGAAATCAAATCGCATTAGTGGTTTAGGAAAACGAAAACAAGAATGTTGGATTGGAGAAAAAGTGACCTGATAACATGGATTTTCAACTACAGAATTGTAGTTTAGCTGTCTGAGGACATGCCTCTCACTTACCTACTACTAGCAGTAGTCAATCAAGTCTTCTATTCTCTAAACAGTCTGTCCCGTGAAAGTGCTGTAGACGAGCCAATATTGCGGAACTAGTACTCTGAAACCATCGAACGTGAGGGGGAGAAAATCTGGGGCGGTCACAGAATTCGTTCGAGGAAGGCAGGGAGATGTTCTTTCCTCAGGCCATCTTCATGGCAGAACAACGGGGACATCATGTGATTCCAACCTTTCAGGGACTTATCCTTCTCTTCCCCTCTCTTAGATGCCATACCGATTATCATAAAAGATGACTTCGCTCTCTACCTATCCATAAATGCAGGATGTCGCAAGCTTCTGCATCAACCGTTCGTGAAGGGTTTGAGCTAGATTGCATGAGAGTGTTAGCTTCGCACATTGGAATTCCTGTTGCAGAAGACAATGGGAGCGAGTCGGACTATGCGATAGAGTTGGTCTAAAAACTTGACATGTGTGGTTTCCTGGGCTAACTCCGATTGATCTCTAAAGCCAGTTAATGAACACCCTCTTGCGTTCGACATCTCCCATCGTCCGATCGAGTCTGCTGGAGGTTATATGCATATTGGAACAGAAAAAAACATCCTTACCAAAGAGCTTTTATACAATATTCTCACGGTTTTTGTCATACATTTTACTCAACTCGGCAACCGAGGCCGGACAAAACGCTGGGCTCCACCTTCTGCTGGTCAGGCTTGGTTTCCACGGCTCAGGCTGAACACTCTAACTCCGACTAGGACCTTCTTGAAGATACAGGAAATTCGTCGATAAATTGCCAACTCATTTACCAAAGAGATCTGGGGAGATCTGTTGACCTGCAGCACAAGTTGATCTTAGTCCTGTTCCGTCTTTTCGTCAACAGACGGAAAGAGCTTCGTTTTCGCTTATTTGTCAGTACAGCAATTATTATAGACGCTGAAGTACGACTCACATATCCAAGATAGGCAAAGTGTTGGTAGAGTTGCTATCAGAATGCAAGGACGGTGGCTTAGTTGCTAGGTTGAGTCATGCCACCTTGGCTGGGTACGACGCTACGAATCTTTTTGATAGGACTAATCTAACGGTTATACTTCAGAATCGTGCCCTTGCTATCTCGGAAAACAGATATTACCCTGAAGCTTTTTGCAAGTGTTATCATTCAAATACTTACAACAAGAGAGGCAATTGTATGGTCGCCAGATAGGACGAGGCACAGGGAGATTTTCTTCAAGCATCTCCATGAAAGCACAGGCGATTTGGTGCAATCCTTCCACGAATATGCCAATGAGATTAAAAATTACCCGTCAGGTACATTGGGATTACGGCTAGAGAGAAATGTTACTCCTACGCCTTCTTGCTACCTTCTTCAATCTGTTAGTATCGACTCAAAAGTGTTGGCAGAGGGCAGCATTTTGGCTGTGCCAGGATGCAATAATTTGAGTATTATACACACCGTGGATCGTTTATCAACACGGTCTTTCAGATATATTGAAGTTCCTCTTGAGTTCATCCGATGGACTAGATACACCCCAAATCCTACGGAAGAACATGCGACCCGTTTGGACCTGTTCTATGAGAAATCGAAGTTTATACTGATCGACGGGAAGATACAATATCTTGATGACGTGGTGTTCAGTCTATTATCCAGCAGTGATCTCACGGCACTACATACCGAAATTCAGAAGACAGGCAGCTCGGCGACACCAGGCTCGGTTGCTAGGAAACCATCGTCAATTTTGCTTCGCCTTGACCATGCGGATAATGTTCATGAATGCAGTACTGAAGGAGGAGAGAATGCAACGAGCGAAAAAGAAATCAGCCGAAGGGACCATGACGACTACATCAATACCCAAACTATGTCTTTTCGAAAAGGATCGGACCTGTTTACTAGGAATACCAGAGCCCCGCTACCTAGGACCCGGGACTCACTGATTTTTCATCTGCAGCATACACAAAAGGAGTTTGACACACCGAGCTCGAGAGCTGCTGCTGACTGGGCCAAAGACTTTCGGCTAAATGCTCGTGATGCGGGCAACGAGGACTCCAAGGACGGAGGATCTAGTTATATACTGTCATCACCGAGTAACTTGAGGCAGAGAAATCTTGATACTGCCACATCTCCTGGGAAGCGCAGGAGCTTAGCGGGAAAAATCCCGAGCATCGAACTAGACGAAGAGATAGTCGGCGAAAGAGCTGGAGGCAGGGGTCAACAGATCGGGGGAAAACTTGCTGCAGCCTTCCAGAAAGCCGAGCCACTACGGACGGAACGTGAGGCCACGCCAAAGAGTGTAATAGAGATCGAAATTCCCGACAGCCAAGAACGTGACCCGAGCATGCACGAAATGGACTATGAACCGAATGCGGAGAACTTAGTCGAAGGTTCAGACAAGAAAAGCGACAATATTATAAAAGACGGACGTTCAAAAAATGACACGAGAAATGGCGGGCAAACTTTCCCCGATGACTTGGAGGCAAGCTTAAGGAAGGCCATAGTGGATAGCAATGGAAGCCCTAGGCTGATGTCCCGAGTAAGGTCAAAAGGTATAGGGCAAAGCGAGGACCAGCCGGCCACGGACAAGACACCCAGGGTTGAACCTCGCAAGACGAAAAACCCCTTCAAGTCATTTGACGATGAATCCGGATATGATGCAAGCAGCGAAGAACTCTCGGATGGGATGCCTGATTCCGATGGTGATTTTGGTCGGTCAACTACCAGCCAAAAACCAGCAATTAATCGCAATTGGACACCAATACTTGATGCAAAGACAGTCAAGATTGACTACGATAGTAGGGTACCAAGATGGGCATACTATTCTGAATCCGAGCGCCCGGTCTTCTCTTCGAGGTGCCCCAGCATCGGGGTACCAAGAAAGCAACATGGCGAGAAACTTGCGAGAACGAATCTTGTCGAGCCTAAGAACCAACCGGACTTTCTGACATGTCTAAGAGAGCCTATACACTGCACTTGTCTAACACATTCCAGCATGCAGACCAAGAGCAACAGCAGGCTCCGAGGAGCAGATGCTAGCCTAGAGCAAGGTGATCGGGAGACTGAGCAATACCAACGAACACACGAGAGACAGCCCTATGAATTGACTAGCGACTTGGATGGGGAGATTTTGACAAATTCCAGTGTTGGTACTAAACAACGATCGAACGATATCAGCCAGGGCAAATCGCTTCTAGCTCTTCAAGAGAGTGCTAAGAAGATGTCGATGAAAACAAAGAGGGTAAGTAGATCCGTGGATAGATGGCCTTCCTCCGCTGTTATTTTTCCTTCTGTCTGTCTTTGTTTCCGGTAGTTTGTTAATGTCTCGAACAGCATCTGGCTCGTCAATTAGAGAATGAACGGGAGGTAGCCGGCCAAGTTTTAGAGCAGTATCGTCGGGATTGCAATCATGTTCTTGATCAGCTTCTCGAAGGGCAGGAGGAACGGATCCGAGTTTGCGAGGAACAGATGAATACCATTCAGAAGCAACATAAGGAAACCTGCGAATCCCTGATCCATCGTCTGAAGGAGGACGAGCTACGAATTCGCAAGAGAACATCCATGCATGTGACTCAGGGTCTGGAAAAAAGGGGTCGAAAGCGGAGGAGAGTTAATTCGCCGGGGCGCCGGACAAGCTCGGCGGATATTGGCATGGCTTCGGATATCTCTAAACGGATAGTTCAGGTAGTACCGGGACCTGGCCATCATTCTTAGCACAGCGGGGTTTTTATGACGGGCGGAAACACGCTTTATCTGTATTTCTAGCTGCTTGTTCACCAGAAGAATGAGAAAAAACCGAGGAGTCATCCCTGGACGGGCCTCTACGGAGTATTTCTGTGCAACTTCCCCTACATAAAAGTTATGGAGGTACTGAGTACACCGGTGTACTTACTGTACATACAGTAGACGAGATGACAATGACGTCAGGGACCAGCAAACATACACAAACCCGCCGCAGCCAATGAGAGCGGCGCCGATCTCATGACCGGGACTCAGGCATCCAGGCACTCATTGGCTCTCACCGAAAGCACGTGCCCTCTGGGCCGATGACTCCTCGGCCGATGTAGGAGCCAAAGAATGAAATGGAATGGAATGACTGCGAGAGAGAAAGAAAAAAAAGGAGACAGTCATTTTGAAACTCTTCATTCACTGCTTCCTTACCTGACGAATTCCAAGAGCCACCTTGTAAACTACGGTTGTCTTCTCTGCGCTCTGCTGTTCTTACATTGAGCACCCTCTCTCAACTTTCCTTCTTTCCTGCCCCTCCGTACTCAGCTTCCCCGCCATGTCTGTGAGTCAATGTTGTGCCTCGTGTCTCAACCACGACCCATTGTGAACACCCTCCCTAATCAATTTCACAGTTCTTCATTGAGAACCCCAATGTGGGGGATCAAGCCAGTCTTGAAGATTCGAGAAGTATGTTTTTGCGACCGAATTCTATTCTCCCTCGATTCAATTCATTAATTGGCGATTTGCATTTGCTGTCCAGTTCGAGGATACAATCCTCTGACACCCCCCAACCTCCTCCAACATGAGATCGCATTGACGGAGACCTCTCGGAAAACGGTCATGGAGGGCCGTGAGGAGGCCATCGCTGTCGTTCACGGTACGGATACTGACAAGCGTCGCCTGATGGTCGTCATCGGACCATGCTCTATCCACGACCCCGAAATGGCCCTCGAGTACTGCGACCGTCTGTTGAAGATGAAGGAGAAATACAAGGACGAGCTATTGATCGTCATGCGATCCTACCTGGAGAAGCCCCGTACTACCGTTGGATGGAAGGGTCTCATCAACGATCCGGACATCGACAACAGTTTCAAGATCAACAAGGGTCTGCGGACCTCGCGTCAGCTTTTCGTTGACCTGACCAACAAGGGAATGCCCATTGCGAGTGAGATGCTGGATACTATCTCGCCTCAGTTCCTGGCCGACTGTCTCTCCGTTGGTGCGGTTGGTGCGCGCACCACCGAGTCGCAGGTCCACCGGGAATTGGCTTCGGGTCTCTCCTTCCCTGTCGGATTCAAGAACGGCACCGACGGCTCTCTGGACGTCGCGGTGGATGCCATTGGGTCTGTGAAGCACCCTCATCACTTCCTTTCCGTCACTAAGCCGGGTGTCGTCGCTATTGTCGGCACTGTCGGCAACCCTGACTGCTTCGTCATCCTTCGCGGTGGAAAGAAGGGCCCCAACTACAACGCGCAGAGCATTGCCGAGGCCAAGGCCAAGCTCACCTCGCAGGGAATGGAGCCCCGCCTGATGGTCGATTGCAGCCACGGCAATTCCGAGAAGAACCACAAGAACCAGCCCAAGGTGGCTGCCACTCTTGCCGAGCAGATTGCTGCTGGCGAGACCGCAATCATGGGTGTTATGATCGAGAGCAACATCAACGAGGGTAAGTGTGATTGACATCGGGATAAAGGATCAACGAATTATAAGCTAACCCTCTTCGTAGGCAACCAGAAGGTGCCGCCCGAGGGCAAGGCCGGTCTCAAGTACGGAGTCAGCATTACGGATGCTTGCATCCACTGGGAGGACACCGAGTCTGTGCTGGAGAATTTGGCGCAGGCCGTGCGAGCTCGCCGAGAGAAACTGGCCGCCTAATAGGAGCCGAGCCGACTTGGGTTTCATGAACCTAGTTGCATTAATATTCGAAAATATCTTTTTTTTGTTTAATGGTTCCAATGGGATTTGACTATAATAGCGATGTTTTAAAATAAAAGCACGATTATTTTTTTTTTGGATTCTTGAAGAACCGGGGTTTGACATCAGTACTTCTATTCTACTCTCTGGATGGTAGGGAGCGCAATGCTTGGCGGTTGTGCAACCTCAGGCACACACGTCTTCGTGGAGTTTCATCAACTTCCACAACCATCCCACTCGTCAATCCCAAAGTCATCGACACCGCGGACTGAGACTGTATTGACAAATCTCAAGGAACAACAATACTTCGGACTTTTCTAATCTCTTCGTCTCCTTTGAGTGCCATGGGTTCAACAAGCGGAACGCCTCCAAATGCGGCCTGTGGGTCACTGAATGAAGTCCCTGGCTCTTGAAGCTTTTATCGTCGACGTCAGAACGGCTCGCACGGAGGAATGCTAGTGCAACGCTCGTGAGGACAGTGTGAAAAAAAGTGATAGTAATCAGCGATGATTCTTCTATTTCCCCTTCTTTGTGCTGCAAGTTTGCTTGTGCTCGACTCGCCACAAGTTTACTCTTCCAGATTCTCGAGACTCTAGTCTTGTCAACCCGTCAATCGCTCCTGATGTGCTTAAATAGCGCTGGTTGTTGTAACGGGCTACAATCGATCTCCAATACCACGTCGTCTCCAACTACATACAGATAGGAAGTCTGCTTCCGTTCCGGCCAAATCGTGATCGGATTTTCGCTTAATTCGTTTCGGATGCAATGAATTAAACCTCAAATATGATTCTTTGAATATATTTGCGCCTGCTCATACTAAGCAGCGTACATTTGCCGGCGGTTCGCTCCGGTCCTAGGCCTGGCTGAATTCGATTACAGCATTCTTCCAGGTTACGCCCCCTTTTGCTTTGTACAACCTACCGTGAGCGGAGTGACCAAAGTAGCCCTTCCATCTCTGTCTTGGCTTGATGCTCGACTTAGATAGCAAAATGCCACCTATGCTGGTCGCCCCAGAAACAAAATTGGGCAGGAGGCATGAGCAGGCGCTCTGCTGGGACCTATGCGCGGCGTGCGACACAGAGTCTAGTTCTAATGAAGAATTTGGCACCGCACAACATAACCCTGGTACACCATCAACACACCTCAGTGTTGAAGATGACAGGCCAAAATTATGTGAAGCTTGCCTTGCCTCACAAAACCCTGGCATTCCATCTAGCATCGCTAGAAAGATGTTGGAGCTTCTACCGGTCGAAAGCCATCGTTCCCTGCATTTGACATGCAGAGCTTGGTCTCGAGCGGTTGGTAGCCTCAATTTGTTGAATCGCCCTGTAGCCAATCTCATTCCAGCCGAAATTTTACTACAGGCCTTCGTCATGTTGAGTCCTCGCGATTTTGACAACGCTCGACGGACCTGCTCCCAATGGATGCGCATCAGCTTGAACGAAGGCCTTCTGGCGAGTATGCTAAAGAAGGCTGGCTGGTGGAACTCATGGCTCCGCGACTGTCGGGAACAGTGTCCCAGGAATATTGACACCGGGGCGGAGAGTGTAGTGTGGAGAATGAGCCGTCGTCTTGCTACGGAATGCATTCTATCAGGCAGACAGATGAACGCGGAGAGAACCGGGTTCGTGACAACCACTTTTGTTGACTTCTCCCAACTGTTGCAATGGGGCTTTTCGAAGGAATCTCTTAATCCCCACTCGAACGAGATGTCCATGTCCATGTTTCATGCGAGCAACTGTGGCAACTACTTGATGGCTACCTCTGCTAGCAGCATTTGCATATATTCTCTCCTCCCTAGAGGATCTAGCGAGCTCAAGTCTTCTACCGCCGAAAGCCCTCAAAAAACCGATATTGTTCTTGTCGCAACTGTCGTGTGTCCTACCTGGATAGTATCGGCTACCATATACTCTAGCTCCTCGGAGTTGGTAATGGCTGCATCTTTATCTGACAGGACAGGCTTCATTTGTAACCTGGTTCCTTGCCACGACCGTTCTGAGCCGGCAAGTACCCGATATTTTGACGACCACAGATTCTTGCCAATGAAAGTTATGTCCCAACACTGTTTTAAAAATCTAGGTTCTGCCGGAGATCCGTCGCGCAGTGTCTCCATCTGTCCTGATCGTCGGTGTGTGGGATTCGGCTCTGAAGCTGGCGTCCAGCTTTACTGGTTTGACGAGAAAACCGAAGAATACCGCGAAAGAAAAATACCTTTGTCCCAGCCGTCCGATGTACTGCATTTTCTATCTAGCAGACCCGAGGATGCCCCTACTGAGCTGCGATTGATATCTTCACTCGCAGGGCCCGGAGGCTCGGGATTTGAATTTCATAGAGCAGGAATCTACGATAGTCACCAGGCCTGTCCGGATCATCGTGTGACAGATAAAGAGTCATTTGTTCGATCAGCTCCGAACGCAAGTGTAAATCTAAACGTGATTAGGGCAACCCACTGTCACCACTATCGTGCCGTTCCTCTCGAGGATGGATTTCACATACTGTTCATCGAGCCGCGCACGAATTTGCTCTGCATAGGACCGGATGCACAGTTAGGAGGACCCCCAAGTCTCATGAAAGCACTTGCTTGTATTCCACCTTTGGAGGAAGGCTCTCTTGGCCCTGGAAATGGAGGGGCAGTTCCTAATGTTTTTGCGGCCGGTTCAGACCTGGACTGGGGCCTGCGAATCGTCGCAGTCTACAATAATCAACTGGTGCTCTATTCCGTGCCCTTAGATGTCTATAATGTGATCCGGCAAGAGCGCGAAGGCCCAAGCGACAGTGTCATGGGCGATAGCGACCTGGCCAGAGACTGGTTTATCGAGAACCAAATATCGCCCAAGCGGGGTGAGAGTTTAGTTCAGGCCCAGAATGGTGACTGGGACTTTCTACTCAGCACGAGCTACCGTCCAACAACTATGATGTGGCCATTCAAGATATACGGCAAGGAAATCGGACGGATGGACGACGTGGTCGAATTGGCTCTACAGACATCACACGGAGGCGCTCGAGTCTGGGCATTCAGCGCGTCTGGCAGAGCGCAAATCATTGATGTCGACACCTTCACATCAAGTGCCCGGCCAGCTGCAAGCATCCCATGCCAATTACTATCCATCGGCCTTGATGGCGAAGTCTCGTCCCCTGAATTGATTGATCGGTCCGAACCCGTATCACGATCCACTCAATATCCACGAACGTGGGAACATGACGGGTCAGGTGCAAGATTCCGTGGGAAGCGCTTCGGTACTCATCGATTATATCAAGATCTGCATGATAAAAAGGGCCCCGGGGAGTTCTCTCACCCGCCCCAGGCCGCGAACAAGCGAACTTCTTTTTCAGCATGTATTGTGGATTTCAACATCCCGGAATCAAACGCGCAAGATGAATATTGAACCGGTCATTCAGACTTGAAAGTACCCATTTTTATCCACCGCCACCGTCTAGACTAGATACCATAGATCACGATTGATTAATGGCTGTATCAATGTCTGCTCTGTGTCCTTTATTTCTACCAGAAAAGCGAAACAAGCACCCCAGGCACCTGAATCTGAATTTCCACACTGCATGCCATGAAGGCAACTTAAGATATTCAAAAACAAAACCGAGCCCTCCTTCAGAAGCACCGAGCAAGTAAATTAGCCGCGAAGCCGACCACTTATATTAGTTAGAGAAACATTATCTATGGGACTTGAAACATCGATACAAAACGGAAAGCAGATAACCTGGCCCATGGGTACCAAAAAAACATAGGGAAGACAGTCTCATTAAAATACAATTTACAGGGCACGTCGAGAAAGGAAAGACATGATGGTGGTATCAGGGGAATCTCGAGATATGTAGCATAGCGTCGTATATCGTTGTCATAGGCATGACCAGCAGTGAAGCAATGAAGAAGTGAAGAACGCAAGAAAGTCGTCAAAAAAGGCAACGCAGATTGGAAGATCCTCGCTCTTCTCGAATTATGTACCGAAAGGTAAAGAGGATTAGGGAAGCCAAGTGGCTTGTGGTTGAGGCAGACAGGCTGTGGCTGGTGGGACTGGGAGAGTACTCTTAAACAGTGTTGGTCTGCTGGCCGTGTCCTGGGAGCCATGCGTCACTGAGCGGTAGAATGAGACTCGGATTGACATATTTCCTCAACCTTGAGTTCAGCTCTGGGGCGCCGAAGCAGGGAGGGAGAGCATCGCGGTCGAGACCAGATGGGGGTGAAAAGGTAGCCGAGGGCGAAGGAGAAATGTCCCCGCCACCGGGGCGGTCTCGGTCAATGCTCTTGAGAGCAATGAATTTCATCAGTGGTTCATAGCTCCTGGAAAAGAAATAGCTGAACCATACAGTTGCACCGAGAAGGGGCACAAGGAGCAATGATCGGGTGATTGCCCTGCGAAGGGACAGGACGCCGATCATTGCTAGCTGGAAAAACATCAATCCAACCAATACCCGGTTGCAAATCATGGGCCATGCTCGCCCGGTGGAATGTTGCTGATGGTTCATCGCGTAGAGTAGCTGGTATTTGTAAATGAACCGGCCGATTGTGAAGTACACAAGCCCGAATAGACAGATCAGCCACGAACTGGGGAACACGCTGTAGACGACACAGATAACCAGGATTAGGATGGTCTGCGGGATGGAGTATCCGTAGCTGAATGTAGGGGGAGTCGACAGCTCTGCGTAGTCTCGAGGTGTTCTCGCGGTCAGGAAGTTGAAAGGGTACAGAGCAACGCTGCCGAATTCCAGGAGTCGGAAGGGGAACAATCCTAATCCTTGCAGGATAATAAGGTTAATATAAAAGGGAGCAAAACCTTCCAATGTCTGGGCCAGTGCAAATGCAATGGTGGTTGCGTCTTTGAACACGCCTCGCAGCTTATCCAAAAAGCCGTAGAATGTCGTTGCTGCTCCGAACACAGTGAACACAAGGAATAGGTTGAAGAACGAAAAGAAGAAGTTCTTGGATATGACCGATAACTCCACATCGCCCCGCGACATCATTCCTTGCAGATTAGATAACCCTGGAGATACAGTTAGAATGCGTAAGGACAAATGGAAGTCATGGCAAAGCATGGAGACTCACAATTGTACAGGTATGGGACGGCTACGGTCAACAGCGAGAGAACCAAGGTCGGCAAACCAGTTTGGACAAGAGACCCGAGAATAGCATGCCGAGCAAGTGCATCGGCCAACTGAGGGAATACTTTGCCGAGCGTCTGCAGGTTCAAAAGATACGCGAATGGAACCAGAAGAGCTGACCAGAAGATTGTTAAAAACCCGATCACCCCTGTGATAAACCAAGCTTGCATCATTCGTCGCGAACGCGGCTGGTACGTGTTTTTCCAGACGACATCAGCCGGGGCAGGCGCTAGTCGGGCAAGAAGACGCATAGGATGGGGATCGAGAATGGTTTGGACGAGCATCTGCGAGGCAGCGATGGACTCCATGGTAACAAAAGCTAGCTCGGTAGGGGGGTATTCTTTTTCTCGCGCGATCTGGATATGTTCGTCGATCCTCCTCAATTTCTCCTCGTAATAGTCGATTGCATCAATACTCTTGTACCGCAGTTTGAATGGCCCATACCAGATGCGGACCGTCGGCCTTTTTGACGCATAATCAGAGATATGAGCCCGTGCGCTCCCTGATAGAAGTTGGATCCGATCACTGTCTCCGTCTGATGCCAAGCTCGAGCCTCGTGGTTGATGTACTGCTAAGGGTAGAGTGTTCAAGTTAGACTTCGCTCGCTCATACCCCAGGTGTTTTGTCCACGCTCTCTCCAGTTTGCGCAGTATTTTGAGTCGCTCATCGATCAAAAGGTCTAGTTCGTGCCAATCTCTACACAGTGTAACGCTCTCGATCTTGCCAATTTGCAGACCTTCCACAAATTCCCTTATCTTCTCCTCGGAGCCCATCTCCTCGGGAATGCCAGACAACCGAATCGTCCTATCCGTGGTGCTGGTTTGACTTCCGAGATAGTTTTGTCTTATGCTGATGATTTTGTTTGTCTCTTGGAGAAGCAGGTAGACGGCCAGTCCACTGAAAAGATATGGAAATATCACATACATCCACAAGTAGTTGGGATCCGATATGAGCTTTTTCTTGTCCTTGTCCCCATCAAAAGCTTCACCGTCATTGCCGTCCCATCCGGGAACGCCGGATTTACCGATATATTTATAGTGAATGGGAAGAATTATTACCAAGGCAACAATGAACACCCCGGAGAGAAGTCGGATCGCAAATTTGAAAAAGGAAAGGAACTAGATTGAGAAATTTCGTCAGACATCCTGGCTCTGCTTGGCAAGGACAAGACAGGGGACAAAGCACTCACAACAAACGCATCCAAGCCAGCAGAATGTAACACCTCCTCTTCAGTTATCCTATGTAGAACCGGTATCCATCCGAAGAAGCTATCAGGAAGTTCTGGTAGATGCGATGCCGCACCGCATTGTCGCCTGCGTGCGGCATACAGCTCTGTCCATTTCGGTCGCAAAACCTATTGACTCGGAGCATGGTTAGAAGAGCACTTCCAGGTGGTATTCATCTTTGTTGTGAGACTCACGCAGAATGCCATGAATGCGGATAACCCCACCGCAACACTAATCACAAGCTGCGTGTAAAGGTCGCGTTGACCTCTCGTTTGATCGTCCCACCGCGGTTGGTGTCCTCCCCCCGGTGTGTCGCTCGCCACAGCTGCAACTGACAGCACAGCTGTGGCGGCAGACTCGCTGAGAGACATGGCTCTCGATAGGACACGATTATAGATGTAGTAGTTTCGGTCCGAGTTAAAGTAAAGGTCTTTGTTAATGCATATGGGCACGCGGCTGGTTTTTCGCGGAAATGCTGCGCAAGTTCAAAATAATTGACGTCAGAGGTATGAAACCTGTTGCACCGCGTCGCAGGGGGTGGAGGAAACGCGAATGAAACACCTAATAATGAAAATTCTCAGGAAGAGCAACAAATATGGAGGCGTAGCGCTTTATGATCTGAAAACTGGGCAAGGAAAAGTCCAAGCTTGATTGAGTTGGGCGATTTCGACGAACGCATTTGACGATACCCAAAGTAGTAAGCAGTGCGTTGTGCATCCCGCTGACTCAGCTACATGGAATTATGCCACTGCCTTTGCGTACATTCTATTCTACTGATAGGACTGATCGCAAGGACAAAAATGGTATAACGAGCCTAGCCAAAACCCCAATAGTGGGCATATTTTATCATCTTTGTGTGTCTGTATATTTAAAATGCGCAGGCTATTCTGTCATGGCTCTCACCCTACGTTCTTCACGACGAATAGCGTAGTGCATCATAATAAACATCGAGCAGACACCCAGCAGACCAAGCCTGTGTGGGAGACTATAAGATCGGGAAATTGTTCAAGTCAGCAGTTACAATATGACAGGTATGGGAACAGATCAGAACATACCGAGTCTGCGCAATGTGCACCGCCCTGGTTCGTCAGCTCCGTGAGACCCTTCCAAGGACTTTCTCGAAGAGCCCGTTTGCACCCTTCTAACCGGCGAGTCACTTGCTGGTAAGCTTCGGTTCTTTCCTCAGGTGTCTTCCTTCGAGCAAGATCAAAGTAGAGGAAAGCTCGGAGGAAGTAACCGCGCTGCCAGACCCACTCAGGACCTTGGTGATAGTTCCTACCCTTGGAAGTCGCGAAATCAGTTGAATCTTCCGAGTTGTTGTAGTTGGGCCGATAATTCAAGTCAGATGGATCGAGCGTGGCCATTCCCATAGGGCCGACAAGCACAGTATCTGCAAGAGCGAGAGCAGCCAAGGCTTTGGTAGGGGTAAACAGGTCTGGTGATACCGTCATAGCAATGGGAAAGTTCGATCGAAGCTGGTAGTCCTCATACGGCTTCCCGGATCTGTATAGATCCTTGTATATGCCGCGGCGATTGATGATTGTGGAATCAACATCGTACTGACTGTTCTCACTCGGATCAAGGGGCACGTAATAGCAACGCTCGAAGCTGTTTTTGATTCTTCCAGCCCAGTCATCGAAGGTTACTGATTTATCGTCTACTTGGACCTTGTCGTGAGGATAGAGGCCCCTTTGATGGAGACTGGTGACCCATTTCAGGGTACTATAAACCAGACCAGTGATTTCAATGGCTGCACCGTCTCGTGGCGTCCCAGGAAAGCCCTTGTTTCCAGCATTCTCGCTCTCGCCCATTTTGTCTTGCCATGTTCCGCAATTGGACTGACTACCTCCAAATATTAATCCTGTCTCCCAGTCGACAGCGACGTCTATCTGAAAGCCCTCTGCCTTCATTTGCACATCTAATTCCGGTCCCGCATTGTATTCCCGGAACGACAACCCGCTGGCATGGCGTTGGAAGACCTCTTGAATGATGTCGGAAACTGTCGAGTGTTGAGAGTACGCCCGCGGATCATCAAATGGGAACCAGGTGTCGTCATACGGTAAGAACCTGCGCGGAACCTGTTCATTCAATATTTGCAGTCCATCTGGTGCCATTTCTGTATAGTCTTGAATGGCTTGCAATAGAAACCACACCGAATCGCGTGAGTTGTATCGTGGAAGCTTTCCGCTGCCCAGAAGGTTAGGGATCATGCCATGTTTGAGCACACTAGCAAAAGCAAGAATGTGCTCCTTGGCTTCGTCAAATCGGCTGGTACACAGCAATAGACCCCGAAGAGAAATGAAAACATCCCGACCCCAGCATCTTGCCCAATCCGTGGCAAAGTGTGGCAAACCAGCCGCGAGGCTTGGAACTCTTTTCGTTGGCCATAAAGATGCAGAATTCACGTAGCCTGTTTGCTGCACGCTAACCATGCCCAGTTGATGGACAAATTCCTGTCCTTTCTGGATGTTACTTCCCAAAAGACGGATCCCCCTTTTCCAGGCTGCATTGTAGGCGACTTGGACAATGATGGCAAAATATCTCGGCAGAAGAAAATTCGGTAGCTGGCGAACAGCGTCAAATTTCTCTTGCAGCCATACAGCAGGGTCATGCACAGCATCGTATCCTTCTTTTTGTGCAACTTTCTTCAAGCGTCCCACTATATAATCAAGAGCCCACTGGCCCTGTCGTAGATGATCACACAATGGGTGCCCAAGCTCGTTATATTTGATGATGTTTTCAAGCAAGCTCCACCATCCCTGAAGTCCGGCATAAACCAAAGGTCCATGGTTCGGGATGCTGTACACCCCGTCTTGGCCACCACTGGAGTCTCTCTCCTCCGCATCACAACGGTAAAGCACAAAGTTCAGGTCTATTAGGCTGAGTTTCGAAAACGCAAGGTCAGCACCTTCAATAATGTAATTGGCTAGACCCGTGGAGTGCTCAGCTTCTGGAATAGAGGTTTCAAACAGCGCGATGGATCCAGCGACGAAAGCTTCCAACACAGAAATGATTGTGTCGTTTCCCCGACGCTCGATAGCAACCCCCTCGATTTCGCGAACTATACTAGGCAGTCCTCGCAAATATGATTTATCTGCTAGAGTTTCATTTTTCGCATTGTCTGTCGCATCGACCTCCAGGAGCCAGGTCCCGACATGTTTTGCTTGAGTACCAGTCAGATGGGTAGGCGCCATGGGAGGCTGACTTTCATGACCAGGGAATGCGGTATGTGCCACGAGGAAGACACCTTTCCGAGTTTTGGGATGTACCCTGTGGACGGTGATATACTCGCCATCATGATGAATATGGGTTTCATCGTATCCGTCCACCCCCATCATGGTATGGAGTCTGTTCAAGAGCGTCTTCACGGTGCCAATGCCGCCTTCGGAAGCCTGAGTACCCTGGTTTGAAGGATCCGATCTCCCTGACGAATAAAGTCGTTCCTCATGAACAAGATCTACTAATTTCGGGTATATCTCGTCATAGCCCATAACACTTCCGATCGCTGATGCACACATCGAGACCAGGGCGGCATTTGGCAAGGTATCCTTTGCAGTCCGCTTTTGCGATGGAGTTTCATTATCATGAGTACAATCCATGAACAAGGCCTGAACAGGGCACGGTCGAATATGCGATAGGCTCTCCGGCGTATTTTCGGGGTTCGCAGAGACCAATGCATGGCTACTTCCAGCTGACGGCAAGTCGACATCAAAACTCCCGATAGGACGACCACCATGACGGTGAACCAGCCGACTTAGCTCCCCAGTGCTCCAGGCTTGCATAGCTTCTCGAATAAGGGCGTTTATACCAAGTCGCTTGACGAACACGTAGTCAGCTTCCTCGGAGCCCGTAAAAAGCTCAGCGAAGACAGTAAGGTTGGGTCGAACTTTTCGAGCCTCGTCCAGCAGGTATTCAGCAACGACAAGGGGCGTTGAGTGGCAGTTATCAATGCGAAACCCTGAGAAGTATTTTGCCATTAAGCGCGTATACTGGGTCATGAAATCCCACAGGAATGGATTGTCTTGGGGGCCGGACCCGTATCTCAGCTTCACGCAGTCGCCCCAAACAATCACCTCCCGGCGTAAGTATGCCCTGGAATCCGGTCCAGCATTGTCCCGCATTGCATCGGCATTCCAAATCCAACCATTATTCACAAGCGCAAGTGCCTTGGAGCTATGGCGCTGGGTGGTTTCATTGAGTGGTAGCCTAGTGAAGTAGGACTCGATCAACGGGTTCTCGTCGGTCACGGTGCCGAGCTTTGGTCCATGATCGTCGATTCGAAGATACTTGATGCGATTGAAAAGTTGGTTCATTATCTCGGAGACATCTTCGTCGTACTCTTTATAAAAAGGCAAGTTCACTTCATCGAGAATTGCTACCAGGGCCCCTTCTACGGTATTATCCGATTCGATCTGGTCTTTGGAGCCGAAAAGAGCTGTCAGGACTGCCGCACCAATGTTGACATCAATCGCGCGCTCGAACCTCCCGAGAACTTGCTTGTATGTTGGTATCGCTTGAGCACGAATGAAGTCGGCCTGCTGTTTGAGAGTCCAATTCTTGTATCCAGCGAGATCAAACTGCGACCATGGATCCCTCGTCAAGTCTATGTTGTCAGAGCTTTTCCATTTGGCGAGGATTTCCCGGGCGTTTGCTTTCACATCAATCACATAAAACTCCCACAATTGCAGTTCGTGGATGACACGGTCCTTGGCCACGTTCATGACGGACAGGAGATCATCAACAGTCTTGAAGTCTGTCGGAAGACCCAATGGGCCAAGTTCACGACCGAACTTCAGCAAAGCATTATCCAAGACCAGTGCTGCCTCAAGCCAGGGGGCCGTCTCAACACTATAACCCGCCTCCGGGTGCTCCTCAAGCCATTTGCTATTATTTGCCGTATGGTTCCAAACCACGTCTGTGAGTGATAAGAGACCATACTTATTTTCCATTCTTGAAATCAATTGGGCAACGTCGGATTCTCCGTTTGGAAACGAAGCTTCATCAAAGGTCAACTGGTCGTAAATACTGTAAGGGGAGTTCGATGCACCACGTTTCATCAAAGGCGTGAAGTGAATCATGTTGTAATTGCGGTTGCTGATGCTTTCGAGGTGTCTCTCCCAATCGGTGGGATACTTCCCCATGAACTTGGATATGACCGAAAAGACTGAGAGAGCATTGAGAGGGAGGTCTCGCCCCTTGAGTGTCAGGCTTGGGGATACATCTACATAATGGGTTGGTGTTCTTGCGGTTGCCCTTGTTGCGACGGGAGAGACGGAGAATTCTGGAAGCGGAGAAAATGTGGTGTAGAAGGCAAAAGATCCCGGCGACGTGATAGCAATATCAATCTGAATGTTCTTGTTGAAGTCCGGGTGCAATCTACTATCGCTTCAGCAATCGCGCCAATCCGCCATCAACCGACACCAGGATGACATCTTTGTTACCTGAAACTTTGAAAAACGGAGCGGTCAAAAGACTTTTCAGTCTCAGGCATATTCACCCATAACAGCCCATCTCTGCAAATCGAACTGCTTCCCTCGATAACGAACCGAAGCAGATAGGGGGGATTGGTCGGTGGAGGCAGGTAAATATAGCCGCCGGGGACGTCCGGAGAGCCATCATCTTTCAGGGGAAGCAGATAGACCTGCTGCGGAGAAGGCATCGTGAGATCAATGGAATTGCAAGATCTCTGGGCTCTCCTGATGATGGCAGATCGACTAGAAATTAATGAGATTGATGGCTACTATAGCCCGAGCACTACCTTGGAAGATAATGTCGTTTAATAAACTCGAACCCCCAAGTAAGCTTTTCGTAATTGAACTTGCAGGGCGAGCAAGAAGGCGACCGAGCCAGACGAAGAGAAATGTCGTGGAAGATAAGGGCGAAGGGAGGGTTCCCTGTTCCTGAGGGGGCGCCATGTAACCCCGCAGGAAAACCTGACATCATGCCTGATTCTAGAGCTTGGGCCTTTCCCCCCCGTTATTTTTAGACCCTGTACGATCTACACTTCGCTCGGACCTGCTCGAGCTGTCAATGCTTGGATTAAGCCTGGTAGAGGAATAGAGAAAGATGGAATAGTCCGTTCAGATTGATCCAACTCACCCTGGGGCAACAAACTCTTCTTAGTGGTAAATGGATAAAATGATATTTAAGCGATCATAGCGCCAGTCCTCTCTATAACTGTCTATGTATATAACGCTGTACACCAGAGACGACCCACCAAAGAGTTAAAAATGAAAATCAAGGAAGGCGAACCCAAAACATCAAAACCATCAAATCCGGATCATTTACAACCTGGCGCCCAGAACCGCCTGGCGCGCACCTCCACCGTTGCCCCCTGCCGAAGAGGTAGAAGTAGAAATCGGTTTGCTGTTTAAAAAAAGAAAACACAGGAAACCCCTGAATTAATGACACAGACGACAGAGGCGGGGGAATATTATGAGGACCAATTTACCGCTCAATATAAGAAGGGATATCTGCGACAGACATTGTGCCCTCGAGAATGCCTACAGAAAAGATTAGCATAACGCAACAATCTCCACCAAGGTCGATGGGGAACTTACGGTAAACAGCGGTAAGCAAGGGGAATTCTTCCTCGCGACCCTGCTTCTTGAGGAAACTGTTCACCTCATATGCAGTCAGGGTGCCTTGCAATTTTTGACCATTGAGGACCGTCTCTTCGATCTTTTCGATCGGCTGCTTTCTTTCCACGCTAAGCTTCGCGCAGCGGAAGTTACGTCCTCCGCTGCAGCTGGTGATCAGATCGGCAACACCGGCACTCTCCTCCGTGAAGGTCCGAGGTTCGAAGGTTGCACCGAAGAACTTTTCTCCGAATCTGACCATCTCTAGCAGACCGACACGCATGACTGCAGCTTTGGCGTTGTCGCCCCACCCCATGCCGTCAACCCAGCCGGCAGCAAGGGCAACAATGTTCTTAAGGGCACCACCAAGGGAGACTCCCGCGACGTCATGCACCATCCGAATGTGGAAATACGGGCGGTGGAAAAGCGACTTCAGAACATCGTGGTCAATGGGGGGATAATCAATGGGCAGTGCCTGCAATTTCACTCGCGAGAATTGGCCCGAGACATCGCGGTGCTCAAAGTGGACCACATCCGTTGTGGAGGCAGAAGGCGAGCGATTAGGAGTGGGGGCTTTCGAGTCTAGATGAGGAGGATCATAGGCGATACTCGACTCGGACCATTTCTCTTGAGCAACTTCGCTGGCGATGTTGGCTCCAGAGAGCGCGCCACAGTAGATCCCCAGAATCTTGCCGATCGTCTCGGAGAACAGGCTGATTCCCTCCTCCTGCACATCGACACCCTTGATACATGAAACACCACGGGCGTATGGCAGAATCTTCCCCTTGATCTGCTCACAGGTTTTGATGATAAATTGGTGGGGCAGGTTGAAGACAAGGATAGTACTATCCTGCACCGCATCCACCAAGGAAGGGTTGGCATGCAGGTTGGTGGGCAGCGTGATGCCCGGCAGATATTTGATGTTTTCATGGGTGGTGTTGATCACATCCGTCAAGTTCTGGGGACCCTGGCACAAAGGCGACGAGGGGTTATAGTGACGGGAGTCTTTAGAGATTTCAACTTTCTCTTCGAACACCCACATCTGAACATCCTTCTCGAAAACGTCAGGATTGCTGGCGGCATTCTCGGCGACAATCTTGGCGATCGCACAGCCCCTGTCGATTGTTAGTCGCTGCCCCTGCCAATGAGATATTGAAGCAATCAGATTAAATCATAAATCGCAACTTACCAGTTTCCTGAGCCGACGACAGTAACCTTGTGTTTACGCTCGAAGGGTGCGATTGGACTCATGTTGGGCGTTTTGTCTGGCAAATGGTTTAGAGGATTTGAGGAACAGGAAAAGAAACGGGCCGGCGCGTAAAGGGTATTTTTAAGAAGACGGCAGCTGACTGATTCCGAGCGAAGTTTCCCTGGGATTCGCGAGAAAAGAACGTTATCGAAGACCGGGGGCCGAGGTAGAAGAGCAGCACACGAGGGGGGAAAACAGTTGCGGCGAGATAAAAGGCGCACGAGGGACAGCATTCACGGCGAACTTTCTCGTCCAGGTTTCCGGGGTGGTCCTCTGATGTAAGAGCGCAGCGAAAAGGTGGGTTTTGATCCCCGTGAATGTGGATCTCCTAGTCTCCTACAGCCGGGAAGACTGAAGAGAAGAAAACCAAACGCAACGAAATGACGGTGAATTGGCCAGTCCAAGCGCACGAGCCGGTGGAGGCCGATCACGTGGGCGGTGACCTCTGCTCCGGCACGGGAATCGTCCGGCGGCTAATCCTTCCGGGGTTTAGCGTGCCGATGTCCGAGGCAAATTTTATTATCGTCCTCGGAATGTGTGCAGAGACGATCTGCTCGATCCTTACGTCGCCACTCTAGCCACTGCATCACCATGGTAGGTACTCCTCTGTAATCGACCCGGTTTTTACTCTTCATGCCCGAGGTGCGTCGTGCTAATTGTCTCTGGTCCGTTCCAGGCTCCCATTCGATCCGTCAAGAAGCAAGCGACCGCAAGGAAACCACCCACGGCCGGCACCGCAACCCAGTCCGGCATCTTCAACGATGACTTCCGAACGACGAAAAAGGACAAACGTCAGATCAAGCATAACAGCTTCATGTCGAAGATTGAGAAAAACTTTCAAAAATCAGCCAAGCGCCGCAGGTCGTCCAACAAACTGGCCGCCAATCTTGACGCGTTGGCCGATGCCCTGCCCGAAGCCGAAGAATTCAATGACTCGGAGAACCAGGTGAAGGTGATCAAGCAAACGACTCTGAGGCATAAACCGGGAGCCATGAAACGGCGAGAGAAGTTGGAAAAGACGGAAAGAGACCGTTTCGCGAAGAATATGGCGCAGATGTCTGGCATCGAGGCGGCTGCAGCAACCAATGCGACATCGGAAGGGGATTCGGGCGCCGTCTCCAATAGATGGGCTGCTCTCAGGAGCTTCATTTCCCAGACGATGGAGCAGCAGCCCGCATTCAAGGCGACCAAGTAGAGCGATTCGTTTCTCAGAAATTATCACCCGATATTTTCGAATATCTCGCCGCCTCAAAGAATCAGCCTGGCGCCATCATTCATTACCCACTTGATGAGTAGGGCCCCCTCAAATCTTGACGCGTTGTACCGAAGGGCGCTTGCTTCGGACATCTAGTTTGGGTATGTCAATGGTGTTGTCAATAGCAGACGGGATACCAAAAGAAGCCCCCAGTTCGGCTTCGTGTCCCCTAATTCTGTCGGGACTTGGTAGGTGACAAGACTATTCAGATCGGTTGCCAGTACCCCAGAACGCCAGGCTTTCCATCAGACATTCTGCAAAACATCAAGCAACCGGTATGGTTGATTCCCTTCGTGGAAAGCGGATTGTCAAAAGTCTTTCACCAGCTGGCCGAGAGGCACGCAAGCGCTTGCCTATTTGATATAAAGATGGTACAATACAAATAGTCAATAATCTCAAGTCAAAGTTCCGTTCGGTCAACTTCTAGCATCCTGATAGCCCACACGATGTTATTTTCTTGTACGGCCGAATTGGCACTGCAAAACTTGATCTTTACCCAGGTTCCATCCACAGACATTCCTGTAGGATTAGAGTCCATAGATTCACTCAACGAAGTATACTGCCTGCGCACGTGCGGACGCGGGTACCGTCGGTCGGCGAGCATCACGTGCTGCGGGGAAAGCTATCGAGGATGCATCTTATCTGCTATCGATGATTGGGGGCGACATCATCAGCTTCTCCAACTCCCTCCCATCCACCCTTCCTGACACCCTCTCATTTGATTTTCCTTCTCTTTTTCATCGATCGCACTCCGGTCATTGATCCTAGCATCGCTGCTGGCCATGCTGCGGCTGCCTTCACGGCCCAGCGCTCCTCTCGGGGCGCAGCGCTGTGTCCTCCGCTATCGGCCCATGCGGCATCCATTCCATCGCTTCACTTATCGCGGACTGTCCAGCTCGTCTGCAACGTTCCCTACCTCATCTCAATTCAATAGATCGGACTTTACAAGTCAACCCTGGAGCGGGAGTTATGAGCCTGGGTTACCAACTACCGGGCCCTTGGCGTCGGCTCCGGCCTTCGGAGCTCCCAGGATTACACCAAAGGCATTGAAACAATATCTCGACCAGTTTGTGGTTGGACAAGATCGTGCCAAGAAGATTCTGAGTGTTGCTGTGTATAATCATTATCAGCGCGTGCAGGAGATTCAACGGCGCGAAGAAGAGGCGGCAGAGCTTCTAGCAAAGCGCGCGCGGCGGGAGGCGATTGAGCATCATCCAGTGGAAGGTAAGCTTTTGCTCGCTCAGCAACTCCCCTCAACTACTCCCGTCTCTCTCCGGAGCGTTAACTGAAGAATTGCATAGACGAGTTTCCAGCTCAACAAAAAACCACTGCCGTACCCTTTCATTCGCTGCCATCGTCATCTACCCCTGACGCCGAGCTTGATGCCTCTTCGCCGCTACATTTAGAGAAATCCAATATCCTTCTACTTGGACCAACGGGGGTTGGGAAAACACTCATGGCAAAATCTCTGGCGAAAGTTTTATCCGTTCCCTTCAGTATTTCCGACTGCACTCCTTTCACGCAGGCTGGCTACATTGGGGAGGATGCGGAAGTATGTGTTCACCGACTTCTCGCCGCGTCCAACTATGACGTCGAGCAAGCTGAGCGGGGTATCATTGTTCTGGATGAGATTGATAAGATTGCCGCTGCCAAGGTCAGTCACGGAAAGGACGTTAGTGGAGAAGGGGTCCAGCAAGCCCTTCTCAAAATTATTGAAGGTACCACAGTTCAAGTACAGGCGAAGCAGGAGAGGAACGCTCCTCGCGGTGGGGGCACCCCCAACACATACCCATCAAACAGTCCTTTAGGGAACTCGCCCTACTCGCCTTCAAACAACGGAAATGCCCCGCAGAAGGGCGAGGTTTATAACGTGCGGACGGATAATATTTTGTTCATCTTTTCGGGTGCATTCGTCGGCTTACACAAGATCATCATGGACCGGATATCGCGCGGTTCGATGGGGTTCGGTCAACCCGTCCGTTCTCATACCACTTCTAGTGAACACCCTGGCGAGTCCAATCAAGCGAACAATCAACCGACTCCCATCCTCCCAGGATCGGAGGAAGAAGCGCTGTACAAAAAACACTTGCCTTTCTTCACTTCGGCCACCTCTGGGTCTCCTGACAGCGAGCCGACATACTTCAATGCTCTTGACCTTCTCAACCCTACGGATCTGCAAAATTACGGATTCATACCCGAGCTAGTAGGCCGTGTCCCAGTCACGGCTGCTCTCTCTACCCTATCCACTCCCCTTCTTGTCCGGATCCTCACAGAGCCTCGCAACTCCCTCCAAGCCCAATACACAACGTTGTTCTCTCTCTCGGGCATTGAAGTTCGATTCACCACCCCAGCTCTATATAAGATTGCTTCCAACGCCTTCAAAATGGGCACCGGAGCCCGTGCTCTTCGCACCGAGTTAGAAACCATCCTCAGTGACGCTATGTTCGAAACGCCCGGCTCGAGCGTTAAATTCGTCCTAGTCACAGAAGCCGTCGCCGCGCGCGACGAAAAACCCATCTATCTTGCCCGAGGGCAGGGCGGACGCTTCCACTCCCTGATTGCGACGGAGGAGAGCCAGTGGGAAGAAAAAATGCTTCAAGAGAAGAAAGAGAAGGCCAAGGAGGCCAAGTCCCGGGCTGTCTCCATGCAGGAGCCTCTTTTCTGGAATTTTCGGGATTATCGAAATCGGGCGATAATGTCTTAGCATTTGGGGACTGTCTTCTAGAAAGATTGCATAGTTGCAGCAGGAGCCGTAGTTTTATCATTTGTGCACATGGGTTCCTATTTTTATGTACAGGAGCAATTGTTTTCTACGATCATATTTATGTTATACCATGCCAGGGCAATCAATCTTTGCCTAGTCTGTCCTTGCTTTTACGTTCAGGGATTTTCGTTTACTCCATCTTCGCCCTATCTCTTGACGAGTCTCAAGGTAACCTAGCTATACATGATAAGAATTCTGTAATCTTTTCGTTTTCATATTCCTTCCTAGAGATACGTTAAACAAAAGAGTACCATGATGTAAGCCCGTGCTTACCAAATCGCCCAAGGGGTATGTAGAGCTGCAAGGTAGCATCTTTTTGTTTTCAGTTTTTTCTCTCTTCTTTTTTCCTTTTTGAAAAGAGCCCGAGACAAAAACGCCATATATTAGACGTTTGCAATGCAAAAAGGTATGAGACACGTCCGGCAGATTCACTTGTAAGGCTGCGGATAGTCGTGTGTCATAGGAGTTGTTATCGAGGGTTGTTCCGACCTAGAGCCACTCGCTCTCGGAGCCTGAGGAGTGAAGGCCGAGGGAGTTTTTGGCATTTTATCTTCAGTCGAGGGCCCTCCCCTTTGGCCCCCAAGTTTAGACCAGTGGAGCTCATAGTCGATTTTATAAGTCGCCATGGTGGCTCTATAGCCATGATAAATGATCATATGCTGCCATGTTTTCCAGCGTTCAGGTGGTTCGATCCCAGAAACAATGACAAATCTTCGAAATTGATGACGGTTAACAAGGGCCCAGCCCGCAAAGAACTCGGCAAGCCTGTCAGCTTTTCTGTGCTCTTGATTTAAGCCGTTGGCATTATCTGTCTGGTCGTCGACGGAGGAAGAGCTGTACGACGGGAGATTCGGCGAAATAACGGCTTTCTCCAAAACACCGGTGTTCATGTCGATGTCCACATTGGCAGTCAGGCCAAGGTCCGAGATCAAAAAGTGCATTGTAATCCATCTGGGGCAAATTGGTTAATGCCCGCATGCCGAGCTACCAGGGAGAGATCATAGAACTTACAATGCCCGTCTTGACGGATGATCCCTATCATACTGCTTTAACACCCACTCCAGGATGTTTGGTCGCACCATCAGTTTCCAAGTCCCTGGGAATTTTTTCTTCGAGCTGTCTCGGAACCAGGCGAGAAAGGCAATGGTCTTCTCTAGCTTTCGGAGCATCGCGTCTTCGGGCAATAGGAATATGCATCCGTGGGGAAATATGCGCTGGAAGTGTGCTGGGTGACCAGCATACTCGTGCGGGGCGAATAAGGAGAAACTCCAAAAGGTGATGTTCTTTAGAAGGAGGCTGTTCAATGAGGGGAGGGAGGCGAAATCAACGAAATTCTCGTGGAACTGCTCAACAGTTAACGTTCTCCACTTCTATTGACACAGGCAAACGGAAATAGCATAACCTACCAACGCCACACCGCGCTCCATCAAGGTGAAAGTCTCCCAATCTTTAGATTGACGACTAGAATACGTTTGCGATGTGTGTTTCTGGAGAAATGCCATCAAGATCTCGCACTGCTCGTCACATTGCTGGTCGGCGTTTCCAGAAAGACCCGGATACATGACGTAGAAACCGGCCGTCTGCTTTGAGTCGAGTAACATTGAGAAGGTCACACCATACTGCTTCTGAAAGAAGATATTCAAATCAAAATCTGCGGCGTCCTGGCCGGTTCCTGGAAGGCTCGGCTCATGGTCGGAGCTAGGAACAGGGCTAGCCGGGCCTATCGGAGGAGGATGGGGATAATCAAGTGCCATAGGCTCGCCAAAGCTGTCGGAGAACTTGTCGAATGAAGGTGATAAGATGGGGTTCACGTGAGATGCACCTTGCGTCTCGTGTGGCTCGACACCAACTAACCTTGAGCGATGAGGAAGGGGCAAGGCGGGTGCTTCGGGAACTTTTGCATTACAATGATTTGGGGTCTTCCCCTGAGCGTTAGTCGAAGACGGCGTTTCATTCACAGGGCTGTGGATGGACAGTCTTGGCTGGATTCTGGTGAATGCCTGGTTTTTCTTCGTACGTCCATCCAATAGTCCTAGCTCGATCGGGTTCAGGTGGCTTCTTGCGGTAAAGTAAAGACAACTTTCCGGGCGTCGATTAAAATTGTTCTGGAGGAAGCTGAAGTCTCTTGAATCAGGCGGATAAGCAAGCAAAACGTTTTGAAACCCCAAATCGGGAATGGAAACCGCCAACAGGCCCCTTTGACCAAGATCTTGCGCCATGCGGAAAACATTCTGCTCTGTATCATTGAATCCTTCGATCCAGCCAGTGCAAAAGTTCTGGTTACCTGTCTGCAAGGAAGAGAGCCGATTAGTTCCCAGGAATAACATATTGGGGCAATGACAGCCAACAAAAATGGAACAAGAAAAAGAAAGAAGGGGTGAAACGAATCTCGATATTATACCTACATTATAACAAAGTCTTTGGTAGTCATCGAGCGTACAAAGGTGCTGAAACCATATTTCCACCGATGCGTCTTTTTTCTTGTTTAGGATTCGGCTTTTCGTCGGAGGAGTAAGGCCACAGAGTCTGGCATCGCCGATATCTTTCTTTTCCGGTCCATAATACAGATTTACCAGCACCTCGTCGGGATTGAAGAACCTTTTGTTATACGTGACGTAACTCCGTGGACCAGGAACTCTTTCGGGCAGAACCAGTTCCTCTCTATCGCCCAAGTGGTCCAACTTTTCGCTGGTATTCCCTTGTGAAGGGCGTGACCTGCAGACATCGGATGAGGCGCGAGTTGATAAAGAGGAATCTATAAGCGGGGGCGCGGGATGTTGGCCATAGGTTGAAGAAGTGCCATTGCGCATTGATGACTCGCCCGCTTTTTCAGTCTTGGGCGGGCCTTCAGGAAAACCAGTTTTGACGGCACTGACAGACGATCGAGGAGGAAATTCCGACGGACGAATCAGTTTCATTTGGTTTATATTAGGAGCAGCCTCATCTGTTTTCGCCTTCTCATAGCGCCGCTTGGTTGACAGGTTGAAATGCTTTGTGGGCGGCTCGTCATTAGGTCTCCTAAGACGGAGAGGGTGGACGGTCCTCTGGTTGCTCTGGCCGCCTCCAAACAGAACAGGAGGAGGACTGGCTCTGATTCGGGGATGACTTGATGGGACAGAGACTCGAGAAGGTGATTGAGGACGATTATGCAAGTCTGGTCTCTCGGCGGTAGCCATAGTAGGTGAAGTGGGATTGCTTCTATTCCGGGCGCGGAGCTGGTTTCTCTTCCTTTTTTCATCTCTCCGCTGCCGTCGATTGAGCTTAGCCTGCTCCTGGGCATCTTGTTCTCTCTGCCATTCGTTATGGTCGAATGGGGCCGCCTTGCCTTCGTGGATGGCTCGCTTTTTCTGGCACCATTCCAACAGAGTGACGGGGGTATTGAAGCACTCCTCAGGCTCCCAGGAGCATCGGGACATGGGGTAACCGGCCCATTTCACCAGGTACCTCATGCCGTCCGGAAATTGCTTTTCGGCAAAGACGGTCTCCACTTCATATTCGGACTGTTGTTCACTTGACAAAGTAGAGGTCGTGGAGATGCTATCATCGTGATCACCAAATTCATCCTTAGCTCCGGTCGACATGGTGGAAGAAGAGCTTACAGCTGCGGCAGTTGCCGCCGGCTGAGCCATTGTTTTCCTACATTGGACTGAAAGGACCAGAGCGTCCACGAGGTGAAAGGAAGACGCCGTTTGTTTGTTCGACGCTGAGCCTGGAAGGCACGTGATGACGCTAGACCGGAACGGGAGGCCACTCGGCACCGCGCGAAGCACGGGATTCCGCAGGGAGGACATTATGGTCTGGATGACCTCCTATCTTCCCTTCCTGCCCTCTCCGTGATCCCGTCCCTTTGCGCTGTGAGTTCTCCTCTGTTTCTCTCACCCCTGCTAGTCTGCTTCCCGTCCCCCGTTCTTCATTCATCTTACCTTCGGTTCCCTCTATCTTTTTGGCCACCTCACTGTCACCTCACTGACGCTGCTGTGCCCCTCCCTAGGCCTCAGCTGAATACACAACTGTTGTCGGCTTTGATTCCGCCAGAGTCTCAAACCAGCCACGTTGAACTCCCCAAACCCCCTAATCTTAGTCCGAATTCAGAGCTTTGTGAGCTCTCACAACCACCCCTCATGGCTAACGACGAGTATGATGTGAGTTACCCCCTTTGATGCCTTTCACGCCTGTCGAGGACATACAACTAATTCCTTTATCCCGATAGTTTCTCTTCAAAGGTAATGTCGCCACTGCCTCCCGCGCCGTCACCACAACACTTCCCTTCCCCGGCATACCTGGTCTGAAGTGACCCATCCAACTAACTGCTGACGATCGTTCACACGTACAGTGGTGCTGATCGGAGACTCGGGTGTTGGAAAATCCAACCTGTTGAGTCGTTTCACCCGCAATGAATTCAACCTCGATTCCAAGTCCACCATCGGCGTTGAATTCGCTACCCGATCGATCCAGGTCGATTCCAAGACGATCAAAGCCCAGATCTGGGATACTGCTGGTCAGGAACGTTATCGCGCCATCACGTCTGCTTACTACCGTGGCGCCGTCGGCGCGCTCCTCGTCTACGACATCAGCAAGCATCAGACTTATGACAACGTCAACCGGTGGCTGAAAGAACTTCGCGATCACGCCGACTCCAACATTGTCATCATGCTGGTCGGTAACAAGAGTGATTTGAGACATCTGCGGGCTGTGCCGACGGAAGAAGCGAAGCAATTTGCCAGTATGTTCCGTCCTTCCCCCCTCTTGGGTCGGAATGAGCCCTTGAAACTGACCATCTCTAGGTGAGAACAACCTTTCCTTCATCGAGACCTCTGCCCTCGACGCCAGCAACGTCGAACTTGCCTTCCAGAACATCCTCACAGGTAAGCGTTCTTCACTCCATCCCTTCGTCCTCTCTCGCCAAGTCGCTCACGTGCTGTTAGAAATCTACCGTATCGTATCCAGCAAGGCCATCGATGGCGGTGACTCGGGCCAGGCTGCCCTTGGTGAACGTCGCCCCGTGGTGGAGATTAGCAAATCGCAGGATCCCGAGGCGAAGCAAGGTTGCTGCTAAATCGAGAACGAAAAACGACAATAATAAAAACAAAAACCATGATGTTTGCTGTTAGAGGGGACGGCCATGCCAACCGCAACGACTTTATAATTGTGATGTGATAATTGAATGGTCTTGATCTTTCTTACTCGTCTGTTGCTCAGCCTCCACGGAGATGATACACAAGAGGGACGTTGTTGGGAAACGGCATACAGGGATATTGAAGAGCGATGCTTTTGGACATCGTTATCCCGGATATATTTTCTGTCCATTTTCTTTTTCCTTTTTCTTTTCCTGTCTTTTTTTTTTACCTCTTTCTTCCCCTTCCCTTTCATGTTTCTTTCCCCGTCCTTTCCCTAAATTCTGTTATTGTTTCCCTCCACCCTAACTTATGAAATTGAACTCCCTTGATATGACCCGCCTGTCTTGCTTGGTATCAGAATATCGGAAATGCGTTGTGTCGGGATTCCTGTTTCTGCTGGCTACCAGGCTTCAATAGTTGGTTGGTTTACAAATCTTGGGTTGAACTGGTTGCCGGCGTTTGTCTTTTGAATGTGGCTACGTGGTTTTGACGCCGTGAATGTGAACCGATGTGATTAAGATACGTATGACTGAACTCCGTCGATCGGCACTCCGTAGAAGATTCCATCGAACGATCTGGAAGCTGAACCGGCGCAGGCAAATCAGCATTCACCGAAAGTCAAGTCACAACTATCTGTAAACACTTAACAGTAAGAGGTTCGACCCCTGATCGTCAACGAGTCGGGAATTTGAACGGACTCTACTGGGGCTCTGAGCGACTAGAGCCCAGTCTAATGGAGGAATCTGGGCAACGCCCAATGGCCGTCTTCCCGGTGGATGGTTTAGCGTCGAGGATGGTGGAGACGCCATGTTACCGTAAAGAAATAAGAATCCATTTTTTTTTTCTCTTCTCTTCTCTTCTCTTCTCATGGTTAGGGGTCCCTCGCGCGGGATGTTTTGGGGGTTAGTTTTGGGTGCTCGTTCGGTGTTGGTTGGTGCATAGGATCTGGTGGAGAGTTTGGTTGTCTTACCACTCTTGGGGGCTGGAAGGGTCAACCCTACCATTGTGTACTCACTACTCAGTCCTCCGTAGGTAAGGGTATGGAGTACGGAGTACGCTGGACGACGTCAATGCCGCACACGATTACTACGGAGAAAAAAAAAGAGTCTGGACTGGGGATCCCCCTACGTGGCCTGGTGCCGTGGGGCTCAAATTTAGCTCCCCGCTGCTTGGAATGTGGACCGGTCGGCTGGATATTGTCGATGCTCATTTTGGTTTTCGCGGTCCAGCTGAATTCAACCTACTCAGTAGGTAGGTGACTTCTCCGTATGTCCGCGGAAGTTCTAGGAGAGCTGCACCGTAGGGAGTAGCATCATCAATAGGATCTTAGAGGATTGGTGTAAGTGAATGGAAGACGCAGCACGCAGCAAGTCTGGTTTGCTGTGGAATCGGTTTCCACTCCAAGGATCAGGTATTCGAGATCGTCGGTCCCGTCGGGCTTGATAAGTTAATGGGGGTTTTGGGGTGTGTTAAACGTACGGAGTACTGTATACATCATCCTTTTTGGAACGAAAATAAAGTGTATTCAATCCAGAAGTAGAGTTTAATGGACAGTTATTTAATCGATTGAATCGTCGACAGTGACAGATAACCGCCACTAGGTTGATCGCTACGAGATAAAAATTTCAATAGTTCGACCTTAGCGAAACCCGACGGGAAAAGCACAAGCCCCTTCCTTGGGGTCATTGATTCCTGGGCTCGACATGATACCATCCAGTACTGCCTAGATACTACTCCCATACAATACCAATCTCTCGATCTGCAATGGAGGCTCGAAACTCTTCGATGTCTTCGCCCCTCTCGTTCATCACCCATTCCGTCGTTTCTCTGAATGTCTCACCGTTGTTACAAAACCACTCCCCCAAGGAATGGACGTAGGCTTCTACTTGTTCCTTCAGAGGAGCGTGTTCACGAAGCCACAGGATCTCACCCGGATCGAGCTTCATCATGTCCTGCACAACGTAATAGTGCGGGATCTCATCGCCCCAGCCTTCAAATCCCGGGTCGTGATGAAAGTCGTTACGAAACTTGGATCGGTATTTCGCAGGTGATTCGGCAAAGTTCCCCGGATGGGTAGTATGGAAGTATTGGTCAACGACATTATTGGGTCTCCTCTCGAAAGCGTCAGAAGACGAGTTACCTGCAGGGTAATTGAGGTGGATATTGAATGTCAACTGATGGTTGCTTTCTGGGTAACGCTTGCGAAATTTGCGTTGGATGGTCCCATTGCTGGGACATATGTGATTCTGCACGACATCAGAGACGATGATCCGTAGGTCCTCGATTTCAGCCAGGTCTACGGTAGACCAATTGTGCAAAAGCTGAGCACGCTCAGTGACAACATGGCGCAGGTTGCGGCTGAAACGGTCATGCAGCCGCGTGTGAAAGGCGCGATGGTAGAGCCAAAAGCGATAGACAGCACGGCGAAGCCGAAAGCGCTCGTCATCGGTCAGAGAGCGCCGGTTTTCGTAATCAACCTTCCATTTCTTGACGGGGTAGATGACCTCCCATTTTTGCGCGACCCGTCCGATTCGGACAATTTGTTTAAAAAGCACATCGGATAGCGGAGCGGATCGGAATATGTGGGCTGGTTGACTGGTATTCTGTGTCACGATCTGGATGATCTCATTCAGAGGGCCAAATTCCACTTCTGCAATTTCAACGAGGATGGGCAATTTGGATCGATTATAAACGTGACGAAATCGTCGGCAGGCTGAAGACAGGTTCAATACATCTGATAGTGTGCTACAAGAGCGAAAGATATGGAGCAATAGCTCTGTTGCCAGGAGTATGAATGGCATTGTTGCTACTATCAATTCCGGTGGCAGGTCAGCTTCTCCATACGGCACCAATGCGTGGACAATGTATCCAAGGATACTAACCAAGGTAGATTTCTTTCTCGGGTTTTTTATTTATATTTTTTCGATATCGCGGATTTAATTGAAAGTGTCTTTCTACTCCGTATAAGGTTGCGAGGTGGAACTAAGTAGCGTCGCTGACGTCGATTGTCAACAACACTTTCACTATCACGGAGGATCTAGGTCGAAACCCCACCTTTGGGGCTGATCACATCGAAAGGGAAATCTCGAAAGGACAACTCGAACAACATTTTGAAAGACACGCCGGGACTAAGCAGCCGCAATGGGGTGGTCAACGATGGTGATGCCATGATGGATGATTGAAGGTGTGGAGAGTCCGACGGCGGATGATGTGATCCTTAAAAGGGACGGCTTATCTAATGATCATCCCTGGCTTAACTGGTTAGCTATCGCCTTGCGGAATCATAAAATGCCATTTGCTAGAAGGTTCTCATAAAACTGTACGGAGTAGGTTACTTGTAGAAGATGCATTCAATGAATCCGACAGACACTAATTGCTGATTCAATAGCCAGTAAAACCCTCTAAGATCATGATAGTGGTTCTTGCATCAATCACATGTACATTCTCCAGGATATCAAGTATCGTAACACCTAGAACAGAAAGGAAAGTAGAAAAGAAAAAATCAAGCAGCGACAAAATCCAGCTATGCAAAAAGTTTTCGGTTGTCCAGGGCGCCAGGCTTGCGCTGACCCTCACCCAGTCCCAGGTCTGACCTCTTCGAGAGGCGATCTGTCTGCACGTCCCTACGCTTGGAGTAGCGTGCCGCCTTGCTCATGCGGATATCACTGCGGACCTGGTTCGGGCTGACATACTCCTTGTTTTCGTAGATGACAGGACCTCCGAAACTGCCCTCCAGGATGACAATAGGCGTGAGAACAAAGCGAGGTCCAATCTCAACAAGGGAAACTTCGGGTAGTCCATCCTTGCTCTTGGGGGCCGGCTTGTCTTCCTCGCCCTCCTTTTTGCCTCCAGCTTCGGACTCTCGGATCTCGTAGACACGAATCCAGATCTTGCCGTCCACGCCGAAAACACCGATGATGCGGTCGACGAACGGCTTCATTCCCTTCACGCCGCGCTTAGGAACGCAGAACACACCACGCAGCATCTCTCGAACCAGACCCCGGTATTCGTTTCCAGGCTTGCTCATGTCCGGTCCATTCTCGTCGAAAGACCGATCAAAAACCACAATACCACGACCACCCTTCAAACAGTTGCCGCTGAACCCAGCATTCAGTTCACCAGTAGTGTGCAAGTTGTTGACGTGGAACTTGATCGTAGGGCCATTGGGGGGTCTGGAAAGCCAAAGGTACAAATCTTGGCCACGCTTGCGAGCCTCGAGGAAGAAAATCACGTTGCACGAGTGGAGTTCGGCGAGGGAGTTAAGGAGCATGTTGTATCCGTTGTTCTTCTTCGTATCCAGTTTGGTTTCTTTGTGCGTATGAGGAAGCAGAGAGGTAAGGTCTGCTAGCAAGTGGCGATGGCTGATCAAAAGACGACACAGTTAGCAATTCAATTCAATCGCTTCCACGGCACAAGAAAAAAAAAAAAAAAAAAAAAATTCAATCCATACCGATGAGTGACACCTCTGGAAGTTAGCATCAGCACGCGGGTCTTGGGCATGAGCCCTGCAGCCAGCTGTTTCTTGGCCACCTCCATAGCATCATCTTCCTCCTCTTCCTCCTCTTCGTCGCTGTCGCTCGATTCGTCGTCTTCACCAAGGAAATCCTCCATTGCAAGATCCTCCTCGTCCTGCTCCTGCTCCTTGGCAAGTTGCCGAGCCTGCTTCTTGGAGACCGAATTATACACCGCTGCCATTATGAATTGCGAATTCGAGCAGCTCCGATAGAAAACTTTGGGTGGTTGAGATTTGCGCCGGAGAGCTTCGATGGAGACTAAAAAAAAAAGTTAAAAATCTGGCAGAATATTTTTCTGTTATCCGCACCGCCTTCCCACAATGGACTAAGCAGCTCACATGACTGGTAACTGCTGCCTAAGGCATCTTTACGATTCTCTTAATGCGTTGGACTTTTGATGGCTTTTAGCAGGCAGCAACCCGCTGTGGTTGTGGTTCTGTGGTTTTGACTGTGTAAACTTACAAAAGTTTTATCCACAGAATTTGTATCAGTTAAAACCACTTTGACTTGTCCTGCAATCAATCGGTCGGACAAATTTCTGTGATGCCTGTGCTTCAAACTATTTTTCGGCTTATAGACTGGTAACAACTTGAAGTCCATTACATGATAAGCCACTACCACACTTTGTTGATTTGTTCTATTATGTATACCAATATCATAGCAAAAGGTATGAACTATGATAACCCTGAACTAAACCTATCAGGCCTGCAAAGCCCTTGCGAGGTCAGAAAACCCCTCTTGGCCAACCTTCATCCCTGCCACTCGGTTGGAGAACTCAAGCTTCCTCAAAACATCCCAATTGTCTCCTTGCCAGATTAAGGCGTACAGCATACCAGCTATGAATGTATCACCAGCACCAATAGGGCTATTATCTGTTAGTATAGGTGGTAACAGGGAGTGAAAATTATCCGAGAACTTACTCAACCACCTGAAAGCCTGGTGCTACATATGCCGGGCTATGAATGAAATCATCAGTGCTCGTCTCTAGAGCCATAGCGCCGTCTTGACCCCATGTGCAAAAGAGTAAGGACCTGTGATAACCTGAATTAGCACAGGGTCTTGCATTTGGGAAACTGAAGATCTTACGGATTGCGTGTGAACAGAGACTGTTTTCGCAGGCATTCTTCGGCTGATGCATAACCGTTCCCCTAACATTTCTTCTTAGTAAAGAGGTCTGAAAGTTCTTGAAAAGGACGAAAGTTCAGTACCTGGGCCCAGGTCTTGGAATAAAACACAACGTCAGCTTCCGCTGCCAGATCCTGCAGACCCGGTCGTCCGGGTTTTTCGACTTCCACGCTGACTCGAACCGATGGGTAGCGCTCTCGAAGATAGCGTATGCAGGCGAGGATCACATCTGGTATGCGACCCTGCAAGGTGGCTGAGTTAGACCGAATCACATCGACAGCTCTAGCAGCCACGCACCTCGAAATGATACCATCCAGCTTTCGATCCTAAAGCATCTGCGACCTGTGTAAATTCGCCGACCGTCATTTCTGGCAGTTCATTGTAATTCACAATCGTCCTGCTACCGGACGATTCACTTTTGATGATGTAGCTGGAAGCGGGTTCATTGAACTCCTCGCGGTAAATGCAATGGTCGAGGCGGACTTGGGGCTCCAAGGCCGACCGGATCTGCTGAGAAGCGATCGATGACTTGGCGGGCAGCACAGCAATGAGGTCCAACGAGGGACTTGGCCCCGTCAGCTGCTTAAGGACTTCGAGTGAGTTGGGGCAGTTTCCGCCACGCCGGCGCGAAATGTTCGAGGCCCGCAGTTTGTCATCCTCTCCCGGATAATGGGGGGTTCTGGGACCAAGTGAGCTCGTGAAGCCACGTCTTGAGGGTGGTTGCCAACCGACGTTAGAATTGTATCAACGTAACATGCCCCGACAGCAACTAAAGACATTATTTGAAAGCACGGGGGAGTCCAGTGTCGAAGATGGTGGTGATGATGGCCTCTACTGTTTTGATGTCGTTGGATATTTTGCTGCCCGCAGGCTTCCATTCTTCAGCGAGAGGACCCACGCCCCTCCTCTCCCCCGCCACATCGGATCCGCTCATGCCACACACTCTCAGAAATCAGAATACTGGATGGAATCATGTCGAGCCCAGGAATCAATGACCCCAAGGAAGGGACTTGTGCTTTTCTCGTCGGGGTTATACTCTGTACACTCGATAAAGTAGCATTCCTTTTCGGGGATGCGTTTGCCTGACGGTGCTGAGCCACCCATTGACCCGAAGCATGAGAGCATTCTTTTACTATGTAGCACTAAACTGTGCGAGAACCCTAGCTCCACCTGAAAACAAAACTCAAAGACGAAACCAGTAGACATCAGAGGCACGCTCGCGATAGTCCAAAGCCCTAGAATAGAGAACCAAACCAAATACTCTCAGAAAAATTCTAGAAAACCCCCCTTCATATTCGTGGGTCTTCGATCAAGGTCCCTCAAGCGTAAGTTCCAGCGGGCATCTCTCCCTGCTCGATAGTCACACCTTTGAACTGTTCATCGCCATCGTCAGTCGGCATTTATACAAGAAAGGAATCGAAGAGCACCAACAGCAGCCATACTTACCAGAGAGCCATCGTCATCATCATCGTTCTCGTCGCCCTTGTCGGAGTTGTCATTCTGCTTGTCCAATAGATCTTCCTCGCACTTCATGACCGCCTTCTTCCTCGGCTTAGCTTTCTTGGGAGAGGCTGCCTTGCGTTTGACGCCACCCGCCCTTTTGGTTGGGGTAGAGGTGGTGCTGGTAGCGGCAATGGCGTCCTTCTCAGGGGTGTTACTGGGCGTGCTGGTCAGACTGCCGCCACATGGATGAATGTTGTTCGATTTCAATATTCTTTCATAGCGCTTGGCACTGGTGGGATGTTAGTACAAATGCAGTGGTTTTATCTCCTTCCAGGAAAAACAGGTCGATCATGGGTAGGTAGTCATGTCAGGGAGTGAGGAAGAGACAGGATAAGGCAGGTAGATGATAACTTACGCAGCTCCTTTGGACACAATGTTGCAATCTCTTGCAACCCCTTCGAAGTCGATCTAGTGAGGACTAGGTCAGTCTGAATTCATGCTGAGGGTCTGGTGGGGGAGGGTTTATGAGGAGCCTTACCTTGTTGTCTTTCTGGTTCCGGATGCAGCTTACCAGGAACTGGACGACTTCTTCAGCAGTAACCGGAGCCATGACGACTGACGTAGACTTGTTTAGAATGGATCAAAGATAGAGGTTTGGTTGTTGAGAACAGTGGGAAGGGGACAGACTGAGGATGAATGTCTTCAGGATCAAGTGGTGGTGGGTCAGAAGTTGTTCGAGGGGGGAAGAGTCCGCGGACAGAAGAAATGGTCTGCTCGGAAGTGGAAGGGAGTAGTTTTCGATGGTGCGATTGGGGTGAATGGAGGTAGGCAGCGCAGGAGTGAAGTCCGCTCTGTTGGTGGGAAATTTCTCTACATGGATCCAGTTCTGCAAGTGGTACCAATCCGGAGGGCCAACGTGCTGGTGGGACAAATCAGGACCGAGACTGGGTGTGACTGCTTGGTATCCTTACTGGAAGATATCGTCTAGGGTGAGCGTTGTAGTCGACCTGTCATGTCTTGCTCTGGTGCGATCCTATATGATCACTGTCTTGCAGGCCGACAGTGACAGTCTTCTCAGAACCATCAGTCATATTTCTCCATCCGAGCCGCCTGATACTGTTCATCTCACTTGACCAAACTGAACAGCTCAACTATGACTGTTTGAAGAAAAGGTGTCCGTCTCCAAGAGCATCGCTGCACGCCCAAACCTGTAGCAATCTAGCCTTGTAGTTGGGACCAAGCATAGAGAAAGGAAAGAACGAAAATACGAAAGTGGTTAAAACATATTTTTACTTTCCAAATATAGATACTGAATTCCATCAGATGGCTAGTCCAGCTACTCCATCTAAACCTATAAATGCCACAAGTCACCGTCCACAACAAGCCTCATCTCGAGCCCGTCGGCCCTTAGCATTTCTGCTGCAGCTTTTTGGCAGCTGAGAGCTCATGTTGTTAGCAAAGGTTCAAGATGATAATCCAAAGATGTGTACCCACCATCCTTATCCCCCGCAGGGCACGAGGTGACGCAGTTCTGTACCTGAGTCTTGAACTGCGCGTTGGAGCATGCGCACGAGGTGTCCTTGCAGCCGGTTGCGCTACCAGCTTTGGTCAGACAGTTTTTCTAGCATCATTAGCATGACTTCTTCCGCGAGCAGTAATAGGAGGTAACACACCAGACACGAGCCAGACTCTGCGGCTGCGGCAAAGGATAGCAGAGCAGTGAGAGGAAGGAGGGTGGAGATCTTCATTGTGGCACTGTTCGATATGTTTTGCAAGAGTTTCTATGAGAATGAGTTTGGGATGGAGGATTTATTGCTATTGTTGAATTACATGAACAGGAAACACTAGCTGGCTTAAATATATCTACCTTGACCACCTACATTGTCAAGGGCGCGAAGTCCGACGATCTGACCCTTTCCGGGGAAGAGAAGGGATATCCTGTCAGGGCAATGATGTTGCAGTTTCGACTCAGAAATGAAGCCGATCCACCGGTCGAAGAATTAAGTTGAGGATTGACCGTTGCGATCGTCGCCAATCACGGTGCTTTGGTGCCTGTCCCAACTCCACCGACCAATTTCTGGTCATCTTTGTCATGGAACGTGGATTTGACTTCGAAAGTCGCATGCCTGACAGCGGGGCTCCTGGCCATTTGTTGATGACGTATGTACCACGTCCAAGGAGTTTTCGATCAGCTGGACCGGATGGACTGAACGGACGAAGTGGATGTCGCTTTCCGTGCCAGCCACCTCTGTTTCTCTGTGGCTTTCTTTGGGGCTTTTTTCCCCCCATCTATCTTTGATTTTCTTTTCCAGATTTTCTTTTACTCGAAATGATCATCATCCAGGCAGCGCTGCGTCACGCCGGAAACCGAAGATCTTCGAGTTGTTTGAACCGTCGACAGGGGAGACTGGCGATTGTTAGCGTAGACGTTGATTGCACAAGCTCAACAAACGGTTCCCAGGGCCAATTGCAACGGAATCCAGATACCCTGCAAGTTCAGAACGTATTTGCATGATCCTGCATGATATTGGAAACTTATTTTTTCCATTCTGTCTCGGGAACGAACAGGAGGATAGTAGCAGGCACTGGCGCTTCCAGCGTTACCTAGTGGAAATGAGCATGCCGTCAACGAGGGGGTTCTTTTGGAGAAAAAGAATTTGTAGCTGTCCTCGGGGACATAAGACATAGTCTCGTTGGCCGATACGTCGTCCCGCCCTTTATTTATAGTCTGAATACGTAGGACTCAAAATAGAAAGCCAAGCAAATTGTTCACTCCATGTGGTATTCATCATGAAGAGTTAAGTAGAGGTACACACAGTGAGCCAGTCCGCTCAGAGTCTCTTGCAACATCAAACGAAAAAAAAGGACAAAAAAAAAAGCAACCACAATCTGGATCTCTGGAATGACTGGACAAGACGGTTAGCCGCGACTCTCAACTCTAAGGCAAGGAAACTCACAGATGGACAGGTAAAGACGGGTGCGTCCAAGAAACGTGCAATCAAGCCTTTCCGCGAGTCTTGTGGACTTTGACATCGGCCAAATCTTCCTCCTGGACGATTTGGTCGACCGCATCCAGCAAGTAAGAGTTGATGCCCTGGTCCTCAAGAGAATCGGTTACAACCTGGGAGTTGCCAGTTTTGGCGGGCCCCTTGGACTTGGGGGTACGGGTGGGTGCAGTAGTGGTAACCGGTCTCAGCGACGCTTTGGCGCCCTTAGTCCCAGTGGTAGTTTTTGAGACGCGCTGACGTTTGACGGGGGGCTGGACCTCGCTGTCCTCGTTCGACTCGGGGGCTGTTTCGTCGGCGGTGGTCGTGGTTCTGGCCAGATTTTCGGGCTTGGCTCTGGCAGTAGTGGCCTTCATCGAAGCGGCAGACGGTCTGTCCTCGCCCTTGCTGGAGATGTTGGTGCATTCGAGATTGTGGAATCCATATCTCTTGCGTAGGAGTCGGAAGCGGTTGGCAACAGACGCCGGGTTGGTGTATCCGAGCGCCTCGCCCACTTTCGCAATATCAACCTAGTGGGATCAGTCAGTAAATGAAAGTGCTGGGGTGTTGGAGCGTTAGAGCCATTTTCAGTTCCACTTGCCTGTTTATTTGTATCCAAGTTCTTGACGCATTCAAGAATGAACTTTGCGTCCTGCTGGTTGACTTCACCTTCGGCGGTGCCAGCTGATTTTGCGTTGGAGACCATTTTGACTCGCTGAAGTCACGATTAGTAGGAGACTTTGACGGTTATTTTCGGTGCGCGGGAAGAATAAAATGTAGCCTCTTACTGGTGAGAAGTAGCTTGAAGAAAGATTTGAGGGGAGTGATAATTTTGGAATGAAGGAAGTGTGGATGGTGTGAATGGAGTATGGTGACGATGGGGAGGAAGGAAACAGAAGTGAAGGAGTTGGTAAAAGAAGAAGAGGGTGACCGTCTTGAAGAGGAGCTTTTATTGTTTCTGGTGCGCTTAAGTCGTCGAACCAGCAAGACGAATCTCAGCGATGATTGCTATGACGATGGAGTGTTGCCGAAGCATCGTAAGCCAGAAACCAATCGGACCTCTCATATTTCCACGGCCAGGATTTAGTCAAGTGAAGTTGAAGGTATATTCTTGCAGTGAATTGTCTATCCATCATTGATTTATAACACTAAACACCAGTCCCAGATCATATTGTCATAAATTCATTACAGATACACCAGATGCAGAATCAAAACCATCACTTTCGGCTTTCCATGGGCCCTCCTTCCATACCAAAGATGGCTGTTCCTTGGTATTCAACCTCCTCACACTGTGCGGAAATCCCAGGTTCCTCGTTCTTCTCCACCTTGACAAGAATATCGTCAACTCCGTGGTCTTCCGGCTCAGCTTTGACGGGAGTCCAAACATGGTGGGGACTGGGATGCTGCCCGAACTCCATTGGTGACAGGCTCGGAAATGCATGGGGGGTTGCGTACATTCTCAGGTCCGACGGAGCCACGGTGGCTGACGAATACGGAATTGTGGACATCTGTAGAGGCGTATTTGACAGCATCTGAGGAGAGGTGGCTTGAGGTATGTCTCCGAGAGAAGGGATTTGCTGCCCGTATGGGTCGGTCTTGATGAACGGGTTCGACTGGTAGAACAGGAGACCAGGATCTTGCTTCACCTCCGACTTTGGCTGCGCGATATTTGCCTCCGGTTGCATATCCGCCTTGCACGAACCGGCCTTGGACTTGTTGGGGGTTTTCTTGGCGCGGGGTGCTCGTGGTGTGGATGCGATGCCCTCCATCTGTTGCCTGAAGCGAGAATAGCGCATCCGTGCCGCATGACCGTTGGAAATCTCAAGTTGGGAGGCAACGACGCTCCAGTCAATCTTGAAAAAATGGCCAGTCCATTAGCTAGTGACAGAAATCTGGGAGGACTTCACTTACAGCCTTCAGATCCAACTGCTTGATGATGGTGTAGAGAAACTTGGCCGTTGGGCCATCCGTTGGCATGGCTCTGCTGCGACGGGTGGTACTCATGACTGCAGCCTCAACTTGAACGTTGGAGAATGTAGAGGAAGTCCGGGGTTGCACTGGATTGAATGGTGGAAATGGCAGGGTATCTGCCAGGGGAAGATTGATGGAGAAATATGCACTCTATTGCACAGATGTTATTATTTATAATTCAATTCTGGGGGCGCTAATAGATCGTAATTTAGCTTTCCAAGCCAAGCGATCTTTTGCAAGAACAAAGAGCCACAGCCCAGGCCACCTGGAGGGGCAAACAGATTGACATTCGTTGACATGTCTCGGAAAGCCGTAAGCCTGGCCCAATTATCCTTTTCTTCTCTGCAAAGCCACCACAAAGAATTTGACTCTCCACAGCAGTACCACAATATTTCCGGTAATAGTAAGAAGCTATGAGCGAGCTAGCTAGCCAAATATGCAGATTTGGGTGTCTATTTTGTTCACAATTGTAGTGTCTCCTCGGGATGAAGATCGATCAACCTGTCACGTGTGGACATATGCCCTGGTTTCTTCGCCTTGGGAGAAGACGGGGATTCTAGAGGTTTGCTTTTGCACAGTAAACATGTATCTTCCCTATAATTTCTTTCTATCTCTCAAGTTCTTTGTTTCTCTTTGTTTCACTTAATTTTTTTTTTTTTTTCAAGAAAAATAAAAAAATAAAAACACCTACCAACAAGACTAGAAGACAGGTGCTAGCTAGCAGGGACAGGACAAACGGGAAAGGGTACCGAACTGTGACTTTTTTTCTAAAAAAAAAAAAGAAAGAAAGAAAAAGAATAAAAATGGAAATGGAAATGGAAAAAAAAAAAGAAAAAAAAAAAAACCCCTGTACTGTACCTGGATTTTAGGACTAGTCAACCTTGGGGTATCCCAGCCACCGCATGACGTTTTACAGGTCCCATTGGTCTTCCCTGGCAGTCTGGTCCAGTAAAAGTCAGCCCTAAGCAGAAGCGCTTCCGGATATCGGCCGTTTTGCATCGCAGCTCTTATCCAAGCGAAGGAGGATTAGAATTCAACCCAAGCCCGACAAAAAAGGGTCCCACGCCCGCGAAATGATTTCCCAGGTTCAAGCATGGTAATCAGTTTCCCGTGCAAAGTCGCGCGCAGAAATGACAGCTCCGATTATCTACGGAGGTACCTATTGCCCCGACTGCTCCTCATGTCCCACGGTTGATGTCGCTCTGTGTCGAAAGTTGTCCATTTTGTTCCAGCCAATCAATCAAAGGGTTCTCGTATGGCCCGATGGTGATCCTCGCAAATTCCAGTTCTGTACAGTTCTGTAGGCTGTACGGAGTAGAATGGAGATAGCTTGCCCGGATGCAGCACTCCGTCCGCATACCCGCATAATGCAGCTCTCCTCTGACAAGGGTTTGTGACTTTCTTGTCTCGAAAGCCCCATACTACGTTTTGGATTTTATTTAATTTTTTTCTCGCTAATTTGACCCGGCGTCTAGTTTCGCGTATGTTCGCGTCTCTTGAGATCTCTTCGCGTTTCCCAGTTTTCTGGCGTGTCTTCATGGTATAAATATGGCTTCCTGAATTTCTTTCTTCTTTCTTCTTCATCGTCCCTAACACATCATCAATCCATCTTTCCTTGCCCAAAGCCTTCCAGTCTTCTCTTTCTTTTCATTCAATTTTTTGCCTTGTGCTTCCACTCCTTGGTGTTGTTGTGCGCCATCTGATACACTAACTATGCCACGGGCTCCGAGGACTTCCCGCAGTCGAAGAGTCTCAAAGACGAGTAATGCACGCCCGTCATACGCTTTCACCCTTAACGAGGACAGGCAGACCCTATTGGGCATGCTGTCCCTCGTGAATGTGTAGGGTACAGACATGAAGGAACTGTACCGGATTTTAGCCAACAAGGCTTACTCATTGGGCATGTTGAAGTATGGCCCTTTCCCTCTCTCATTTACCCCGTCCCGCACGTAAGTCCACTGATAATGAGTATCAATCCCTCGCGATCAGGAAGCGATTCGATTTCCTCAAGAAAATGTCCGCCGAGTTGCGAATGCATCGTATGGAGAGAAGCGAGAACGACCAAACCGCTTCGGAGGATGAGGTCACCTTCATCGAGGCGTCTACACGCCCGGAGACCAGCGAGGTCTCCATGTCGCCTGAGACCCCGGTCGTCGCCAGGTTCCGCCGTCGCGAGTCCGCCCCGACGACCCGAGGCAGCAATGAACGGAGAGACCGGGCTCGCAGCAACACGCCCAACATCCGGCGCCCAGTCTCCCAGCACCCTTCGCGGAGATAGTCTCTCCGGGACTCCTACCGCCCCCCTCGTGAATTTGACGAGCGGCCCCGCAGTGGTCGTGAGGAAACTACGCCGCCGAGGCGAGGGCGAGGAGAGGAGGCCCGAAACTCGAGAAACGCGGGACGCTCCCATACCCCCGGCCCTGTCGCTCCTTACGTGCACGCCCAGTTGCCTCGCAACTCACATCGCTGAGAAGGGTATGGTAAAGATTGTCCAATCGGAGATTATGTAGCTTTCGGGATTTGTCTTTTCAATCTTTGTCGGTTTGGTTTCGGATCTTTCAAAATTGTTCACAGTGGGTCTCTTTCGGTTGTCACGGTCATCATATTACTTACTTTGTTTGGGCTTATGACGTGGTTTGGTCTTTGCAATGGGCTTAGATAGTGCTTCTTATTGATTTTCATCATTAACATCTTGTGAGTAGGTTATGAAATCCTGTTCGCATTCTGTATGATTGTTTCGTATCTATCTCGTAGTAGTTGCCCATCCGTTTCCAACTCTCATCTGGAATTGTTCGAATAGAATGTTTAAACAGTGGATAACCTCTTGAACAAATCTTTTCAGAACTTTAATGCATTTCAAAAGTGGACAGACACAGCAGACAATGCTCTCTTTCCTGCTGCGGATTCGCGTGCTTGTTGTTTGTTCCCTTTTCGACTTTAGTGGCCCTGTGGAATGGAGTGAATCAGGAAGTAATGTGGACATCCAAGTTCGATCTTATTTTCATTGGTGCAAAGAATCAGTTCTTCTGATTATTCAATATTGTATTTATATGATAGAGTATGTCGCATGTCGTCAGGACCGCCAGCAAGATCAGCTATGAATTATCTCCTATTCAAAAAGAATTTGTTAGCGATAAAAGATGTTTATTCTTGAACAAAGAGTAAAAGCACACACACACTCCCATTTTATTTATTCTGTGCAGATTTTATAGATAGATAGGTGATGATAATAGCAATAGAGAAGGATGAACCACAAGGACATAGTTGAATTTTCCTCAATAAGTTTTATATAAAATTTAACTACAGATTTAGTTTAGGACACTACCAAAATCAAAAGCAATTCTTGCTGTAAAAGTAAATCAAAGTAAAGGCTCTAAATGGAGTACATCAAATCCCAATAGCAAGGTAAAGGTCACTCAAAGGGTATCCAACAAGAACTGAAGCTAACAATAGGACCATCATTCCGGCTCGCGTACACAAGAAGACAAAAAAAAAAAGGTAAAAACAATTACATAGAATCACATCGCAACAATGTACAGAAAGGTGGAAGGGGTATCACGATATGATTATATGCGAGAATTGACAACGAAGTCACTCTTAAAACAATGGCAAGTGCGATGCGCTCTGCTCCGAGGGTTGGCAGAGCTGAGCTGGGCTAGATGTCTGCCATGACTGACTCAAGAATCTTCCGCTTGTACATTGACAGTGAACGCTCCCTCTTCTGTAACTGCGCCCGCATTTTAATGTACCGTTGCTTCCAGGTTATTTCGGAAGCATTACTATCGGCCCCATCGACCTCAAATTCGGCATCGGTCAAACTGTCCAAATCTGCGATGCTGTTGTCAGGGTCGTCAGTGATTCGAGAGATGCTCTCGCGTTTGCTGCCGTCGTTTTTGCCGATGGTGAAATCGCCGTATGTGACTTTGGTTGTAAAATGAAGGCCATGTTTGTACTCGTGGGAGATACTGTATACAAAGTTCGGTGGGGCGCCACCAGGACCTGACGCACCTGGCATGTTTGCAGGAGCTATAGGGGCTAATTCCACATGCACAATCATTGCGCTCTCCATGACACCGGGGTAACCGAAATGCGGCCCCAGTCCCAGGTGGAGAACGGACATGAGGACTGGTGACCCCAATGGTGCGTGGGAGTACGAAGCCGTCAAAGTGGTCACGACGGACAGTGCCAAGTTGCGGGCCTCTTCGGCGTTGAGGGGGGCCGGGCGACCGGTGACCTTGGCTCGCAGCAGCTCCCCTGCCAACACCCGAACTGCATCATCGGAGACTAGATCCGCCTGGGAGTGGCCGTTTCGGGCCACCGGGATCTGAGGATGAGGGGCAATTGCGCTGTGCATCTCGTGAGTCGGTGCTGCGGCTCCGTTCCGCTGGCTGCCTTCAATCTTCAAAGAACCCGAGGGATTGTTGATACCGTTGAGCATGAGGGTTGGAGGCGTGGCTAAGCGTACCGGTGCGCCTGAGTGATGCGGCACCTGAAGCTGCAACTTGTTAGGTCTAGGACCAGGGAACGGCGTCGGTGACTGCTGGTATTGGGACTGAGAGAAACGGTGGGAAGAATCGTGGTCGAGAAGGATGGCAGGCGACGGCCTTGAAGTAGGTTGGTGTACCTGAGTCGGATCGGAACGGTTGGGATTTACAGGGAATGATGAAAAGGGGCCCGAGACGGTTCCCCGGTTTGGTGGTCGCCCACGAGTCTTGCCCGTGGATGATCCATTGTTGCTGGGCCACGCGGATGATACAGCGGGGCCGTGTCGTCGTTTGGGACGTGGCTTGTCACCCGAGGACGGAGTCACTGCGGACCGTGGTTCGGTAGAGTGCAAGTAAACTTCGGAGGGATGATGGTGTCGAGGTATGATGGCCGATTGTGGATAGCCAGCTGGGGACGCATCGCGCTCGATGGGTTTCCATCGTGGATCAGGTCCGTGGTGAATAGTAGACGAGTCTGGGGGCCCGGCAGTCGGAAACGTAGAGGGGGTGGCCATCCATGGGTCGTGCGTCTCGATCTCGTCCGGGAAAGCGCTGAACGGAATGGCGCTTGGAGGGAAGGTCGCCGAGTGCCCCGGAAATGGGCCTGCGTGGATGAGGCCGATGGAAGTGTCTAAAGAGGGTCGTTTTGTAACCCGTTCGAATGTTATGTCCCGCTCATCGGCCCTTTTCCTACCCCGTTTCGGTTTCCACTGGGGCACAAGAGCTCGCAGCGCCAGATCCTCTTCCAGCGGCACACCGTCGCGACTGTCGCTAACAACTGAATTATTGGTGGGAATCTGATTGTAGTAGGGGTGTGGATGGCCGAGACAGTACTCGAAGAATGCATCGACATGCATCGCTCGCATCCAGCGCTGATATGTGCGCGTTAGAGTACTGAATATGGTATAGGAAAGGAAAGGGAGGAACGGCAAACGCACCTTTAGACGGACCGCGTATTGTTGCACCTTCTGCGTGCTCTGGCCCTTTTCCATCACGGGAGGTTCAACCCCAAGTTCGGTCGCCAAGGAAATCCAAGTCTTCAATTCTTTATTGTCAAGTTTGCGAATCAGCTCCCACAGCGTGAATATGCTGAAGCTCTTGCCGTCACTTCGGGGAGGCGATCGGAACGTTTTTCGTAGTTCGCTGGTGTCCACAGATAACGGAACGTTAGGGTTACAGTGGAAGATAAACATCACGTAGGCATCGTCGATTGTATCATCCTTGATGTCGCGAGACGGCAACGCTCGAGAATCCGGCTGATCCATCGATTCCCTTGGTTGTCTCTGGCGAAGAGGGTCGAACATCGGCGGGGTCATAGAAGGTCCGGGCTGCGCGGCGGTTACTGGAGGAGGTGCCGATCGCACGCCGGTTGGCGATGCCTGCAAGCTGCGAGGGGTTGCTTTGCGATTGAGCGGAGGTGATTTGGAGGCCGGTAAGCGACTGCGAGCGCTTCCTAGCGAAGATGCGCTTTGTAACCCGGGCTCGAGAGTGGGCGGATATCTTGCATACTGCTGGATGACCATCGGGGGATTCCCCAATTCATTTCGGTCCGGTTGATTCATCACATTGGGAAACGGACCTTCCATGGTGCAGCAATCGCGACGCGGGGCCTCTTGAGACTGAAGTTGAGGCCCGCCACAATATAGAGGGTGAAAACACCCGTCGAACCGTAAGCGCCGGGACGACAGCCGGGTATCATAAATAGCTGCCAAACCAGGCCCAATTTCAAATGCGCCTCAATAGCGCCAGACCACTAAGCCGAAGAAGGGAGCAGAAAACCAAAAAGAACCAGGGACCAGCCCAATGAAGCGCTTCAATTGATGGTACAGGACGCAGACAGCTAGCAGGACAGGCGGCGCGGCGCAGGATATTTAATTATATCTGAATGCGAAGCAGAACGAACAATACGGTAAACACGGACGGATTAGAATGGCGGAACACAGCCCATGACGAGATATGTCCTGGTTGGGAAAACCCGATCGCCATGATCACCGCCAGAGAAATGGGGGGTGGGAGAGGGGGAGAAAGAAGAGAAAGAGGAGAAGGTGGCTGGATGACGGCGGGCGCTTTAAACGAAGGCCGATGATAGACTGAGAGGAGCTGACTGTTTCTATTTCGGGACGCTCCTCGATGCCCCTCGCGGTCTAGCGCCGGCGCCTCAGGGCGGGGGAGTTGATGCCTGGGGCCTTGGCCCGTTCGGTCACGTGAGTACACTAGACCGCCTCGGGACAAGCCTGGCCGGCCTGGCCCGTAAGGCAGAGAGTGGGATCAGAATCAGGCAATCGTCAAGCGTCCGTCTCTTATCGATAAACCCCGTGCTTCTTCCTCCTTCCTCCCTTCCAAATCGTCATCACTGCCTGTTCACTCTTCTGCATTCACCAAACACGCCCTGGTCCTTCACCGTTCCTCATGCTCTCCGACTCATGATCCTTCTACGCTAACTGCAACGTGACCTGCATCAAATCTCGACTCAGCTTCTCGTTTTTGAATCATTTGCTTGCTCTTGCTCACATTGGAGATCATGTGCAACCTGCCTCTCTCGACGTTCCCTCTTCGTCTGTAGGGCGAGCAAGCCCTCCGTCGCCATGGCCCACACTTCCAACTCACGTCGTTCCCACCCCGTTCGCTCCAGTCGCACCCAGGTGCAGTCATATCATGAAAGCAGTTCCGACGATAATAACACTGCCTCGGATGAAGAACGACCGTCGCTTTCCCTCCGCCCTCGTGACTCCCACCGCGCGCCTGTCTCCTATCGCGAAGAATCCTCTGAATCTGAGGTACCAATCCTTGAAGATCAAGATCCCGAGGCGGTGATCCCAGTTGAAACTTCCACGACGCCAAACAGAAACAGGCCATCTCGCCGAAAATCCGTGAAAACCAGATCGCAGACAAAAGGCACCAAGAGAAACGCTGGCAAGCAACACTTGGAATTGGGAAAATCGCTGAAAAGAAAGAGGAAGGTTGAAACGGATGAGCCGCCCCCCTTTGTAGGCTCGGGTGTGATTCCACCCTGGCAGACTTTACCGTATCATGTTTTGTTCGACATCTTCTTCTTTGCCTCGTATCCACTGGTGGAGGAAAAGGCCGGTAGAAGACACAGCTCCGTGCAATGGCTGGTGAACGTCTCCCTTCTCTGCCATGCTTTCAATGAACCAGCATTGGCTGTGCTCTATCAAAACCCCCCGTTGCTCCCGGCCGCCAAGACACATGGCCTACTGACTCTGCTTTCTTGCCCACCACAATCCCTTTCCACCAATTATATGAACAAAATAAGAGAACTTCATGTGGATGTGGAAATGCTGCTGTTATACAAGAGCGGGCCAACTTTGGGGTATTTCGAATTGCCAAAGTTGATTGAGAAGACGCCCCAAGTTAGAAGACTGCGGCTATATCATAGTGATGACTACCTGGTTGGTATTCCTATTTGGCAGTTAAATCGCTCAAAATGGGTCTACCCGGACGGCCTTTTCTCGGCCATCGAATCAGCACCGATCAGACTGCGTAGCTGGGATTGGAATAGTCGGTTCATGGAGACGAAATGGCTTCTGCCGCTTATGATGGCGAAGCATCTTCAACCCGCTTTCAAAAACATCACAGAGCTGAGACTGTTACATATTGCCTGCGAGGATGTGTACGCCGACGAGTCTGGTAACGAGTCTGATGAGAGAGAGGTCGTCCTTGCGACGGCCCTCAAGGGACTTCCACATCTGCGCCATCTGGAATTCCACGAGTGTTCGATCGTCAACGAATACCTGATGCCTAATCTGCCCACCGGGCTTCTCTCGCTCACCATTAACAACTGCGACGACGTGACGACCGCCAATTTCAGCGCCTGTATTGCAACTCATGGCCAGCACCTCCGCGAACTGACTCTCAGCCACAACCGGCATTTGAGTCTGTCTTTCATTCAGATCCTGGCCCAAGCATGCCAGAGGCTCGAACGGTTTAAAATGGACATTTCGATGCATGACTGCTCTAGTTATCATGACGTGGAACCCCATTTCCGGGAACTACTCAGCCCTTCGGAAGTGCCAACCTGGCCAAGTACCCTGCAGGAAATCGAGCTGGTGCAGTTGCGCAAGTGGGATGACCGCACAGCCGGCGTGTTTTTCACCTCTTTGATTGACGCGGCGCCTGAACTGCGGGATCTACGGCGCCTGATGATTAGCGCAATTTTGAAAATCGGGTGGCGCGACCGTGCATCATTCCGAGAGAAGTGGATCGGCAATCTGGAGAAGGTCTTCTTAAGGCGAAGCGCGCCTCCCAACCCGACCCTTCGCACTGTTACCCAGGCTGCACCCTCCACCAACGTGGAAGAGGGTAAAACCGACGAAGCCGCCACTCAGTCTGATGCACCGCAGAGCGGGGTGTCAACGCCATCTAAGCGCAAAAGCGCCCGTCTGGCCCAGCGGAAATTTTCCGAGGTCGAGGACAATGCGGACCAGAGTCCATTGATCCGGGCCGCCAGCGAGGCCAAGGACGAGTCGAGCCGTCTTCCGGTGCAGGGCATGTGTGACGTTGTTTCGGTCCGGATCGACAACCAACGTCCTACCGAAACCCAGTTCAACGAAGAAGACTTTCTCGACGACGAATTGAGCGGCGACGAGGACTGGAATGGTAACGACATGGACATTGGAGATACCAGTCACGCGTGGTGACGAGGCCGGGCTCTCTAGACTACCTGGCAGGTTCTTATGGCTTACCCTTTTTTTTTTTTTCTTTCTTTCTTTCTTTTCCTTTTTTTTTTTTTTTTTTTTTTTTTTTTTTTCTAAAGTTTTCGGGAAGCTCACGGAACTAAAATGCGGGCGGTGTTCTGCTTTTTTCGTCATTATATCCTCTTTCTCTTTCTCGTACCTTTCAGCTGTACACAAGAATACACATGGGTAGGATTGGGACGCTTTTGAGGAGTTGAGGCAGGAGAATTCTGAGTTTTTTCTTTTCGGGTGGGCAATGGGCTCGGAGCAGGTTGCTTTTTGCAAAGTTCTTCATATGCGTTATTTGCTTTCCTCTCGCGGAGTCATTCATCAGAGGGTATTTGGCTTGTTTTTATCTTCTATCATGTCATGGTGCTTATCATGGACGGAAATCCCGTTCGCTGAGTAAATGAAATAGTTACATCCAATCGAAAAGATAAACAAGCCTCTGTCATAGGGTATGGTAGGTAGGCATGATCATCTATTGGAACACAAAGGCACCATTGTCGTTTACAATGCGCTCGCCAAGGTTGATATCGGCCGTAACCGGCTCTCCCTCCGCGTTGTTCAGTGTAGCCCGCAGCACAGGCACCTCGCCGTCTCCTTCGATCGCGAATTCAACGTCCTCGGCGGTCTCGGAGAAGTTCTGACCTTCCCACTCGAAGGAGCCTATGCGGCTAGAGTTAGAGCATGCTCTCTGTTTGTGGGACGTGAGAAGACGAACCGTCGTTGTTTCCAATGTATTCGTCAAGATCGATGGACGCATCTTGCAATTCTCCGTCGCCGTCCGCCAGCCTAGCAACCAAGATGTGGTTGTCATCGATCCGGATGTCCTCTGCGCTGTGGTGGAAGCTCATTGTGACGGAAGGATTGGGGTGTCTTTGGAGGAGATGTGGAGTTCTTGGAAGATTGATTGATAGTAATGCAGAAAGGAAGATAGAAGAAAGAAAGACAGAGAAAAAGAAGAGATGCTGGGTACAACTGACCGACTTTATAGCCCGCGACAGCTCTCACCGTGGGATGTTTAGCCCGAAGTTCCCCACGGCCATTGGCACCATACACCGTACACATGGCTTGGAATCATTTGTTTGAATGCACAAGCATGGGCCAGGAGCAGTGGGGATTTGCTAGTGAAGGTGGAACAAGGATACCGATTCAGTCTGCCCCTCCATCACGCCTTCGTGCTTACTTTCTTTCTTGCTGTTTGTCTTTTTTTTTTTTTTTCTTTTGTTTTTCGAAAACTTGTCCAAGGCAGCAGCAATAATGCGCCACTGGGGAGGGGAAGACCGGGCGGTTGTACGTTGTAGCACGACGATATGCGCAGATTGGAACTGCGGCTGGTGAGCGAATCCCCCACTCGGCCTGTATCCCTGGAGGCTCTTGGCAGTTGGCAGCCAGTTCACCAGTGGATACTCGGAGGGGCATTGCTCTCCATCCGGACGAGTCTGGGATGCGATTGCGTGCCTTCGATCGGAACTGGCAGGATTCATTGTTCTTCGTTCTTGTCATTGGCATCCATGGCGTTACGGTCATGTGTAAGGGCAAACTTGTACACCTCTTCTGAAGCGGCTTGCTTTGTATGCTGGATGACTGGGCTGTACAGTCTGGCATGACGGACGCCAAGGGCGTTAGCCTAGATATAAGGCTGACGAGTTAAGTGTTGTTTTCCGATGGGTTTGTGTCCGGGTTGCCCGATTCCTCCGGTCTCTCCTCTTGGCTGTGGTGTACAGAGATATTGTGAATCCTGTTGATCGCCTAGTTTGCACCACATAGCTTTTCAATTGGACCAGAAGGGTGGTACGAGCGCTTGGTAGATGGGGGACACGATTACTAGTTAGTTCCAATCGAGTAAATTGACAGCCGTTATGGGGGAGATGGTTGAGACAATCTCCACTCACTAGGGACTTTCTAGTACTTCCTAGGCTCTAGGCTGCTCACTCCACCTGCTTTGCCCCGCCAACGGGGCGGTATCGCTAACGGCCACATCGGCAAGAAGAGTCAGGATGAAGAATGGAAGAGAAAGAGAAAGAGGAAAGAAAGGGAAGAAGACCAACCCTGCCTACCATATAATATAATATGCCTCATGTCTTATCTAGAAAACCACACCACGGAATTAGCGGGTTATTCCAATGATCATGTGGGCTGTCTGCCAGCCGTTACGCTTGAATGTCTAGGTATATACACCTTCTTAACAGTTCCCTGTCCCGTCCAGAATTCAGTTCATTTCAATCTCAGCCACTCCATACCAGTAAATGAGTGTTTCTCTTCTCTTCGCCCCCTGGTTTTCTTCTCCTGTTCTTTCATCTTTCCCTCGCAGAGATGAACGTAGGGAACCTGGGTACAAAATTAACGCAGGGAACTTTGCAGTATCTCTATTCTCTCCCTCCTAGTTGTTCAGGCGCGCCCGTCTGCGCTTTGCTCATCTCCCCGCAGGTGATCTATTAGATCGTTACCCACATCGCCTGGTCTCGATAATCCGAGTTTAACTCAGCCCCAGAGACACGTGGTTCCTGATGAGTCGCACAAGTTCCCCAGTCTAGATTGAACTTCTACCAGACCCAGAAAGAAAGCCACTCGGCATCCACCGGTTTCATCAAAAAGCTGACTAGATAGGGGAATGCATTCAATATTTCCAGACATGGTCATTCCATGTCAGAGATAAAGATATAAGGGTCCGAGGTCCTGGATCATTGCGATGCAGCGAAGTGTGCGTCAACGAGCATCGGTCGAGACCGAATTTCTCGGGTGAAACCTGCAAAGATGTACAGTGTACAGAAAGGAATAATTCGATATGAATTGTGGGGGAGAATGACACTTGGTTGGCTCTGTTCACTTGATCTCGTCGGTACCCCGGCCTGGCGACCGATGCATATGCATTTCTCCACTTGCTCTCGTTTCAGTGTCTATTAAGGCTCGAGGTATTTTACCACTCATGATAGCTTAATATGAATTTACTGCTTGGAATTACGTTGTGCGATGATACAGCTGCCATAAGTGTTCCTTGCGCGGAATAAACACTAGGCTACTTGCTAATTACAACCATTTGGCTACCGAGAATTTACATTATCCTAGCAACAGGTGCTCGACCAACAAAACAATCTAGTTTGGCTAGGTGGTAAAAGTGCGTGTGTCTTTCACTGGCCTATCACTAGTGGTTTGTGACTGTGTTACGATGCGGCTTTGGGTCCAGTCAAGGCATATTTTCGAATAGGTACGCACTCAAGCCCTGCAGCTGTTGTTGGTTTTTCTTTCCTCCACTCACTCAAGGAAATATTGACTATCAGTCCATACTATCAGAGTAGGGATCCCACTGAATGAGTGCCGTTTATTAAAAGGTGATGGATCATTTGAGACTAGCTAATGGTTGTTGGAGGCAAAGCGCAATGGCGACGGAATTGGTTGAACACCAACACACACTAGCCAGGGTAGAGCGGTGCCTAACTCTAACAGGTAGACAAGAAACCCTAACTGACAAAAGAATAATAACTGATCCTTGATAGTTACATGTACACCATACAGAGCACGATCCAGATTCTCGGTGGGTCTGCGGTACGTCAACAGATGCAGTGACGGTTGGCTGTTCTGCATGGCTGCATTTCTCTCTCGCATGGCCGCCAATTCTTTGCTGCTTGGCCCCGTTCATCGATTGCCTATTCCTTCATTCCACGGAGGAAGTTTCGCCTCGATTGTTTGCAGAAGACAAAAGCAGCAACGAGTCGAAAGTCCACACAATTTTTAGTTCCGCATTTAGATTCCGAGCGTCGACCGCCGGATAAAACACTCACCATCACTAACAACTCTTCATCCACCCCCTTGATGCATTCCTGGCTCTTCCGGCTCGATTTACAACAGAAGATATCTTGTGGTATCTTTTACTCTTTCTGACCCAGCAAGGACCGTACTTTCACTTGGAGAGTCCAAATTCCGGCCGGCGGTTATGTCTTCCTCGCCCAGGTCGCAGGAGACGGCCGATCCTGCCACGGCCTCCCACTCTGTCCCGCAGCAGCCCGAAACTCAAGATGCCTTCGACGACAATGCATCGGTCTCCGTGAGTGTTTCTTTTTCTTCTCTGTCCCCTTGACTGACTCCTTTATCTGACAACTAATCAAATTCACTCACCAGGCTGAGGATGATGATGACCCCTTCTCGGATTATGCAGAAGATTTGTGAAAATATTCCCCAGTCATAAACGCGGAAGGAGCTGCAGCTGATGTGAGTGTAGTGCGAGTGATACAACCTCTATTAATTCGATGATTACATCTTATCGCTTTGAAAATGGGCGACGGTACCACGCCTACAAGGACGGTGCTTACTGGTAAATGCGTTCTGAATCGTTATGTTTTGTTGCAACTCGGATAGAAAACAAAAGGACTCACGAATCCCTAGGGGTCCGAATGATGAAAAGCAGAATGAACAACTTGATATTGCGTAAGTTACCCTCGAAATTCCCCGCGCCTTTCTCCGGGCGAAGAGACTGACGTTAGCATTCAGCCATCATATGTTCACCATGCTTCTCGACAATAAGTTATTGCTCGCACCGATAGACAGAAACATCCAGGTTGGCCGATCTGACTGTGGGATGAGTTTGGGTATTGGCTGATCACCGTTTAATGGCCGTGCAGAGAGCGCTCGATGTGGGTACCGGCACCGGGATTTGGGCAATGTGAGCTCTGCTGGGTCTCTATCGTCGCATGCGAACCATTTGCCTAGGTAGCTGACGTTGGACGTTATCCAGAGACTTCGCCGACGAGTATCCATCCGCCCAGGTTATCGGCACCGATTTGTCCCCTATCCAGCCCGGCTTCGTCCCGCCTAATCTACGATTCGAGATTGACGACGCGTCCGAGCCGTGGATTTACCCGGAGAATCACTTTGATCTGATTCACGTACGGTCTTTGTACGGGGCGATCTCGGACTGGCCCGAGTTCTATCGCAATGCTTTGAAGTAAATCCCTCCGCTGTTTCTGAACCACAAAGAGGTGACGCGGCTGATGGCGACCGAAGACATTTACAACCTGGCGGGTGGTTTGACCAGCTGGAAATGTCCATTCAGTTTACCTCCGACGATGGCACCGTGACCGACGATCACGTCCTGGCGGTCTGGTCCAAGATTTTCATCGATGCTGGAGAACAGTTTGGGAAAACTTTTCGTATTGCCGATCTAGCCCGGGGCTACATGCAAGACGTTGGCTTTCAGAACATAACGGAACGGCGATTCAAGCTGCCGATCGGGCCTTGGAGTCCGGATAAAAAGCTCAGGAAATTGGGCCGATGGAATCAAATCCATTGCGAGCAGGGGATTGAAGGATGGGCCATGGCATTGCTAACACGCGTGATGGGCGTGAGTTACTCCACTTCTTTCATGAACTCGGATTTGATTTCCTATCTGAACTGAAGAAACCTGCTAACGTGTGTGTCTCTGGATTAGTGGTCCTACACGGAGGTGCAGGTCTTTTTGGCGCAAATGCGCAAAGGCCTCCGAGACCCCGACACTCATTCTTATTTTCAAGTGTACGTTTCTCTCCCCCCCACTCTCTTTCCCCCTTTTCATGCTCGATTATATTATTTTCAATCATATTCTGTGGGGATGACTGCCGATCTAACTGCTTTTTTTTCTCTCGCTTTTTTAGAGTCGGGGTGTACGGGCAAAAGCCCATCGGAGGATTTTGAGCAAGGAGAGCCTTCAATAAATTGAGGAGAAGCGGTGTGCCAATGAGTCGAGTCGGGGAAGACGGGAAGGAGTCCGTCCGTCTGCAGCTGGCTGGATTTGATGACGATTATGATTTTATTCACGATCCTCTCGTACTTACGCCGGAGTAGTTTATTGGTTTCTTTCCCTGTTCGTCCGTGCATAACACTGCTCCTAATGGACTTAATTACGCCGTTGTTGAATAACGCCCAATAAAATAAATATTATTATCAACTATGCTTATGACAAATTGTACTATAACTATGTACATGCATGGAGTTTGTCCGGAAGATGGTGTCGTCACTCTCCATGGTTATTTGCCTTTGGACTCCACCAGGACTCCACTGTGCTTCCTCTCCCCGACCGTCTCAGGAAACCAGCTGGCTTGCCCAACGCCGACTGCTTGCCTTCTGAAGTCTTGCCCTCGCACGGATCCCCCAGCAAAGACAGCCCCCTCGGCACCGGCTTAGCGCTTTCTGCAACTAATCCCTAGGCCCAAGCCACCGGGTCCCGTCTCGTTTCTTCAGGAAGCCACACTAAACGGTGGATTGCATGGAGCCGTTACGCACCATGGCAGAGCGAGCAGACAACGCGGTGCGATATCCTGGTGCCGAAAGAAGCATTATCGCCGTGAATAGCTCCAATTGCATGGTGACAATCGCCGGCTTATTGAAACAATAGACGTTCTTCGGCTTGACCTGGCCCCGAAATGGGTAGCCCGATGCGACGCTGCCTTCTGCCAAAGTTTGGGATCATCCTCGTTCGTGAACCTGTGTGGCCAGACAAGGACCATGGTCCATTCGGGACGAACGACTAAAGACCGCTATGGAAGTCAAGTCAGATGGCTTTCGCCTCCCAATTGGCGGTCATTTGTCATATCATGCGCGGGGTCTTGCCTACTCCGTACTTCCCTGGGGTCGTGTCTTGCACGTGAATTGGGACGAAAATGTCATAATATGGCGATTGCCAATTGGAAATGGAATTGTTCTCTTTCCCATGACTGCTTTTGCGCGCCCTGATTGACATTTCGGTATCTGATCCCATTTCCTCGAGATCTTGCGAGTTCTCATCGGAGGTCCGATCATGGCGCTTGCTTCGATTCTATTGAATACGCCTTGGGTGGATATCTTACGGCTGCTGGCAGTCTCCCTGACGGTCACAGCCCTACTACGCGGCGTCGCCTTAGTAGTTTATCGTCTATTCTTTCATCCTCTGGCTAAGGTCCCGGGACCCTTCTTTGCTAGAGCGTTCTATTTCTACTCCTTCTGGTATAATGTGCGCGGAGGACGCATGTACTTGCAGATCGCAAAGCTTCACGAGAAATACGGTACGGCGGTGTCTTCTTCCCCTAGAACCGGTCTGTCAATAGGCATCTAATCCCATCCTCAGGCCCAGTCGTCCGTATCAATCCGAACGAGATCCACCTGAGCGACCCTGAACAATGCCAGAAGGTATACTCCATCGGATCACTATACGGGAAGGATCCCATCTTCTACAACGCCTTTGCTACCCCCAAAGCCACCTTCACGACGGCAAGTCCGGACCTTCACCGCATTAAGCGATCTGCACTGAACCCTTTCTTCTCGCGAAAGAGGGTACTCGATTTGGAGGATATAGTGCGGCAAAAGGCGAACAAGTTGGTATGGCGCATGCGACAGGCATTTGAATCCACGGGCCACATCGACCTGCATCATGGGTTCAGGGCGATATCGATCGACGTAATCACCGATTATGCCTTCGACCAATGCTACAACTTCCTGGACGATGATGGCTTTGGCGTCGAATTTTTCAATATGATGCGAGGATTCGGACCCACATTCTGGTGCTTCCAGCAATTCCCAGCGCTGCAGGCGATTGCGGTCCGCACGCCGTTCTGGCTTGCCAAATTAACGAGTGCGGCATTGACGAGAAAAATGATGCATCATCAGGTGCGTGGCTGTCGATCACTTTGCCTTCTTCCCCGGCCTAGTGCCTTTGTCTAATGGTCCTAGGCATCTCATCGTCATGTCCAAGGGGTTAAAGACGCCGTGGACCGAGGCGAGAAGGTGTCACGCATAACCATCATCCACCAGCTTCTCTCGCCCGATGCCGCGGAGGGACATGTGGTACCGACGGTGGACGACCTCACAGACGAACTTTTCAATATCCTCGCCGCAGCGGCAGATACGACCGGCAATGCCATGACAATTGCAACGTACAACGTGGTGCGAAACCCGACCATTTACGACCGGTTGACGAGCGAGTTGAAAGAGGCTTTCCCCGACCCGGAGGGCGATATGAATTATGTGGTTCTAGAGAAGCTCCCTTACCTGGTGAGTATGTCTCGTTCGTTTTTTTTCAAGGAAGATCAACTAATCTAGTTCGTTAGACAGCTGTTATCAAGGAAGCTCTGAGGTAATTCGCCTTTATGTTAGTCGACAGTAATTCGTTTACTAACGATTCTCAGGCTGTCCTTCGGAGTCGTCGGTCGGCTTCCACGAGTTGTTCCCGAACCTGGCGAAGAGTTCAACAACTATCAAGTGCCAGCAGGGGTAGGTCAAATGGAGTTACTGTTCCCAGGTATACATGACCAGCAGCTGAATCATCTAGACCGTTGTTAGTATGAGCTCGTGGATCATGCACCACGATCAGAAATTGTTCCCAGACCCCGAGAAATTCGATCCGGATCGCTGGCTGGACCCGGACCATAGTCGATATTTGGACAAATACCTGCTTGCCTTTGGAAAGGGTTCAAGGCAATGCGTTGGCATGCAGTACGTCGCTCTAGAATCTTTTATATCCCGGCATATTCCGCTAATAAGACCGCAGACTTGCCTATTGCGAAGTATATACAACTATAGGACGTGTTTTTCGGCAGTTTGTTGATCTCACAACGGCACATAAGAGTCGTGATGAGCTACTATGTAATGACTATTTCTCTTCCTATCATCCAGAGGAGAACAACAAATTTGTGTTCGAAAGAGCTTCCAAGGGTGTGGAGGTATAATATCATGGCCGTGAGTTTGTACTTAGTTCCATAGAAAGGCAAACGATAAATTGAAATGATAGCTTGTGTATACGTCGTTAACTACATCTGCATAAACAAGTCCACAAGCGTACTCTTCCCACCTGATGAAATGAGGTATGTACCTGGCATAACTCTTTTACATCAGTTCAGTTTTGTGTGAAAGCTTTCGTTTTGCTCAAAGGACTGTATAACACAAACGCCCGACTCTATGCGAGACTTCCACCTATCTCGTTCAATTCACCTTCACCACACTATCGGCAACTCCCCCCTGTTCTAGGCATTCAGAGTGACTAGTCTATTCCTCATCCAGCTGTCGGCGCGCGGTCTTTAGTTCATCCCTCGAAGAGACCTACGAGAATAAGTCACGAAATTCACCTATAGCCATAAGAACAATCCCAACCCCTCTGACCTCTTCGTTTCTCTTCCTTTCAACCCACCTCTTCTTCTCACATCCCCAGACCCAGGGCGACCCAAACACTGATCTCTTGAACATTGTCTGTTTCCCAAACACACTTATCTCAACTCCAAAGCAATTTCCCATCTCCACACTGAAGTGTACCAACCTTCGAGATGGTTACTTGGAACGACCAAGCAGATGCCAGAGTAAGACGCCCCCTCCTCTCCCTCAAAAACAACAAAAGAACTAATCATCCAGCTCCTGGTCGCCATCCTTAGGAACATGACTGGCCGTCTGGACTACGCTGCTATCGCCAAGGACATGGGTGGTGGTAAGTCCAAGTCCCATCCAATTTACCTACTTCCCCTCCTCTTTCTGTTTGTTGATACCTGAGCTTACAAAGAACGCGCCTCTCTTCAGATTGCACAGTCAGCGCCATCCATCACCGCATCCAGAGAATCAAAGAGAGAGCCAACGCTAGCGAAAATGGCTCCGGCTCTCCCTCCGGTGGTGCTACTGCCGCGACCGCCGCCACTTCTACGTCTGCTGCCGAGCAGGCCCAAGCGTCCCCTTCTACCGAGAAGAGAAAAAGAGGCAGACCCGTCGGAAGCGGCAGAAAGAGGGCTAACAATTTGTCTGCCAAGAAGGTGAATGCCGGGGTTGAGGTGGCAACTGAAGGCGAGGGTATGGGTGAGGACGATGGCGAGGGACCTGCTGAGACTTGAACTGGAGAAGGGGGGTTGGGCTTCACGCCTTTTTCTTTTTAGTCTTCTGCTTGTCTTCTTTTGAGGTGGATCTTATCTTTTCGGCGGATGATTTTGTGTTCTTTTATGGAGATCTATTTGAACTGCTAAGGGTTGGTTGCCTGCGTCTACGAGAGACGATGGGGATGGTTCTGTATCCAAGGCACGGCTACTACTGAATCCACCCAGTTTAAAGCTTGAACTTTGATTCCATCTGCATGCTCAGCTACTTACATCCAAAAAAAGTCAAGCAGCCATATGAGTCCCATTCCCCGTAATCCTAAACTCCCCAATCCGGACCCAGAAAACAACTCTGCTACCCTAAGTCAAAAGAACCCTCACCACAGTAGAAAAAGAGAATAACTCCAGTAGACAAAAGTGCGAGCGATGGAGTGGTAGGGTAGAGGTTGCAAAAGGGTTGGTTGTTGATGAGACAGCTAAGCAACTATGCAAAGAGATCCTCATTCACGTCGCGGGCGTGGTCAGGCATATACTCCGAAGCAGAGCTCTCCACGTCCTCATCCTTATCCTCATCCTCATCATCATCGTCCTCGATTTTGTAGCTAACCATACCAGAAGCCAGGCTGCTTGCCTTGCGCAGCCGCTTTGAAGGAGTGCCCTGGCCGATGAAGGTCACCTCGTCGTCATCGTCCGCCTCCATTTTCACAGTGTCCTCCATCTTCAAAGTGGAGCCAATCTGGCCGAGCATGCCGCCGATGCGATTCATACCCGCCACGGTAGGACGCAGGGGCTTCTTCGTAGGGGTGACATTCTCTTCGACGGTCTTCGAGTCGGCCGAGTCGGCGTCGCCAGCTGGGCTGGGAGGCTTACGCTTGCTCGAAGAAGGGGTCTTGAGACCGGTGGCCCGAGGCCTGCGGGGAGTGGAAGGACCAGAAGCGTTGCCGTTGCTGATACTGAAACCGCTGTTGGTGCAGGTGGCTTTGCGCATGCGCACGAGACGCTCGGTGATTGCGCGTGCAGTGGGACGGTCGATCGCCTTGCCGTTCTCCACGGTGGTGGCTGATGAATCGTCAGAGATGAACGAGGACGGATGAACGAGGATGGATGGATGAGGGCGGATGGATGAGGGGAGGAGAGAGGGTTACTTACGCCAGGCCTCTGCCACACGCTTGGGATCGACGGAGAGATCATGGGTCTCGAGGATTTTTAGGAGGAGCTGAGAGGGTCAAAATCCAGTTTGAGAGTGGGGAGGGCAAAGGAGGAAAGAGGGCAGCTTACAAGCTGGTCGTTCTCCGGGGTCCATCTCACGGGCATGTTGGTGGTGGTTTGAGAAGGAAGATGTAGATAGTCGAAGTAAGAAGTAGTTGGGGGGAGAGCGATCAGCAGTCAGGGAGAGAAAAGACTGAGGAAAAGTTGAGTGAGAGAAGAGAAGTGGGGGATCTGTTCGAGGGAGAGAGAAAAAAAATGTGAGTAGGGCAAGTGGGAGAGCGAGGGAGAGATGCCAGCCGGCGTTTGCCAGTATTCAAACGGAGGCAGCTCGTCTATTGTTTCTGTCCCACACACCTGTCTCTGACGTTCCTGCGTCTCCCTGAAGCAGTCAACCAGTCAGGCCTCTCTCCAGCCTTCCGGGATGCTGCAGCGGATGTTTGAAGTCGCATTCCGGACGCCATTCACCTCGTCGTTTGTACCCATCGAATCCCTGGGCAGTTGATACAGCTTTGGTCATTCACCAACATCCTGCCCTTCCCCCACTCCATTTGGAGTGTGAAGGATCTGCATCTCCTCGATTTTCGCCGTCGAACCCTCTCTCTATCCCAGACCTGCCCTCGCTACGAAGCCATATAAAGATTCTTTCACTCTGGTCTCTCCTTTCCCCATCCTTCACTCATTCATCTCTCGCTTACAACTCTCTTGTCTCAAAATCCCATTCTCACACTCCATCAATCTCCTCTTCTATCTTTTCTCTTCCTCCAACCTATCTTTTCTCATTCTGATCCTCCGACCATCATCATGGTGGTAAACTGGAAAAATTCTGAGTCGACTGATCGTCTGGTCGCAGCCCTTATTGCTGCTCATCCCACCCTCAGAGTATACACCTTCTCACTCATCCTTCTCGACTGAGAGCTAACGAGGATCAGTTGGATTACAACGGGATGGCCAACTTCTTTGGTCAGAGTGCTACCTACGACGCGATCGAAGGACGATTCCGAAGATATCGAAAAATGGCCGATGAGCTCAAGCAGGAGGCCCGCGCGCTCGGCATCACCAATGCCCTCCCGGGGCGAGGATCGGGTGGATCGACGCCGCGAACCCCGCGGGCCACTCGAGGCGTCACCAAGAAATCGTCTACTGGCAAGGCCCAAAAAGGCACCCCATCCAACTTGACATCTCCCACCCGACGCGCGATCGCCTCTCGCTCTGGAAATGGGGGAATGAGCACCCTGGACGCCATCTGTTTAGATGACACCTCCGAGGATGACCAGAAGGATACAAAGCTGAAAACAGACACCAGGACTGGACCAGCAAGGCTTGCAGACGCTCCTCTTTGGGGGCAGCATGGCGCTGCTGTGCAGGACCAGGGTGGGCCTGATCTGGAGATCGTCGGGGCGCCCGTCCCTGCCGAGGACATTTTTCCCAAGCTCGAGGAACGAGAAAATTCGATGAGTATCTTCTCATCCTTCCCATCCTTGGAAGGCTTCAAAGGTAAGGAGGCCGATCGTGACTTCCCGAGTGTGGCGCCCTCAATGGGCTTGAGCAGAACTGGCACAACCCTGGAACAGACCAACATGAATGAGGATCCTTTCTACCAATCTGACCCCTACTTCCCCATCAACCATGCCGCCTACCCAATGGATAACACGTACTTTGATGAGGGTGGCATGGCATAGTGGGATCAGTCCAATCAGGCACTGTATATTTTTCGGCCTTGTTTTGCTCCTTCCTGTGTACTTTGCTTTTCTGTCTTCTTGTGTCTTTGGTGATACATAACAAGCGGCGATGCTGGGAAGTGGGACTTGATTTTCCACCTGCAAGCTTATGCATTTTCTTGCAGGGAATGATGCCTGCTTCTTACGATTGGCGGGCAGTTTGGTGATAGGTCACTTGCTCGGGCTCGGCGATATAGATTGATTTTCTGGAATTGATCTGTCTATTGAGGGGTTGGATCTAGACGGAGTGTCAAAATGTAACTAATCAGAAAATTCACTAGGGATTCAGATCTTTTGTTTTTACTCAGTAGGCTTTCATCTTTTTGTTCGTACGGCAGTCCAGAGTCACTGACCCGGCCCTAGCCCTCTGCCCTAAACCCTACTACTCCCCAGGTACTCCGTATATGCAGAGTGCATCCCTTCATCTGGGGTCAACGAACAGTTCATGATGATGACTGTATTACATTGCATTCACAATAACTACGTTGTCTTGCATCTGGGAACAACTGGAATATTACTAGTTTCTTTCCATGCTTTTCCCACTCAAATCTTTGACTTCTCCCGGACTCGCAAACCGAAAATATGCAAGACATGATGACTCAAAGCAAGCAGATCCCCATTTTCCGCCAAAATCTGCACCTGCACATCGTACCGGCCATGACGTACGGTAGTGGAATTCGACTTGACCAGCACCCATTGTGTCGACGGCTGCGGCCGCTTCTTGAACTCCACCGACAGACAGAGCGTGGAGAGACCGTACTGATCGTAGAACTTTGGCTGGTGGGTTGCGGGAGGTTGCAAGGGCTACAATTTTACGTGCGTCAGGTAAACGTCTTCGTGGATCTCAACGGGGGTATACAGAATGTTACCATATCAGACAGCAGCGCGAGATGCAGAACATCCGAGATGGCGGACCCATCTCGAAATGAAACCCACACCTCCCGCTGGTGGCCTCCCAGTCTATGGCCCCATAAACCGTTTGATCCGCGGGGCGCCCGCCAGTTCAGCTTGCTGGTGACGGGAGTCGCATCGACCACCGGGTCGTCGATGACCTCGCAATCTCGGACTCGGTCGGGAATTTGACTCGGGCCAATCGAGGATGAGTCCTGCGTCAGACCCTGCTCCTTGGCCATGGCGGCATACGTCACGATGGCTACCGCCGCGGGCTGCTCTGGAGCGGCCGTCGACGCAGAATCCCGCGCCGGGGGCTGAGATCTCGTTTGCGTGAGTTCCACCCTCACAACGCACTGGCGAGAGGATACGCGCAAGCAGGTGCAACGCAACGAGACCAGGCCCGGGACCACCGTTTTCAAAAACTGCACGAAGACATGGATGGGGTCGGGGTATCGAGCGCCACCGAATTCCTGTGAGATGAACTTCTGCGCAGCGGACAGGATCATGACGTTGAGGAAGCCCCCTAGAACGGAACTGCCCACGGAGCTAGGTCAGGAATGACTGATTCAGCGAAGCCGACGGGAACGTACTGCTGTGTGGTCCATTCAGGTGCGATGTTGACGGCGAAGCGATGGCGGGCGCCATGCTCTGGGGCTACGGCGGACGCTGCGTCCAAAAGTGGAGACGGTTTCCCAAGTGACAGCATGGGTCTTGGATGATCGATTCTTCGGCGGGGAAGGGCTCGTGAGAATGAGTATATTAGGACAGTCTCCGGATCAATTGGATCCTCTAGATGGGCGTGCGATGCTCAAACGGTGCAGGATGTAGGAAGCAGCGGGCATTTTCCTGATTGTCGCCGATGACAGCCGACTCCAAATGAGACACAGCAGGCATGTGTTAAATCATGTCTGAAATGAAGGATCAGTCATCAATGCCCCTTGTTGGGCTCACCAATTGAAGGGAAGAGACAGCTCTGGAATGCGAGCTCGATCCTCGGAACTGCCAGGCGGCCAGCCGAGCGATGTAGAATCGATGATGCAATCGAGTATCTGGACTGAAAGAGAGCGCCGTGGCTTTCGACCAGACCTGCGATGTGCCGCTCGTATGAAAGTACGAAATTTCGAGGAGATGGATGAATAGGGGGACGTTGTACAGAGACCGTCGCCGCCGTGGGAGGTACAGCGCGAGGATCCCCGATCGGGTAATATTGGGCGATCGGCAGTAGAAACGAAATGACAGAATGAAATGAAAATGAAAATGGTGTCGCTCAGTGTGGAAGATCTCTGGCCGGCAAACACCGATGGATGCCTGAGCCCCCCTTCCACAACATGCCATTTCAACCTCATCCGAATTTTTACATTTGTTGGTAATTTGCCTCCCATCGCCCCCCGGTGCTGGCCTGACTGCCCAAATCACGTGCCCCGCCGCGGAGTCGCGGATTTCTTTTTTCGTTCCCTTTTCATTTTCTCACTTTCTCCCCGTCCGTCAGCCTTTCCTTTCGTCTTTTCTTCTCCTCCACCTCCTCTCTCTCTCTCTCTCCCCTCCCCTTCCCCACCTCTCCTATCTCCTCCTCTGGGGTCCAATTCCTCCCATGGACACCCCCCTCTTCCGATCTCTTTTCCTTTGATCCATTCCGGCATACCCAGTCCTCGCCAACAATGGAGGCAATGGAGGCCCATCTCTCCTTATGCCGCCCTCCGACGTGGCCCACCAGCCACCCCGGCTTTGACCCCAATCTCACACCGCAATCCCACGGCCCCTCCCCCTCAGCCTCGAACCCTGTTCCCGACGTTCTGAAAGTGGTTCAAGGTCATTCTTCCGGCCGCGGTCTTCAACTCGACATGGAGCAACAACTCCGACTGGTTGAGATCTGTCGATATGCCATGAGCCACTGCGATCCGAAAGCCTACCCAAAAAGTTTCTGGCTCCGCATATCCGCCACGTTCGAAAAAGTTACCGGTCGCAGCTACTCCTGGCAGTCGTGCCGTCGACGCATGATCGCCCTGGTCACCAAACGACTCGAGTTCTGGGGCGCTTTCGAGGAATGTGTCCGCCAGAAGGAATATCCCGACTGCGACATGGTGGACGATGTGGCCGATGAGGTGGATACGTGGCTGGAGTGCGAGGGACGAGTCCCGCAGAAATGCTTGGACAAAAAGGACGAGGCGTGGAGGGCTCATGAGGAGTCATTGCGGCAGCCTCGCGTCGCCGCCCCCCCGCCAGACAAGGCGAGCCCTCAACTGACCCGCACCCCGGAAGTCCCGCATGGCGCGAAAATCCAGCGGGTCGTCAATTGGGTCATGGGTCTGCCGTCCTTGGACGAAATGGATCTCCTCCCACTGCACTGGGGTGAATCTCGAATGGAGTTCTCTCTTCGGAGTCGAATCAATGCAGACGACGAACGCTTGTTGGCCCAGTCCCAGTCCCAGTCTCAATCTCGATCGCCCGGTCAGGATGCCACCATCTCCTACCACCCACGCTCTCGCTCTCCGCAGGCCGAACGACCGACTCGAGCCATCAACCCCGTGCTGGCTCTGGATAGAATCGGACAGAAGTTCCACGCCGCCGCAATGAATCTACACCCGCCTCTCCAAAAGCGCATCAATCCGACCGGGGCAGATGAATCCTCCACCACGCAGAGTCCCCTCCCCGTGGCCCCCGTTGCTCCTCAGATTACCCAACCGACCAACAAGCGACCGCGAGACGATGACCACGAGGCGAACGATCGACCGGTCCGTCGCCTTCGTCAAACACCTCGCAGCCATCCGTCGGAGACGCCGGCATCTGACCAACCGGGTCTGCCGCAAAATCACCTTAACAACGTCGACAACTCGGTGGATGTTGTTTTCGGTAATTTCTGGGGCGGGCTGGCTCCGCTCTTTGGGGATCGTGATCTCAAGCAGCAAGCATCGGCTACGAAATCAGAGTCCGTCATGCGTGATATGCTTCGAGACATTGCCACCGCAATCACCAAGGCCGTCTTGAAAATGAGAGAGGCCGACGACAACGAAGCTTGAAGTCTCAACTCGCTTTCTTTTTTAACGTTCTCATATCCAGCTTTCATTTCCCTGTTCAATTTTCCTTCTGTTACTACCCCCCTCAACGTTTGATTCTCATCTCTCATGTCTTTCAGCCATATTCTTTTCTTCTGCTTTTTCTCCATGTGCATGAGATTGCCTCGAGATACCCCTTCATTCAGATCCGATGTGTTGCATTTTCGTTGCGTTTGTTCAGATAATGTTTTCGGCTTTCGATGTTTGTGTGAATTTGTCTTGTTTTCGAGTTGTCTGTTGCCTGTATAGAATGACCCATTTCGGCAAGTGTTTTGACTTGATTAATTTCATAAACAAATGCGTTTCGATTATTCGTGTGTAGATATTATCAATCTCCATCATGTACGTACATACCAATTCCAAATCGGACGTAAAATCACCCCTCTCTCCCCCCCCCCCTCCCCCCTCTTAAAAGATCCAATTCCTCCATGAATCGTCAATTATACCCCCGGCATCACCACTCACCCATCATCGGTTCACATATAGATATGAATATATATATACCCAATCTCGCTTACCTACTGCCCCTTCTCAACAGTCTCGATAGTCTGAAGCTCCGTCTTCAATCCCACATCCTTAGCACGCAGGTTCTTCTCACGAGCCTCCTCGATCAAGCCGTCCAGTTTGGACTCTCCGGGCTTAGTATGCCACGGCTTCGGACCGCCCTTGCTGAACATTTCTTCCACTTCTTCGAGGGTCTTGTTGCAGGTTTCCGGGTATCTGTTCGTGGATAATTGGAATTAGCCATGTTTTCGCTTTGGCATTTAGGAAGAAACAGGATTTGGGATTTAACGTTCTGGAATGGAAAAGACATTGAGACAGATAGATAGGGTTGGTGAGAGGGGAACACGTACGTGAAGTAGACTTGCAAGGCGGCTCCGACACATAGCACACCGAAGACGATGAACAGTTTCCACTTGATGGACGCAAAGCCGGGGGGCACGAAGAGACCGAGAGCAAAGTTGAAGAGCCAGTTTCCGGTGGCGGCGATGGACTTTCCGAGTTGGTTAGTATGGCACATATACCCGATATATCTCCATGTTTTTCGATCGAATCACTCAGGGAAGGGAGAGATGGGACATACCATGCCTGAGGCTCGCGTTTCGAGCGACCACACCTCTGCAGCGTAAACCCAAGCAACCGGAGCAAGGGTGAGGGCGTACACGATGATCAGGAGATAAGAGAAGGCGATCACGGTGTGGGCCTTAGAGCCGCGCACCCGAATGAGCACATTCAGGTTACCGTCCACGCCGCCGGGCACGTTTTCGCCAGAGGAGAGGACGCCGCCCACGACGAAGTGGCAGACGGCCATGCCTATGGCACCGTACATGAGGAGATTCCGACGGCTGGTCTTGTCAATGTAGAAGAAGATGATGGAGGTGAAGATGATGAACAGGGCGTATTGGATTCCGGACGAGATGAGGAGGATATTTCCTGTGAGGCTTTAAAAGCGTGTTAGTGTCTCTAAATAGCCACACTGAATGGGCTGGGGCTAGCTTACTTGGCCATTTGGAAGACATAAACCACATAGTAGGTCATCACGTTCGCACCGCTGAGCTGCTGCCATGCCTGAACAGTGAACCCAGCCATGGTGCGACGCCACATGCCGTTGTAGAAGAATTTGCGCCAGCCTGGGGCCGCCGAGCGCTCTGCCGCCAGGACCGTGGTGATTTCCTCCCACTCGGCCACGACAAGAGGGTCGTTGACATCGCCCTTGGCTTGGATCCGGGCCAGGGTTGTGATCGCCTCCTCGGTGCGGTCCACCTTGGCGAGCCAACGAGGGGATCGAGGCAGAAATGGCAGACCTATCATTAGGATAACACACGGCACGAACTGCAGGCCCCATGCAAGACGGAAAGCAGCCGGGCCTTCAATGAACGAGCATCCGTAGCCGACGAAGAACATGATGAAAATACCCCACTCGATGGCCAGCTGCTGAATGACGATAATCGAGCCGCGCTTCTCCTTCTTGCTAATCTCGGCCAGGTAAACAGGAACCTGGGAAGACGTGATACCAACGCAAACGCCGTTGAGGACACGGCCAGCCATCAATGTGCCGAATCCTGAAACACCAGCCTGAATAGCAGTTCCGATCAGCCACCAAAAACAGGCGAACATGATTGAGTCTCTGCGGCCGATCTTATCGGAGATTGGACCGGCCATAAGAGAGCCAACCACTGATCCTGCAGCAAGCGCGGAGTTGATGGCGCCCTGGATAACACCGTGGGGATTGCCAAAGAAGTCGATGTACTGTTGGGTTCCGATAATGGCGGACATGGACGAAATGTCGAAACCGAATAGCATGCCTCCTACCGTCGCAATAATTGCGACAAAGTAGACATTGTAAACCTTGGGGAAAGTGGGAAGGTTCATGGCTGCGCTGAGTAGATTGCTCCTTTCCTAGCCTAACAAAACCAATGTATAGCCTCCTAGCAAGGGAGGTTGTGGGTTACTTAGAGCCGCGTGAAACGGAACAAAAGGCGCAAGAGAATAAGAAAAAAGAAAGATGACATGCCCTCCGGGGTTTGAGAGCCAATCTTATACCCCCCATACCCCGCTGGGACTTGCGGAGATATCTGTGGAGCAGAGTAGCAGCCCAACTGGATCGTGAAAAATTGATAGTTTTAGTCGTATTTAGCCTGGAGACCATATGACACCGATAATTTAAAACAATAATCATTGAAAAGTCAGCCAACCATGCTAAGCTCGTTAAGAAGGAGAACGCTAGCTCCCCTTGTTGAGCAGAGCCATTGGTAGATGAAGAGAGCTTCGACATACGAAGTTGGATTTCGTGTCAGACTGTACACACAAGTGCACAACCTGGGATTTTCCCACCGGCTTTTCTCCATCTTGGGGCAAGTCTCCCCAAAGCCAAAGGGGCTTCCCGCCTTGGGTTTCATTCGCGATGGCGATAGGTGCGACCAGCCCAGCTCGAGCGTGTTGAGGTAATAAATAAGCGTACAACGGGCCCCTAGCGCCATGCACGACCGTAAGGCCTTTCCACGATTCGCACCCCGCCTTTTAGGGGGTTGCCAAATCGACTGGTATAACCAATGGGGTGGCGTTGGGTGGCTTTATTTTCTGGGGCTCGGATAGGCCCCAGACGAGGGAGGCGCTGGCATGGTCTTGAATGAAACCGCTCTAGCTCGCTGGCCGAGACGTTCGTTGGTGGAAATTGTCTGTCAGGCCAGAGGACCCAAGCGCCTTCGTTCGAGAGGATTTGAAAATCATGGTGGTATCTGAAGTGCCCGAATCGATCATATTTGCACGGCGTTTGATCGCGCGAGGCCTGATCGAATCATTTCTTTGTTGGAATCTGCAAGCAAATCGTGGTCAGTTGAGATATGGTCTTCGGAGCCTTGAAAGGAGTCATTTCTAACCATCTTTATGATCAGGTATCATCTTAATATATCCCCATCCGGTGATCTCTCCGTCTTCAACTTTCGTGATGACGATTAGGCAAGAAGTTGATGCGGTGCCGGGCTCATACCCTGTTGGAATACGAGGTATTGGAAGTAGTAAAAATGATCCGAATATTCATTCTTGAATTCATGAAGGTCTTGGGTCGCTGACGACTCGGGCTTCGTGTGATGGCTCGGACTTTGGCCTCTACCCACAGAGGAGAGTCTTGTCGTCTAGAAGATGAACAGACCGGCAAGTTCCACTGGGAGATCGTTACCGCTCTTTCTCTTGAAACTTACTTCAGATTGTTTCTGTATTGGGTTGAAGATGGGATCATTTCTTCTTAACGGAGCATCCCATTATTCGCACACTCGACTAACGGAGATTTTCAGTTTTCCAGAACAGCTTCGATATGCTGTGAATCATTCTCTTTCATTCTCTCTCTATCTCTCTACCTTTCAACTCTCAACTCCTTGTTTCTCTACCATTCTATGACTACGCGTCACTGTTCTAGGTCAAGATGTTTCGTCACTGGACCTCTATTTTCAGCCTGATCCTGCTGTTTTCCATTTTCGCCTTTGTGGACGCCGGTCATCCTCTCTGGGAGTTCTCGACCAAGATTAAGCGTGCCATTCCGATTGATCTCAACTGGCCGAGCATCACAACCTGGCCTGGTGGTACTGTTACATTCTGCTGGGAAGATGAAGCTACGCGGCAGCAACTAGGCTATAGATTGCGCCACGCCATGAATTTGTGGTATATGGCTGGGCTGCCCGGGAATTTCAGATTCCAAGAGGTCGCTCACGAGGACTGTATGAGAGACCGCCGCAATTCACTAGTCATTCATAAAGCCCCTGGATCTATCGAGTACATAACAACTGTCGGCAAGTATGTTGGTCCTGTTGATGCGATCAATCCAGGACCTTACGTCTATTTCAATGACGAAGATGAGCCCAGTAGTAATAATGCTGCAAGAAATACTATTGCGGAAAAGATTGCCCATGAAATCGGACATATCTTTGGCTTGTACCATGAACATCAAAATCCCTATTTTTGGCGAGTCCGTTCTCTATTTACGCTAGGTTGCGAAAATATCGAAGGATATGACTGGACAACCGCGCATTTAACCCAGGAGGAAATCTGGGGTGAGAATGGGGTCTGTGTTAACTACAACGCGGCCCTAGAACACGACTGGGCGACCGCTGCCCATTTCCTTCCCCGCCCAGAGCTTGCCTATATCCCTCATCCTGATCGTGAGTCAGTAAACGAAGATGTGGACTGGGATTCAATTATGCTCTACCACAGCAATGTAGCCTCTAAACGGGGCGCTCCACGGGGTTATTATCCCACTCTGAAAAGATCAAGAAATGGTATTGGCTACAAAATCAGACTCAAGCGCGCTCCTAGTCAAAAAGATGTTCAAGGGTTAATTCGTCTCTACGACGCCTCGGAGCAACGACCGCTTCCACGCCTCTATCACGACCCACGCAGCGAATATCACACCGCATTTCAGAATCTGCAGAATTTTCAAGCATGCGATTGGCCTCCGCAGGCTGGGCCTGCGGGTGGGTGAGGTTGCAGTTGTGCTGCCTTTGCTTCCTCCTTTACGGAGTGGTTGCCATGTTGTTCAAATAGGCAGGTCGTGGAAATAGTTGCGCGTTCCTCCGGAAGGTCCGCAAAATTAGCAATCGAAGTATCTTTCTTATTGAGAAGCCGTTCCGAGCCCTTCGCCTCTGTGGCCTAATGTAGACTAATGTCTCCCACAGAGGCCTCCTAGATAGGGGTCCTCGATCCTATGAGTCAAGCTGATGTCCCCATTCTGTCCTACTCCGGTGGGAAGAGTACTCTGCCGGGAGCAAACGCTGGCCCCCAGCTCCTTGATGATAGGTTCGGACCCCAGAAAAGGCATATTGCACGTTTTCGGCATCTGGATGGCAGGTCTAGGTACTGATCAGCGATTGTAGAAAGAGAGGTGTCAGTCTAGACGTTGACGTTGTGGAGTTGAAAGGGAAAAGGTGGAGATCAGGTGGGTTTGGGCACGTGGGGTCCCTGATCCATCGGTGCCTGAGGCGACATCGGGATTTCGAGATCTCCGGATGGACACGCACCCGTTACTTCGGCCATGAGTGTGTTGCTTCGAAGACCAATTATTGGCCTCATTACATATAGTCATACGGTACACAGAGTATATAATATATCAGGGCCAAACCGCATCGTGCATATGATGGGGAAAAAAAAAGGGGTATTGAACAGTAAGGTATGCGAATCCTGCCCGGTCCAAAGACCAGCGCTATCTAATGACACAGAGTAATCCATTTGTCGACGATCTCCTCCATGTCATGGGCAATCCCCCATTGTGATATAAGGCAGCGGAACAGCTTTTGCATGGAATTCATTTCGTAAAGTAGATTCCGGCTGGCACGCATACCCGGTGGAGATTCGGTTCTCCCTTCCTCGATAAAACGCCGCGTCTCGGATACTCCCGACGATCCTGCACTTTCACATCCGAGGTTCAGGTCAGATTGGGAAAGCAGGGTATCTTTCCAAGCGATTGTGCGCGGCAGCTTTACATTGGTCACGCCGGCTAGGGAGAAGACGACGTAAACAGTTGCCGCCGCAAAAAGCGAGCTGGGCATATGGATAACGTGAGCTCGGCCTCTAGGTAGCTGTTCGATGATGTCCTGGATCGCAATAGCATGCAGCAAGGCCCGCCGAGCGTCTTCCGTGTTGACCCACCTAGCCATATCAAATCCAGCCTTCATGGTACGAGAGCCACCGGACACATGCTGGGCGACGTCGAAGCGGGAGCAAACATGTCTACAAAGCACGGTCGAGTTGATCATCGTGTCCAAGCAAATTGTGTGCCAGCGTAAGAGTACCTCAAGCCTTTCTGGGGCTGCGAGATGGATGCTCATAGAAATCGTCTCATGGACCTGGGCCAATGCCCTTTTGACGTCAGAGCGGCTGGGGACACCAACGGCGACCAATTCACTGTCATCGGAGTCTGAAACCAACGACTGCAGCCCTTCGAGGACAACGCGCAATGCGAAGGCTGATAACTGATAGTCAAGGGGGCGGATACTGCCGACGGGAGGGAAAAGAGAGCGGAATATCAATCTGAATGAAGGCTGATCTGTCGTTTGAGAACGCATGTGTACTAGCCACTCATCGGGGCTCCCAGCATCGAATGCAGTCTCATTGCTGGGCAAGATGAGCGGGTTGGCAACATGTCGCGTGGATGCACCGTCGCCAGACATCTGTGCAACGAGACCATCCAGTACGTGGTATGCAAGCAATGCACGTTGCTGGATCTCTCTTGCGGCCCATTGCCGCCATTTTTGATCTTTCTCGGTGCTCGAAGCCGTTGGGAAGGGAAAATTCTCTAATGAGAAAGGTGCGCAGTCTAACATGCCACAATGCCTTGCCCAGAAGAATCCGAGGGGGCGGAAAACCTGACTCGTCGTGCGGACGACCCTGTTCTAAGTTGAAGGCATTTTAGCACAGGTTTTAGACCGCAGGGTCAGATATTGCTCACTTACTTTAGACAATGCACCGTATATCTGACCCAGAAGGGCAGTGACGAGAAGCTGAACGCCTTTGCAGGCGTCATAAGGGCCCCGATGTGTGATAAGAGATTGCCACTGCGGATGTTAACGTGATGGAAAGACACGGCTTAGAGACGAAGCTTACCGAGGTAGCCACAGCGGTGTGGGCCAGCCGCCACAATGCCTCCCCCTATTCGAATATCATGAGCAATTATTTATTTGATTTGATAATGACACAACTTACCTTGGCCACAGAGTCCTTGGGCCCTAGGTACAGGGAGCCAAGAGCCATGGCGTTCAACAGAAGAGGATGCGTACATTCCCGGAATACGAAAGTTGCCCGATGCAAGATAGGAAAGGTCGGGATGAACCTGACGAAAAACATATGCAGGCACTCATCAAGGAATACCGAGTTAATAGATGTTGCCTTAATCGCAGCTGTCACGCTAGAAGACTATTGACGGTAGCAATTAATCTCTGCTCACACTCGCGAGGAATTCTGGATTACCGTACCGAGCTCGTCACCATTTCAGTGACATCCCGTACAGCCTCCCGGCTACCCCCAAAGGGGATTGCACCTATAGATGAGCTACGATCGTCAAACGAATTTGGGGATCCAAAAGACATCGTATTGGCATCCTGCACCACGGGCGGAAATGGTAGAGCACCCAAGGGCATCTGCCATTGATCCGTGGTGTCCGATGACATGATGCTTTGGAAAAGGCCCTCGGAATCGGGCCATATCAATGAGAAATCTAGATCCGACGCCGCCTGGTGTAACCCGAAATCTTGATCGGATTGTGATGCCTCCCATGACTGGGTTTGCGTAGGGGTTGGAATTGTGGGATTTGCAGGGACCTTGATAGTATCCCAACATGGCAAGGGGTTTAGGGAATTGGGCTGGGCGACTGCATGGCCCGGTTGATGTTCTCGAGCATGTTTGGAGTTTGCAGCCCGAACATGCAGTTTCTCATGTCGAGTAAGGGCATCTTGACGGGCAAATGGCCTATTGCATTCCTTACAGATAAACGGTTTTGAGCCAGTATCTTGATTGTCACATCATCAGCGTTCAGGTCGGCCCCTGAGCTTAATGGCTTGGCTGCGCATGGGGGAATCCAGATCAGAGGGCGTTCTTACGGCAGCGTTCGTGTCTCTAAATGCCGGTGATTAGCAAGGTCTCCACCAAGGCAAGCAGGGACGGGAGTTGTAATTACTCTTAGATGCTCCGCTTTGGAGAAGGCCTTCTGGCAGACTCTACACACCAGCGTCTTGACCCCGGGGGATGTGGTGGTTTGTGGCATGACAATAACCAACACCAATCTATAGGGACTAATTGAGGATGGTGGTGGTGGTGGTGATTGATTAGCACGAGTGCCCAAACACCGCAAGTATTAGCGGGTGTCGCAAACAGGCAGCGCGGTGCATCGTGAGCCCGGGGCAAGACGAGGCGATACTTGTTCGGTGGATTGTGGAGAGCCCGCAGTTTGTGGGGCGCGTGGCAACCGGCGCCTTGGCACGTGAGGCCCGGCTGTCGCGAACGGGATCTTTGACGGCCTTCATCTTCCATTCTACTCCGTACATTTTACATCATTGCTCTGGTTTGAGTTTAGGCTGACGAGCGCTGCCGTTGCCCCAATTTCCGAAAGACTGTGGCACCTCATATTGTTTCATTCCAAAATCCAGTACCTCAAACACTAACAAAGCGACGACTTTAACCCGAGCTACCGAGTCAGATCTCGGATATCCCGATGAATTCGGGAAGCCTGCCTCAAGTAACCCTCGAAATTGTGGCCAAGAGATTAGTGGAAATGTTGTACGAGGGATCCGATTCCCATAGACAAGCCTCAGCTCCAAAAATCTTATCCACCCTCTTGGGTTCTTAGCGAGAGGATTGGAAATCGGAACCGGACTTCGGGCTCGTCGGCAATCCTTCTCCCGACGAGGTTGACTTTGTGGTTCTGATCGCTGGTCCGTCCAATCGACTAAGGCCGGACTATTCAAGCATGACAGACTCGGGGAACCTCCTGACCATTGTCGGATTTGTGACTCGATGAGGTGGTGGAGAGCCCTCCGCAAGTTCTCCACGACAATTCCTCCCCCAACGTTGACCGGGGAGTCGCCATTGTCTGGGTCTCTGGGCATACCCCGGGATGAGTGCTACTCCCGCGTACATGATAGGCTGAAAACCCTGCCTGGTCCAAATCCGCGTGGGCCCGGTCAGTCTTTTATTCTTCGGCTAGAAAGGCCTGACTGCATGGAGGCGCAATAGTGCATCCTCTCTAGGGACTGTACGTGGTCCTTTTCCTCCTGCTTATCCCCCGGACCTTTCCAGTCTTCTTCCAGATAGTCGTACTCAGAAGCACTATCTCTCCGCCGGTCGTCACGCTATTGATCGAAGAATTCGCTTTTCACATCGAGCCTCCGACGAGGAATTCGCAAACACAATGACTGCATCTATGGAGATGCAAAGGCATGTCCATGCCGACGATAACGAGGGCACCTCTCAGCCAGGGAAAGCCGACGTTGACCTTGTAGAAAGCACGGAGGCTGGGATTCCTACCACATATGCTGATATTGTGGCCTCGCGTCTTTCGAAACCACACCGAGATTATTTGATGGAACGCCATGGCACGCTCGAGCTGGACCCTATCCCCAGTCTGGATCCTGCTGATCCCTATAACTGGCCGGGATGGAAGGTTGGTGTCTTATAATGATGCAAGATAACGACTTGTCGACTCGGGCTGATTGATATGATTTTCGCTTCTAGAAATTGGCAAACCTGCTTTTGGTAGCATTCCACGCATGTATGGGAACTTTTGCTGCGGCGGGTATTATTCCAGCTTATGCAACGTATGGCGCTTCCTACAGACAACTCACTTGATCTGGCATCGGCTAATCGAATGCTCAACAGAATTTCAGAAGAATATGGTGTTTCGATCCAGAGAGCCAGTTATCTGACCTCGCTCCAAATCGCCATCCTAGGCGGAGCACCTTTGTTCTGGAAGCCTTTATCCAACCGCTACGGTCGTCGACCTGTCTTCCTTACTTCCCTGGTATGCAGTCTCGTTTGTAATGTAGGATGCGCCAAGAGCACCGATTATGCATCAACCGCTGCCTGCAGAGCTCTGCAGGCATTCTTCATCTCGCCAGCATCCGGTAAGGCACAGAGTTATCCATATTTTGCGGACGGGCTTTCAGCTGACAAGTGAACCAAGCTATCGGAAGTGCGGTGGTGATGGAGACGTATTTTAAGAAAGATCGCGCTCAGTACATGGGCGTGTGGACACTGTTGGTCACTTTGGGAATTCCGTGCGGCCCCTTCATCTTTGGTTTCGTTGCCTACCGAGCAGGCTATGAGTGGATTTATTGGGTGCTTGCAATCGTTAGTAAACTCCTTTCTTGTACCCCTTTTGCTGCATCAGTCGCCCATAGCTGACTTGCGTTGTGCCTCCCTAGGTAAACGGAGTTCAATTCATCTTGTATCTCTTCCTGGGCCCAGAAACTCGCTACATCGACAGTAACGTCGATCCGAAACAACCATCATGGATGAGGGAATATGTGCTTTTGAGACGCATTGACCCGACGCCATTTTCATGGTTCGAGTTCGTCAAGCCGCTGACCATGTTTATGTATCCCTCTGTAATTATCCCAGCGGCAGCGTACGCGATGGTCTTCTGTCTGAGTAACGTGTTGGCGACCGTGGAGGTGCCCGAGTTGTTTCAGGAAAAGTTCGGGCTGAACACAGAGCAACTGGGCCTCCAGTTTCTCGGTCCAATTATCGGATCCCTCATTGGCGAGCAGGTCGGAGGCAGGCTATCCGATGTCTGGATGAACCGGCGTGCGAAGAAGACCCAAAACAAGCCCGAACCCGAACACCGTCTCTGGCTCAGCTATATCGGGTTTGCCCTGTCCATCGTCGGCATAATTGTCTTCCTTGTATGCACGCAGCAGGCTAAACAGGGACACTGGACCGTGGCCCCTGTCGTTGGAATTGCCCTGGGAGCCGGAGGTAACCAGATTATTACCACCGTCCTCATAACGTACGCCGTCGATTGCTATCCTCAAGAGGCTGCCAGCGTCGGGGTGTTTATCACATTCGTCCGTCAAATCTGGGGTTTCCTGGGTCCTTTCTGGTGAGTTGATCCCCCATCACATCCAAGTCGGTATGTATCTCCATCGCTAACGGTCATGTCAGGTTCCCACCCATGTTCGAATCTGTCGGCATCGCTGCGAGCTCGGGTGTTGGTTGCGCTCTCATCGTGGGTGTCAGTGTAATTCCAACGATCATCCTCCACTGGAGGGGGCGAGCATGGCGTCCGGCCACCGAGTAAAGCTTGGATGGGTTGTTTCGCGAATGTAAGATTGGACGGCTCGGAGGTGGGGATGGACTTTCGACACGGAGAGGATATAGAACTAGACTTGATTAGAATGAGCACACAGAATTAGACAAGTTCAGTATATAAGCGAGCGAACTAGTAGCATAGAAAGATCACAATATATACAAGAGGAAAAACAAATTCTTCAACCCAAAAACGTTCCCATCACTTTAAGTACTTCCAGCTAAAAGAGCATTCTCGACCCATAGTCCACAAAAATTTTTCTCAAGCCCCCGAGTTTACCCATCCAATATCAAAGCTTCGGGAAAGCGAACAGTCAGACCACTTTTAGTGCCCAGACGGCTTGCCCGATCGGCCGCCCCGAACAAGAACTGGCCCGGTCCTTCGGGATGTTGGTGAATAAAGTCGGCATTCAGCGTCCCTGGATGTTTGTTTCTTGGCTACACGGATAATACTTTGTTCATTTCAAATAAGACGTCTACACTGCATAGAAAAGGGTGTGATGTGCTCATCACCCATAGTTGAAGCGTACAGGCATCTTCTGCAGCTATAGTGGACTTAGCTGTCAGCCGCACTGTACTGCAGGATGCGGACAAGGCCTCCGCCGCCCGGGATAAACTTATATCCACTCCACCCATGGGCCATGACTAACGGAACTATACATTTGCTCAAGATATACAAGCTCACTTGGTGAATTCTCGGAATGGAATCTTTTTTGGTCCCTTGTTATTCTTTCGTATTTCTGAGCTCGGCTTATGTTCTTCCACCCTGTAAATGTGATCCTTCTGGCGAGTGTGGGGACTTTTGAATGCGCGTCGTGGGGATTTGTGGAGAGGTAGGTATGGGATGGCGGCCTGAGGAATACACATCACACTGCTCACAACGCATCTGCTAAGGTCTTCTTCATGAAACAGAATTAGAATCTCTACGCAAATGAATCATAGAAAGTATTCTCATGACAGCAATTTGAGTCCTAGATATTGGTCATGTATTCTATCTCTCATGGAACATACATTTCATCCAGCCTATATCAACCATATTCTAGTCCCGTTACTTCATAATTGATTTTCAGTCTTGTTAATAAGCGTTCCAACGTGCGGAAGCAACTCGACGGCAAATTCATCGCCCGCCTTCAAGAACTCCTTGGGGTTCTTCGCCGCTCCGACGCCAGGAGGAGTACCAGTCAAGATGATCGTTCCCGCAGACAAGGTCGTTCCTTGGGACAAGAAACTGACCAGCTTGGGGACGCTAAAGATCAAGTCCCTGTTTCGTCGAATTAGCTTCAATGTCGCTGGCTTAGTCTTGGCAGGGCTTAATTCCTTACGTTAGAGGACAATCCTGCATAACCTTGCCGTTTTTCAGCCCGCGAATCTGGAACTGGCTGACGTCGGGAAAGTGCGCGGCGGATACAAGAGCAGGGCCTAACGGGAATGAGACTATCAGCTTGTGACCTATGCGACGCATGAATGGATAGAGGAATATGTCGGCATACCAATTGGGCAGGCAGTGTCAAATCCCTTGGAGAAGCACCACTGGCTCTGATTCATCTGCGAGGTGCGACTAGAGACATCGTTGGCTGCCGTGTAGCCAAGGACATAGTCCAATGCCTCCTCCTCGCTAACATCCTTCGCGTCGCGACCAATTACGATGACCATCTCTGACTCATAGTCGCCCGTGCTATCGACTTGTGTGATCTTGGGGAGAACAGTGGGAGCAGGCCAGGGATCGGCGAGGGAGGTAGACGGTTTGATGAACAACGTTGGAAGGTCGGGAATGGCCATCTTCATCTCAGCGGCATGCGACGCGTACTATGCTCAGCGTTCAGCGGCGGGTCTCTCTCTAAGGATGCGCGCGCCAGTGCGCCTCGGCTGCGATTCATACGTACGTTCAGTCCAATGCATCGAATCGAGCCAACTTCATTTTGCGACAAGGGAGACAGGATTCGCCCGATCGTTTCTGTCGACTCGACTTTCTGGCCCGGGCTGAGCACCGATGTCCCAGAGAATGGTCGCACGGAGACATCCTGCCCTTGATACAGAGCCAACCCCACGTCGATTTTCGGGTCGACTGGCTCTCCGATCAAGATCTTCGAGGGGTTAGACTTGGGATTGAAGCGCACAAGGCCTGCTATAGGTCAGATGACTTCACATTGCTGCGAACGATGCGCAGAGCAACAGATATTGATAAGTAGCACGTACGCGAGAAAGTGGAGGCGATTTTAGACATTTGTGCTGTTGCTTGTAGACAAAATGGCGGGGTAATGGCGACAGGGAGATTGAAATCGAGATGATAACCATCAATGGTAATTGTTGAAATGTCCCAAACCTCACGGAATATCCGACCACGACGGACGTTGTAGCGGGGGAGGAAGTGGGTGCGTCGGAGGAAGTTCGGCACGCTTCCCCACGTTGCGATCGTGGGGATGTCGGTCCGATCATACGGCGTATCCATTAAAGCGAGAAGGCCCGTGAACTTTATTAATCGTATCTCAAGGTTTCCTTCAATCCTCTTCCAAAGTTATCAGTCACCATGTCATCTCCTCAAGGTCCCTACCGTCTTGTGACCGTCAACACCGCGCCCGAAAGGGCCAAACGACTCATCGGACGGGTAGTTGAAGCTCTGAAAGATCAGTACACCATCATCCATGTGGACAACTGCGAGAGTATGACATTCCTATGCGATGTCTATTGAGTGGCTTGGATATTGATGGTGATATAGAAATCGAAGAAGTTGCTCCCAAGGTGAAAGAGCACATGCCTGACGTCCTGGTAAGTCCACACTATTGGCGATTCGCAATCATTCTCGAAACCTGGGAGGGTCGAGCATTACCGGTACGTTGCGACTAACAGTCCCTTAGTTCAGCGCTTCCATGTGGACCGACGAGCAGGCTCGCGAGATCCATTCCATTGCCCGGGAAATCAGGCCGGACATCAAGCTTCATGCTATTCCGGAAGGACTGCAGGTAGAACGGGGTCCCGACGCGGTGGTGGAATACCTCTGTGAAAAAGTGCCAATCCTTTTGGGTTAGAAAATGAGCCGTGATACTCTGTAACTGGTTCTTGTAAATAATTCGATGCCGATGTTATGAAATAGATTCAGCTGACAACCGACTGGAAGTATATTTTATGACGTAGTTCCTGTCCATGGATGGCCCAAGTGAGCCACGAGAAGAATCACGGAGCCAACGCACATGTACAGCTCGAGATACCGATCAAATGACCTTTCTAGATTCTTCTTCATTCATTATTTAGCTCTGGAGCAAGAAATCCCAAGTAAGGGGAAAAAGAAAGGAAAACGAACGGACCAACCCAGAGCTGCTTAGTCAGCGAGTATAACGTAACTAATCGGTAAGCGAGTCGGCCACCTTGGCCGGTTTGGCGGGCCAGCGTATATGCTTATATGATTCTTACACCAAAAATGAAGCTTTTCATATCTAAATTAAACTGTTTAGAAGCCCGGAGTTAGATGGTTTGATTCGGGCATCTTGTACGTATATGTCCAACAACATGACACCGACTACACCGCGGCGGCGCCCGCCGACGTGGCTGACTATCCAGAGGTCCTGTATCACCAGCTGCTTCCTCCGCAGCCTGCGCGTTGGCGAAGGCCTCACGGGCTTCCTGAATTGTGAAGCCATCCAGACCATGCATCTGGTGTTGATTGCGCTGCTGCTTTCTTTTTTGTCGTTCAACAGTCTCACGAAGTTGAAGGTTTTCATGCTCTATTGGCCGGCTCTCCTCTCTGCAGAAGATGAGGTTATCCAGAACCTTTGTCGGGTCAAAAGGAACAATTCCGGAGGCTTTGAAAGCACTCTGGATATTGGCCTTCTTAAAGGCTTGGACGTGGGCTTCTGGATATATATCAAGAAAGTCAACTTTATCGATATGATGATATCCTGCTCGTACAAGCCTTTCAATAAGATTGCTGTAGGCGCTTTTCAATGGTGAAAAGCAGGCTATATCCAACGGTTGACAGCGAGGAGAGGAATTGGCGGGCATGCAGATCGGTATAATATCATATTGACGACATATATCATCAAAATGAGGTGTTAAATGGGAGTCATGTCCGTCAAGGACTAAGAGGCTATATTGGCCTGTTCTCCGGTCCTTAATATAAGGAATAAAGTGTTCCTTGAGCCAGTGTTCACCGATTTCCCGGTTAGTCCATCCATTTGACGATATATTGATACGCCATGAAGAAGGTGTATTGCCTTCAAACCAGGCTTGTGTATAAGTCTTTGCCTTCACTACCAAGTATGCCGGTAACACCCATCCGGCGGCATTAATACACTCAATTGAAGTTATCCATTCCCGATTTCCAGGCTGTATAAGAAAGGGCCTTCCCTCACAGGACGAACGTGTCACCACCTTAGCAGTGGCTGCCAGGCCCATGGCGAAGCCTGTTTCATCAAAATTGTAGATATCTTCATCAGCAATCCCGTACATGGCGATGGCGGCTTGTACGCGTTGAAACCAGGCTTGTATAACCTTAGGATCCTCACACTTCGCCCGCTTATAGCTGATCTGACGAGAAAACCGACTTTTCAAGGAATCATGCCGGGAAATGAAGTTATATACCCATTTCTCTCCGACAAAGGCTGTTGCGTCTTGGGAACGCTTTCGGATCAAGATTGACGCCATATCACGGACCTGGAACTGTCTCGGCGGCGCGCCGCGTTGATC